CCCCTTAGGAACATCTCTAACCAAGGAGTCGAAAGACCTCTACAAAGAAGACTACAAAAAACACTGTTGAAAGAAATCACAGATTACACTAACAAATGGAAACACATTCTATGTTCATGGATGGTTAGAATTTATATTGTGAAAATGATTATACTACCCAAAGCAATCTACAAATTCACTGAAATCCTCATCAAAATACCACCATCATACTTCACAGAACTAAAAAAAAATCCTAAAATTCATATGGAACCAAAAAAGAGCCTACATAGCCGAAGCAAGATGAAGGGAAAAGAACAAACCTGGAGGCATCATATTACCTGATTTCAAACTATGCTATAAGGCCACAGTTGCCCCAACAGCGTTACTTACTGATATACAAATAGGCACATAGACCAGTGGAACGGAACAGAGAACTCAGAAATAAACTCGAAAACCTACATCAAACTGAACTTTGACAAAGCAAACAAAAACATAAAGTGGGGAGAGGACACCCTATTCAACAAATGGTGCTGGGATCATTGGCTAACCACATGTAGGAGAACGAAACTGGATCCTTGTCTCTCACTTGATGCAAAAATCAACTCAACCTGAAACTATATGTGACAGGTTTTTTTTTTTTTTGGGGGGGGAGGGATGAAGGGAGGAAGGGGGGAGGGAGGGAGGAAGGGAGGGAGGGAAAGGAAGGAAGGAATTCTAGCAATGAGAGAGACATTGCCGACCTGGATCTAGAGGTTTACAAGTTGATTTCTTTATTTTGAGTGAAGGAAAGAAGAAAAAAATGAGTAAAGGAGAGGAAGAAAGAGGAGGAGAAAGAGGGAGAGTGAATGGAAATATTGCTTTATTCTGAAAAAAAAAATGGGTATTAATAATGGCCAATGTTTCATTTAAACCTATGAGTAGGTGTGATGTGGTATTGACTAGAATGTTTATTTTATGTATTTGAAGTGGAGAGCTCTATAAATATTTATTAAGTTTACTTGTTCTGGATCTGAGTTTGAGTCCTTGATATCCTTATTAATTTTCTGTCTCATTGTGTCTAAGTCTGTATGTATCTGGGTGTTAGGATCGTTAGCTCTTGTTGTTGCATTGATCCTTTTACCACTATATCTTTGTTGCTTTAAAATCTATTTTATCCGATACGAGAATTGCAACTCCTGCTTTTTATTTATTTATTTATTTATTTTTGCTCTCCATTTGGTTGGTAAATCTTTCTCCATCCCTTTGTTTTGAGTCTTTGCGTATCCTTGAATGTGAAACAGGTCTGGATGTAACATGCCATTGGGTTTTGGCTGTGTCTTTTGATTGGGGGATTTAGTCGATTTAAATTTAGGGTTACTGCCATTTGATGTTAACTGGCTGTTTTATCCATTTGTTGGTGTAAATTCTTCTTTATGTTGGTGCTCTTTACTTTTTGGTATATTTTTAGAAGGGCTGATACTGGTTGTTTCTTTCTGTGTGTAATGCTTCTTTCAGAAGCTCTTGTAAAGCAGGCCTGGTGGTAATAAAATCTCTGAGTTCTTGCTTGTTCATAAAAGATTTTATTTTTCCTTCAGTTGTGAAGCTTAGTTTGGCTGGATATGAAGTTCTGGGCTGAAGGTTCTGTTCTTTGAGGATGTTGAATATTGGCCCCCACTCTCTTCTGGCTTGTAGAGTTTCTGCTGAGAGATCTGCTGTAAGTCTGATTGGCTGGCCTTTGTGGGTAACCTGACCTTTCTCTCTGGCTGCCCTTAGTATTTTCTCCTTCATTTCAGCCCTAGTGAATCTAACGATTATGTGCCTTGGGGTTGCTCTTCTTGAGGAATATCTTTGTGGTGTTCTCTGTATTACCTGGGGTTGAATATTGACCTGCTTTGCTAGTTTAGGAAAATTTTTCTGAATAATTTCCTGAAGGGTATTTTCCAGCTTGGATTCATTCTCTCCATTGCATTCAGGTACACCTATCAAACGTAGATTTGGTCTTTTCACATAGTCCCACATTTCTTGGAGACTTTGCTCATTCCTTTTTATCCTTTTTTCTCTAATCTTTTCTTCATGTTTTATTTCATTAAGCTGGATTTTGACCTCTGTTATCCTTTCTTCTGCTTGAACAATTCCAGTGTTTAAACCTGTGCAAACTTCTCGGAGTTCCTGTGTTGTATTCTTCAGTTCCATTAATTCACTCATACTCCTCTCTAAGTTGTCTATTCTCAATAGGATTTCATCAAACTTTTTTTCAAAGTTCCTAGTTTCTTTACATTGGGCTACAACATGTTCTTTTAACTCACTGAAGTTTGTTATTATCCATTCCCTGAAGTGATATTCTAGCATTGGGATGCGCTTGTTCTCCATCAAGCCTTGTTCCATTGTTGATGTGGAACTGTGATCATCTTTAGAGTGAGAGGCGTTCTGACTGTGAGTATTCTCAGCTTTTTTATGCTGGTTTCTTCCCGTCATTGTAAGCTTATCCTCCTGTGGTCTTTGAATTTACCAACTTTCAGATTAGGTGTCTTGAGTGGGCGTCCAGGTTGTTAGTTCCCAGGGCCAGAGCAGCGGAGTTAAAACTGATGGTGCTTTTCTGCCCAGGAGTCTTGTCTGGCTTCCTTCTTGTGTCCGTAGTGGGCGACTCTGCCTTCCCGGGGCTCCAAACCTTGGTCAGAAGGGGAGCTGGTCCCGTTTACTCTGTGCGGAGCGCTGCCGCGCCGAGGTGCCGTCACAGCCGCTGCGCCGGTCTCTGGTGTCGCGCTGGCGACCCGTGTGATTCCTCCACTGGAGATTTTCTGCTCCGTGAGCGACCAGAATTTGTCTGAAAGTGTGGCATAGTCTAGTTCTCCGCGCGTTCACTGAGAGCTGCAGTCCCCATATGTTAGCGATCGGCCATCTTGGATCGGACTCCGACAGTTTTTATATGAAGATAACATTGGAAATCTTTCTAGACATTGGCTTAGGCAAGGATTTCATGACCAAGAACCCAAAAGAAAATGCAATAAAAACAAAGATAAATAGCTAGGACTTAATTAAATGAAAGAATTTTTGCACAGCAAAAGGATGTCAGCAGAGTAAACAGACAACCCACAGAGTGGGAGAAAATCTTCCCAACCTATACATCTGACAAAGGACTAATATCCAGAATCTACAACAAACTCAAACAAATCAGCAAGAAACAAAGACAAACAATCCCATTGAAAAGTGGGCTAAGGATATGAATAGAAAATTCTCAAAAGAAGATACACAAATGGCCAAGAAAGATATGAAAAAATGCTCAGCATCCCTGAGGAGCAGGAAAATACAAATTAAAATCACAATGCACTATCACCTTACCCCTTCAAAAATGGCCCCAGTCAAAAAATAAAAAAATAACAGATGTTGGTGTGGATGTGAACAGGGAACACTTCTACACTGCTGGTGGGAATGTAAACTAGTACAGCCACTATGGAAAACAGTGTGGAGATTCCTTAAAGAACTAAAAGTAGAACTATTTGATCCAGCAATCCCACTATTGGGTATCTACCCAGAAGAAGGGTGCTGAGACCAATTCTGATGTGTGTGACATATCATATTGTTTGCTGAGAACAGTGGCAAGGAACACCTAGTTGACCCCCCAAAGCAGAGAACTGCTTAAGGCATTCTAAAACAGGAAACAATATGAATATGTCTCACACCAGATGAACTAGTTATTTGAGCACAGGATATCCTCTACCTCAATTGTTCCCTTCTAAAGAATGCTTTCTGGTTTATCTTTAACCTATAGTGAATATACACTAGCTGCCTGGTTAGTTTTCCTTTAACCAATGAACGAACACAGAGCATCCACTTGTTAAACTTATCACTGGAATGTAAAGAATAAATACGTGAGTCAGAGTCTACTCTGGACTCTCAGCTGGGCATGCTGTGAGCCCCCTGAGCCCATCTTTTGCACTCTATCTCTGTGTCTGTTTCTTAATTCCTTCAGTGCTGCCTGGGTTGGGGTCTCCACAGCCAAGCTGGTCTTGGCAGAAAGGAAGTCATTACATGAAAAAGATACTTGCACATGCATATTTATAGCAGCACATTTCACAACTGTAGAAACATGGAAGTGGGCTGGGCATGGTGGTTCACGCCTGTAATCCCAGCACTTTGGGAGGCCAAGGTGGGTGGATCACCTGAATCAGGAGTTCGAGACCACCCTGGCCAACATGGTGAAACCCCATCTCTACTAAAATACAAAAATTAGCTGGGCATGGTAGCATGTACCTGTAATCCTAGCTACTCAGGAGGCTGAGCCAGGAGAATTGCTTAAACCTGGGAGGTGGAGGTTGTGGTGAGCTGAGATTGTGCCAATGCACTCCAGCCTGGGTGATAAGAGTGAAAACTCCATCTCAAAAAAAAAAAAATGTGGAATGAACCAAAATGCCCATCAATCATCGAGTGAATAAAGAAACTGTGGTGCATGTGTGAGTGTATATATACATATATCTGGTGGAATAGTACTCAGCTATAAAAAGAATGAATTAATGGCATTTGCAGTGACCTGGATGAGAATGGAGACTATGATTCTAAGTGAAGTAATGCAGGAATGAAAAACCAAACATTGTATGTTCTCCTAAGTGGGAGCTAAGCTATGAGGATGCAAACACATAAGAATAACACAGTGGACTTTGGGGCTTGGAGAGAAAGCGTGGGAAGGGGGCAATGGATAAGAGACTACAAATTGCGTGCCGTGTTCACTGCTAAGGTGATGGGTGAACCAAAATCTCACAAATCACCACAAAAGGATTTACTCATGTAATTAAACACCACCTGTTCCCCAATAACCTATGGAAATAAAAAATAATATAAAAAAATTAGCCAGGCATGGTGACATGTGCCTGTTGTCTCAAATCCTCAGAAGGCTGAGGCACGAGAATTGCTTGAACTTGAGAGGCAGAGGCTGTAGGGAACCGAGATCTTTAGCCTGGGCAACAGAGCAAGACTCCGTCTCAAAAACAAGCAAAAAGACTAATGTTTCTACTTTTGACACCAGCATAGTAATAAGAGCAACCAGCTTATAAAATCATTCTGAAGTCTTTAATTAAAATCCATAGAGCATTTAACATGAACAGATGTTTAAATTCTTTCAGTGACTCTCATATTTTAAAATCCTTCACACGGCATCGTGAGGCTAACTTCATGCTAGAAATCTACAGATAACTATATAACACCACAAAAATACATTGGGAGTCCATTCCAATGCAATTTTACAACACTTTAATTGGCAGACAATGTAAAGATATTTAAAAACAAAAATTACAAAATGAGCACATAAAAGTCTTCCCTTTTGAATTTTTAATAAAATACTTCTCTGTATAAGATCTAATGAAAAATTCCAGTTACTTATAAAATAGCTATGTGAGAAATCAATTGAGAGATGCATCTCTATATGTATGAATTACACTTTTGTTTAAATGAACAAAATGTTGAACACTTTGATGACACAGCACACCATCTATTACTCATGTTAAAATAGATGAAAATACTCAAAGAAGCAGTTGGATACAGGCAAAAGAAAATATGATACTTGAGGCTGAAATTTAAAAAAATCCAAAAAACAAAACAACCTCCCCATTCCCCACCAAACCCTTATAAGAAAAGGAATGAGAGAACATTAAACAAACTGTGGACCAAATTCTCATTCTTACTATTTAATGAGAAACAGCATAAGAATTTGGCTTCAAAGTACTAAAACAGCTACAAAACTTACTTGGCCTGGACAACTTAACAGCATACCAACTACTGAAATAACCAAGAGCAATTGGTGTACTGCTGGAGGAAAAAACAAAAATAAACTTTTTACAGGTTTAACTTTGTGAAAAAATGGATCTTTTGGAAACCATAGTCTCCTTCACAAATTGCACTTGAGATGGCTGAATGCATTGATTGAGCAAGGCATTATTATTGGTTCACTGACACACACAAAAGCAGCTACAGATAGTGGACATTTTGGACAATTAAAACTATTTTATACATGTTTTTCTTCTCTAAGAAAATGATCTGTGATGTTTGTGAAACTTAACAGCCTGCCTGTCTGCTCTACCACATTTCTGGAGACCTGATGCTGGTTCGGGGTACTGTTTCTGCTATGGAGAAGCCGTACGGAAATATGAAAAGAGTCAGTCTGAACGATATTAATTTCTGGAATTTTAAGCTTTATCTTGACTACGAAAGGAAGCTCCTGCATCAGTGAAACTGATGGTTTCACTGGCAAAGCTTACAAAATGTACATAATGAGTACCACCAGTTTGAGTACTATGATTTTTCTGTAGAAAAATGACAAGTAAATTTCTGTAATTTATTTTTTAAAGATAGAGAAGGCCTTTCACAGCCTCTTCTCTACAATAAATTGTCTTTTACAGTAAAAACACAAGAAACAGAAAGCAAGCTCACAAGGCTGAGAAATTGTACAGTTGCTTTAAAAAAGTGTTCTAAATAATGGGATGAAGTGTGACAATTAACTTCAGTGGAGATCTGCACAGTTCCATCTCATATATAAGGTAAAAATTAACCACTATGGACAGTTACAACTAACAGAAAAAGAACTGATGAATAAAAAGTGAGTAAAAAAGACCCTACAGTTTACCTATTATCCTTGAGCTAGAAAGATACAGTACAGTCCAAAAATGCAGTGACTGGGTATGTCTTATTGAACTGTTTTCCTTCTTTCATCTGCCTCCCTCTCTCTGCCTCCTCTCATTAAAACCAAGAATCCAGGTTAGTTTGGAAGTACCAATCTTAAACGAAAGCAGAAACCTGATCACAGAAAAGAAACAATGAAAAACTTGCATCAATAGTTCTTCATCCCTCCCACCAATCGGGGAAAAAACCCTTCAATCTTTATTAGTTACCCCTTTGAAAAGCAAGAAGAATCTTAAATCGAAACCAAGGTTCAGTAGAGGTGATTTTAATTTTTTTGTGCAACTGAGTCTTAGATGTTTAAGACTTTAGTCTATATGTTGTTTAAATAAATTAATACATTCAGTCAAATTCTAACACGGAGGCAATTATTAGGTAATGCAGGAAAATGTGAAAAGAAACGGGACTGGAAGCAGCAATCTTTAAAATTCACTTAAGTTTCTCAAAAAAAGAAAAAACTTATTGATCAGAAATATTTAGAAATAATGTTTCAGTTAAGAGAGGAAGGCTTAAATAGATTTAAGTACTCTAGTTATGTGGAAACGAAGGAATCTGGGGAATTTGTCCTGTGCCCTACAGTCTAAGTCCTCAGAAGATTTAAGCTGAAAGAGCATATTTTTAAACTTTGGAGGTGGTCTTAGTCTACCCTATCTCAAAGAGAAAATTTTAAGTTTCTTGAAGTCCAACTGCTTTTCAGATATACTCTACAGTCCAGGCATATCAATGGATCCAGCTTCCTCAAGATCATGATGGGGCAGAAACAGCCTCTGCCTCTTGCATCGGTCCACATTTGGAATAGGTCTACAAGGGGAAAAAAAATAGAGAATGCCTGACCGCTATCCAGCCATTATGGAGCTCTCTCTTATCTTAATCTATTTTCAGTTCTGATCTTTAGAATAATAATGTTAAAAAAAAAGTAAAAAAATTAAAACTTTTTTTAAAGACAGAGTCTTGCTCTGCTGCCCAGGCTCTGAGTACAGTGGTGCAATCTCCGCTCACTGCAACCTCCGCCTCCCAGGTTCACGTGACTCTTCTGCCACAGCCTCCCCAGTAGCTGGGATTACAGGTGCCTGCCACCACACCTGGCTAATTTTTGTATTTTCAGTAGAGATGGGCCTTCACCATGTTGGCCAGGCTTGTATGGATGGAACTCTTGACCTCAAGTTATCTGCCGGCCTTGGCCTCCCAAAGTGCTGGGATTACAGGTGAGAGCCACTGCGCCTGGCCGGAAAATAAAACTCTTTTACTGCCTATCTGTATAGAATTGTCAGCTTGCTATGCTCAAATATTGGGGAAGTATCCTTATGTGTTTAGTGGCACGATGTTTACTAAAATTTCCCTTTGGAGTTTTCAGAAGCTGGCAGGTGCTACTTCTTCTATGTTGTAAAACAGATGTGGGCTGCATGCTATTTATATAACTGTCACACGGAATAATGAATGAATCAATTTGTCATTGATGGAGTTTGTACAGTTGAGGTGAAACATTACACACTTTAAAAGCAGGAACAGGTTAATATAACATTATAATTTAACTTTTCTTTGTATTACCATAATAGATGTTTCCTTTAAAAACAGAGAGTTAACGAGGCAATAACAATAAACACTGAGGACTGCTTGAGCCTCATTATGCAAGATCCCACTACAGATAAACAAGAAAATGTTGGTAACTAATCTTATCCGAACATCTGAATTTTATGTAAATAACAGAAAATAAAATCATGGAAACTCATACAACTGATAAATGACAGATAATGAATATTTCTCTCTTATACTGAAGGCACTGCTAATATACAAATAACCTACTAACATTTAAACTCTGAAATCAGCAGTTAGTGAAAGGAGTCCATTTAGTTTAATACCAGCATTTTAAAAAACAAGTAAGACTACTCTGAGTCATGGCAGAGGTTTCAATGAGCTAAATGAAAATCAGATAGAACAACAAGCTGCTCCATATAAAGATTGTGGTTCCTACTTTTTAAAAAGTATGCTATAACTTACTTCCTTAAAAATATAGGCATATCACAAAAACTAAAGAATAAATATAATATATATATATCAAAACATAGGCCCTGCTGAGAAATCTTCATAAATTCTAAAATAATTTCAATGGTTACAGCTTGAACCACACATTCACATATGACATGCAAAGAGAGAATCCTAGCATCAATGAACAGTCTAGCATAAAGCTAAAAATACAGAATTAGAATGAAATAGGCAGTAAATAATGTATATCACAAACTGATGACTGTGTCTCCTATATCATAGCACACCTTGGAACTTAAAAAACAATTAGAATTTCTTCAGCCCCAAGAAGCACTACTTATCGACCAACTATGAAACTCTCATAAACTGTCAAGTAAGCAAATAAAAAGCTATACAAAAGAATACAATTTATTTTAATTAATGACTAATATTTCATATTTTATTAGAAGATTAATTTGTAATCATTGTACCCTGTAGATTTTGAAACAATTTTATTAGAAATTACTTGCTGGTTCTTGAATAATCTAAAAAATTGTACTTACTCAAATTCAGAATGCTATTTATAGTTCTAAGCAGTTAGATGAAATATTCTGATTAGTATTCTAAAGTTGCTTTGGTACAAAATTTAGAATAAAGCAAAACTGGCAGCACCACAACAAATGTGATCCTTTCACAGCAGGTCTAAAGGACCATCAGAGACAACAAAGCGTAAGTTAAAATACACATAAATAAGAGCCATTCTCCTGACAATTGTCTTACATCATTAAAAAGAGAAATAAAATCCATATTCAGTAAGTTATACTGGAGGCCGAAATTTCATGCTCCGTGTAATTATTCCTCAATGATAGTGTAAAAAATGCTTATTATTGCTAACTGATGCCTAATTCATAGTTCAGGATGCTTTAATGGTGAGGCCAATAATTAGAGTGGTTCATTTTAATGTATAGTCCACTGATATTATAATATTATTTAATACAAGGTTTAATTTAGTCTTTGTTTTTTTTACAGATTTATTGAGGTATAATTGACGTACAACAAATTGTACATACTTAAAGTGCACAATTTGATACAGTCTTTTAAACAGCATGAAAAGTGCCTAATAACTTAAAAATGAAAAAATTTCCATTTACACTTACTATTTTAAAATAGTACATTCTAATTTTTATGAGATACAGATATGAATTTGTAAAAAGGTAGATGGAAAGAGAAGAAATTAACTTAATTCCAAAAGCCAAATTTATTCAGAAGGTTTAGAAACACCAAAATTGACAGCCAGTTTTCTTGATTTTCTTCTTGAAGAAGAGCTTGGTGTTGGCTTATGGTGAGATATACTACGGCCTTGAGAGGCAGTTTCAACTTGAAAAGAAGATGCGGGTTGAGCAATCTGAGAGGACTGTAGAGAAGCTGATGAGCTCTCCTGTGGACTTACTTTGGCAGCACTGGAAGAATCTGGCTGGCTAGTGTGAACAGGAGCAGCTTGAGAACACTGGGCCTCCTTATTCTCAAAGTTCTTTTTGTTTGCAACCCTTTTTTTAGTAACCTGTTAGGAATAAAAGCATCAATAATAAAATGTAGGCAAAAAAAATAGCTAGTGTTGGAAATTACTACAAACCATGCATGCTGTTAATATGTCAATCACAGCTGATCTGTGACTTCCACTTATAATTTCCAAGGAAGACTTCAGTAATACAAATAACTTAGTTACAATAAAAATATTTAAAATTCTTGGGCTGGGCACTGTGTGCTCACAGCTGTAATCCTAGCACTTTGGGAGGCTGAGGCAGGCAGATTGTTTGAGATCAGGAGTTCAAGACCTGCCTGGGCAACATGGCAAAACCCCATCTCTATGAAAAACTTACAAAAACTAGACAGGCATGGTGGCACATGCCTGTAGTGTCAGGTACTTGGGAGTCTAAGGTGGAAGGATCACTTGAGCCCAGGAGGTGGAGGCTGCAGGGAGCTGAGATTGTGCATGGGCTACACTCCAGCGGGGGATACAGAGTGAGATCCTGTCTCCAAAAAATTAATTAATTAATAAAATAAAATAAAATAAAAACCAAATAAATACAATTCTCCATAGGTTAAATATTTAAAAAATACTTGTGATTTTATTTATATTTCTGATTTTAATCAATCTGTATTAGAATGGCATATTATTCCTTGGTACAATTATCATTTATTAGAACACAAAATCAGAGAGTAGGGACAGGTCAGACTTGCCAACCATTGCCTTCTTACTCCCCACACTAGTACTGAACTTCCAGTTGGCACTAAGTTAACTGAATAAAGAAATGTTTATCAATAGTCTTTCAGCATTAAACAAGTAATTCTCTTTAAAATATTATTTTTTTTTCTTACCTGCAGAGGTATAAACTGATTGTGCACACCCCCTGGCATTCCCCCAGCCACGGGCATGGTCCCAGAATATAAAGGATGATGGAAGGGCTTCCCAGGAACTGGCACTGGTGGTCCCCATGGCACTGAGCCAAAGAGATGAGATGATGAAGGCATTATATTAGCTGTAGAAAATCAAGAAAAATTTTTCTTTTAGTGAAATATCATCAAAGCTCTGAAATTTGAGACCTCCTGCTAGCCTTTCTGGGCTTTTTTTTTCCCCTTTGACAAAAGGTCTACACTTACTTAACTTACAATTACTCTTCCTTACAACATTCAACCTCAGGATCCCTTCCTAGGACGATGTGGACTATCTACAGAAATGAATTTATCTCACACTGGCCTGGAAAGGAGAGTAATACTAGTAATACCCTATGCTGATACAAATTTTAGGAATATTTGCAATGACATTTCTAAAAATAATAAAAGGGTCAAGAAACTGTACCTTGGGAGAGAAAAGCTTGGGCACAAAGAGGGAAATCTTAAGGATCTCACCTGCCCCCAATGCTAAGTTTCTTCCATAGTGATCCCAGCCTACAAAAAAACCAAAAGAGCTCAAGTCCTGAAATCTCATCACTTTGATATGACAGGCAGAATCTTTCTTTTCTCTATTTTAATATTTGTAAGTCAAGGATTTTTTTCATTTACACTGTGTTTCTTATTAAAAATGTATTCAACCAATGGGTTCTAAACCTAATTTGTGTATCTGAGTCACTTGAGGAGCTTATGAAATATAGATTCCTGGGCAGAGTCTCAGGCCTAGTAAGCCAGACTCTGAGGGGCTCTGGAGTTTGTATTAAGCCCCACAGGTGATTCTTATGCAGACAGCCTGTACCAGTGCAGCATTTGAAAACTACTATATTAAACAGTGACAATCAAGACACCAGCACACTGCCACTGAAGAAGGTATGTACTATGTTCAAATCTTTTCATAGAGATAAAAAAGCAGCCAGACCTGTATAATAGTATACCTTAATTAAAATTCAGCTACTTAACACATTTTTGGATCAGGAGAGAAGAATCATATTTCAGTGTTATGAAATAGAGATACACAAATTCTAAGAGGAGGAAAACTTTTAATATGAAAAACACTAATAAGATTCAGAAAATTAGGCCAGGTGCACTCATGCCTGTAATCCCAGCACTTTGGAATGCCAGGCATGGTGTGTGCCTGTGGTCCCAGTGACTCGGGAGGCTCATGTGCAAGGATTGCTTGAACCTGGGAGGCAGAAGTTGCAGTGAGCCAAGATCATATCACTGCCCTAACTTGGGTGACAGAGTGAGACCTTGTCTCAAAAAAGAAAAGAAAAGTAGAAAATTAGGTCTTGAAACTTCATCTACAAGCAACTTTGGTGGGAGTCACAATGCTAGGAAGGTCCATTTAAAAGATGCTATGCTAATCTTATAATGGTCAACTCCATAATTTCCCCAAGAAATCATTGTTATAAATATGAAATACATATTCCTCAGCTGGGACACTTTATATCATAAAAATTGTTTTATACCATAAAATAGAAACATTCAAAATAACTTTAAAATATTAATCTAATGCTTAAGATGTTCTCTGCTGATTAACCTTCAAATCTCTTGGCATTTATATTTTAACCGGAATATTTGGAGAACACCTTTATAGGACCAAAAGCATTCCAATTATAACCTTAGAATTATTTGTAGATATGAATAAACTAATTGACATGAAAAGTTTAAAATAGCAGTAATAAATGGGGATAACAATCATTCCTTTTAAAAAATATATTATCATAGCTGGGCGCAGTGGCTCAAGCCTGTAATCTCAGCACTTTGGGAGGCCGAGGCGGGTGGATCACAAGGTCAAGAGATCGAAACCATCCTGGTCAACATGATGAAACCTCGTCTCTACTAAAAATACAAAAAATTAGCTGGGCATGGTGGCGTGTGCCTATAATCCCAGCTACTCAGAAGGCTGAGGGAGGAGAACTGCCTGAACCCAGGAGGTGGAGGTTGCGGTGAGCCAAGATCGCACCATTGCACTCCAGCCTGGGTAACAAGAAAGAAACTCCGTCTTAAAAAAAAAAAAAAAAAAAAAAAATATATATATATATATATGTATATATTAATTATCATAAGACAAATTCTTTTTTAGAGAAGTTTGTGTGCACATTTTTAGGTACTCTACACATACTAATTACTTAAAATTAATCTATACATATCTACTGTATTCATTCTTGAATGTGAAGCAGCAATATTCAAATTAGACTTTACAAGTTATGGTGATACTACTATACTGAGCTATATAAAAGCATCAGATCTATTATGTCATGAAAACTTTATGACTAAAACATTGTTGGCCAGGCCCAGCGGCTCATGCCTATAATCCTGGCACTTTGGGAGGTCAAGGCCAGTAGATCACTTGAGTCCAGGAGTTTGGGACCAGCCAGAACAACACGGTGAAAACCCTGTCTCTACAAAAAGATACAAAAATTAGCCAGGTGTGATGGCATGTGCTGTAGTCCCAGTCACTTGGGAGGCAGAGGCAGGAAGATCAACTAAGCCCAAGGAGGTCAAGGCTGCAGTAAGCCCTGATCGTGCCACTGCACTCCAGCCTGGGCGACAGAGTGAGACTCTGTCTCAAAAAAAAAAAAAAAAAAAAATCTAAGTTTGTCGTGGTATTTTCCTTTTTTTTTTTTTTTTTTTTTTTGGAGACACGGTCTTACTCTGTCACCTAGGATGGAGTACAGTGGCACAATCTTGGCTCACTGTGGCCTCTGCCTCACAGGCTCAACTGATCTTCCTGCCTCAGTCTCCCGAGTAGCTGGAACTACAGGTACCTGCCACCATGCTCAGTAATTTTTTCTTTTTTGTACTGACAAAATATACAGTCGAACTCATGGCTCTAGTGATCCTCCCATCTAAGCCTCTCAAAGTGCTAGGATCACAGGCATGAGCCACAACACCCAGCTGTCTGTTTTCAAAGCCCATGCTTTTGTTACTGTACTGCACTGGGATTCCTTTGACTGTATCAACAATGTTTTATTTCGTTTTGGTTTGGGTTTTTGGGGCTTTTCTTGAGACAGGTCTTCCAAAGTGCTGGGATTACAGATGTGAGCCATGATACCTGGCTCAGACTTGGATTTTGAATACCAGTTCTGCAGGCATGAGCCGCTATACCTGGCTCAGACTTGGATTTTGAATACCAGAATGCTAAATTACATTTAAAAAAATCAAAATACTACATACACATTGTACGAAAAAAGATTTTCTTTTTTTTTGAGACAGAGTCTAGTTCTGTCACCCAGCCTAGTGTATAGTGAGGCGATTGTGGCTCACTGCAACCTCAGCCTCCTGGATTCAAGCAATTCTTCTGCCTCAGCCTCCTGAGTAGCTGGGACTACAGGTATGTGCCACCACACCCACCCAGCTAATTTTCGAATTTTCGTATTTTTAACAACAGAGATGGGGTTTTGCCGTGTTGGTCAGGCTGGTCTCGAACTCCTGACCTTAAGTGATCCGCCTGCTTTGGCCTCCCAAAGTGCTGGGATTACAGGTGTGAGCCACTGCACCTGGTCTAAAAAAGATTTTCAACAGAAAACAGCAGACATCTGTTCTAGTTCAGGTTTAACTGTTTTAGATATGTATTTCCACAGTTAAATAATTTGCTTATGCTACTTGTTAAAAATCTATTAACTTTAGGCATTTTTAGATCTACTGACTTCCTATTTAAATATATCAAAATTCAGGTTTTTTGCATTACCCCTCACTGTTTACCCTGTACCCCCAAATTAAGTATATTACATCATTTGTTTAAATATATAAGCAGTGTTATCTATTTGTGATATGTGCCTATGTAAATATTATCAGTGCAGAGCCAAACTGGGTAATCTGATTATGTTTCTTTTCTTTTCTTTTTTGAGATGGAGTCTTGCTCTGTTGCTCAGGCTGGAGTGCGGTAGTGTTATCTTGGCTCACTGCAACTTCCACCTCCCAGGTTCAAGCAATTCTCCTGCCTCAGCCTCCTAAGTAGCTGGGATTACAGGTACATAACCACCATGCCTGGCTAATTTTTTTGTATTTTTAGTAGACAAGGGGTTTCACCATGTCAGCCAGGCTGGTCTCAAACTCCTGATCTCGTGATCTGCCTGCCTCAGCCTCCCAAACTGCTGGGATTACAGGTGTGAGCCACTGTGCCCAGCCAATGTTTCTTTTCTTGTAAAACCTTTTGTTTTTACTTGAGTTACTAATTAATTATCTTTTTTTTTAGGGACAGGTCTCATTCTGTCACCCAGGCTGGGGTACAGTGGCACAATCACAGCTCACTGCAGCCTTGACCTCCCAGGCTCAAGTGATCCTCTTGCCTCAGCCTCTCAAGTAGCTGGGACTACAGTTGCATGCCACCATGCCTGGCTACTTTTGTATTTTTTGTAGCGATGCGGTTTTACCATGTTGCCCAGGCTGTTTCACCATGTTGCCCACTCTAATAATTATTTTTTTAAAAGCTTAGTCCTGCCCTTATCAATTCTTTAGGAAAAATATAATAAAAGCTGCTTAGTGAGCTGAGGTTGTGCCACTGCACTCCAGCCTGGCACCTGGTGATGGGGTGAGACTGTCTCAAAAAAAAAAAAAAGCTGTTTAGTCTTCTCTGTACCTATCCTTAATGTTTTCCTTTTGCTCATCTATTAATAACCTTCCTTATTGCCAGACTCCCCTCTGCCTCTCTAGTTGGGACTAGTCACTTTCTAGACCCACCAAGCAGCTGGCATCCTTAGATTTCCATTCACTGTATAACTACACTAGATATATAATTTGTTATTTTGGTTTCATAATTTTCTTTTTCAAACTACTGCTTTGTTTTGTTGGAGCATATAATCCAGTAGGTTCTTAAGAAAGGGTAAGCAAGGCATGATGGCTCATGCTTGTAATCTTGGCATTTTTGAAGGCTCAAGTGGGAGGATTGCTTGAGCCCAGGACTTTAGCTTGGACAACATATTTAGACGTTAACACTTCAAAGGAAAAAAAAAGATTCATAAGAAACAAATTTGCTGCATTGGAATCAAATTATTTTCTGTGCGCAGAAAAAAATTAAAAAAAAAAAAGAAATTTGCAAATCTGAAAATATCTTTATTTCTCCTTTGTACTAGATTAACAGTTTGGCAGAGAATACCTCAAAGAACCCTGGGGCAGAATGAGTTTCATCCTAATACAGAGAAATTAGGATGAAACTCATTCTGCCTCAGGGTTTTGAGGTATTCAATGCTTTCTGGCTTCTAGGCACTGTTCAATGGTGCAGTACCTTCTAATTCTTGATCTTTTATATATACTGTATTTTCTCTCTTCTCTGAATGTCTTAGGACAATCTTTTTTTCATTAGTAATCAGAATCTGAAGATAAGCTGTGTCTTTTTTCATTGTGCTTAACATTTTCTGGCTCTTTTAGTTTAGAGATGCATAGTTTGTTTTAGAAAACTTTCTTTTTGACACTTAATCTCCTTTCCCTCTTTTTCTGGAACTCCAATAAGGTGGGAGCTGGATCTGTGCCCTAAATTTGAGTTCTTTCTTATTTTACAGCTCTTATCTTCTTTGGCTTTACTAGGACTTTATCTACTAAATTTTAAACTCTTACCTGTTCTCTAATTATTTTTTCATTGAATGTTGTTCTTATTTTTTGGTTGCAATACTCTTTTATTTCACTAAAGATATTAATTATAGCTGTCTTTGCAATTTTCTTATTTCCTACATTATCTCTGTTTCCAGGTCCTTTTCATTTCTTATTTTAACTGTCTTTCATTTTACAGATTTTCCTTTTCACGGTCTACTATTTATACATATTGAAGAAGAAGACATTAAGGCTGTGATGAGAAACAGTGTCTATGTTGGGAAGGAGAAGGGCTAGGCCACTAGATGATTTGAGGGCTTTAGTCTAGGATGACTGGTTAGTGAGCCAGGCTTTTGGTTGGGACACTCTCTAAAACTTGGTAGGTCTTTTCCTTGGAAGTCAATACATTTTTGATAAATTTATTTTATAAAAGAAACATCCAGCCGGGCGTGGTGGCTCACATCTGTAATCCAAGCACTTTGGAGGCCAAGGCGGGTGGATCACCTGAGGTCAGGTGATCAGACCAGCCTGACCAACATGGTGAAATCCTGTCTTAAAAAAAAAAAAGAAAAAGGAAACATCCTCCAATTTCCTATCTGGGGAGAAGGGTATGGCTGGCTACAATCTGAGAATAGGATGAGGAAAAGAGAACTTTTATTTAATCTCTGTATTTTCAGTCTCCCATTTCATTCTCTACTCCGCCTGATACTCCCATACCTAGAGAGCTCCCCTAGAGAACACACACACCTCCAGTCTGGCTGTGTCATGGAGGGATAAAGGGGGTAGTCTCACCACTTCACACACAGAATTTCAACCAATCCCTTTTTTTTCAGCACATGCCTCATCATTAGTTTCTGATGCCTCCAAGTTCTGAACCAATCTGCTTATCATGCTCATTTGTAATCTCTTCTACAGGCACTTTAGCTTGTAGCTTTTACCTTTGCTCTGCTAAAATGTTTAGTTCTTCAGTTGTTTTTCTCAGCACACTCTTTTCAAACCTCTAATCTGCTGATATTGCTCCCATCTTTGTCCTCGTATATTTACGCTTTTGAAATCTTTTATTATTCAGTTTAATGAGAAGAGATAACTACATGTGGTAAATTTAATCAGTATTATGAACCTTTCCAATGCTTATTGTGAGGATTAGACATTTAGAATTCCTGGAGTATTACCTGGCAGTACATGCAGAAAGTGATTTTCTAAACTTAAATAAATTACTGGCTTTAAAACAATAATAAAGATAAGGGGAAGCCAACTGCTTTTAGGAAAAAGGCTCAGTGATTTAGAAAATCTCTGAACTTAAGATTTAGAATTATAAAATGTTAGTCTTAACAAGATTTTGGATATAGACTACTGCAAATAAGAAAATACAGTTCTGAATAAATTACATGATTTTTTTTTTTTTTTTACGTTTTGGTGTCTAACATAAACCCAAATTCATCTGTTAGCAGCTGTTGGAGAATAAGGGCCTGCCCACTCAAAGAACCTCCTCTTACTACTCTAGCCATACCAGAGGCTGGAGGAAGAGAATGGTATTTCTAGATGAATTTGCAGGCTCTGGCTTTAGGCTTTCTCACAATTTCTTCTTACATTCCTAGATATTTAAGTATATTTTTGATTTTTTAAAAGTGATGCTGCTTCTTAAAAGAACTTAGTAAAAATAACAACTCAATGACAAATACTTATGAATGAAAAACATCTTACCAGTAGCTTGGGGAAAAACTGGAGGAATGGTTCCGGGTGGTACAGCGGAAGGATAATTTGCAAATACAGGTGAAGGCAAAGGGAAATTCATACCTAAGGAGCCCTGTGGAAGTATTTAAAAGTTGTAAGACAACACAATGCAAACTTTCTATAGAGACTAATAAAAAATTTAACAGAGAAGTCCTAAGTCATGGACAGTTCTTACCAACTGTTGTAAAGCAAAAAGTGCAGCTTTCTCCTTGGCTTCATTTTCAGAGTGGCACTGTGGCCCATGTACCAGTAAGCCATTAGATAATTTTACTTGGCAAATGGTCATTGTCTAAAAAGAGAGAATATATATGTCTATGAAATTCTCTGTCTAGGAAGTTGACCTCCTTCAGAGCTTAGTCTAAACAAATAAAATACTTTTAACAAGAATTTTAAAAAGGGCTTTCAGTTTAAGTTTTGAACTGCCAGGCAAAAATTTTAGAGTTGTTGCCTTATCTTTCCGTGTTTACAAAACAAAAAGCTTTCCAAAGCTGGCTAAAGGGTCAAGCAACTGAATGCAAATGAAAGTCAGCAAAATTTTTTCTTTATAAAAGGGGTTGACAAACTATGGAGTTCTGCCTCTTTTTGTAAATAAAGTTTTACTGGAATATAGCCACATCTATTCTAATGATTGCTTTTACACTCTAACTGCAGAGTTCGGAAGTTTTGATAGAGACCATCTGGCCCACAAGGCCTAAAATGTTTACTATCTGACTCTTTACAGAAAAAATTTGCTGACTCATGTTTATACCATTTTTTACTTAGAGAGGTATTTTGGTAATATGTGTTAATTGCCAAAATATAAAAGATTCAGAAATTCTGATGTGTTTTCTACTCATATTTAAATTATAACTATATTATACTCTTTCTGTTTTATAAAAAAGCTTGTTTTGTTTTGGTTTACCTTAATTTTTGTTTTTAAATAGATTTAGGGGGTACAAATGTAGTTACATGGATATACTACATACTGGTGAAGTGTGGACTTTAGTGTACCCATCGCCAATAGTATACATTGTACCCAACAAGTCATTTCTCTTCCTTTTTTTTTTTTCTTTTTTTTTGAGACAGAGTCTTACTCTGTCCCCAGGCGCCAGGCTGGAATGCAGTGGCACAATCTTGGCTGACTGCAACCTCCGCCTCCCAGGTTCAAGCAATGCTCCTGCCTCAGCCTCCCAAGTTAGCTGGGACTACATGCACACGCCACCATGCCCAGCTAATTTTTTTAGTTTTTAAAGTAGAGACGGGGTTTCACAATGTTGGCCAGAATGGTCTCGATCTCTTGACCTTGTGATCCGCCTGCCTCAGCCTCCCAAAGCGCTGGGATTACAGGGATAAGCCACCGCGCCCGGCCTCCCAACAGGTCATTTCTCATCCCTCATATCTCTCTCACCATCCCATCTTTTGGAATCTCTAATGTCTTTCATTCCACTCTGTATGTCCATGTTTAGCTCCCATTTATAAATGAGAACATGTGGTATCTGACTCTGTTTCTTAATTATTTCACTTAGGATAATGGTTTTCTTTCTTCTTTCTTTTTTTTTTTTTTTTTGAGATGGAGTTTCGCTGTTGTTACCCAGGCTGGAGTGCAATGGCGCGATCTCAGCTCACCGCAACCTCTGCCTCCTGGGTTCAGGCAATTCTCCTGCCTCAGCCTCCTGAGTAGCTGGGATTACAGGCATGCGCCACCATGCCCAGCTAATTTTTTGTATTTTTAGTAGAGACGGGGTTTCACCATGTTGACCAGGATGGTTTCGATCTCTTGACCTCGTGATCCACCCGTCTCGGCCTCCCAAAGTGCTAGGATTACAGGCGTGAGCCACTACACCCGGCCTAGGATAATGGTTTTCAGTTCCATTCATGTTGCTGCAAGATACATGACTTCATTCTTTTGATGGCTGAACAGTATTACATAGTATATGTATACACATACATACACACCCAGTTTCTTTATTGAATCATCCATTGATGGACATTTAGGTTGATTTCATATCTTTGCTACTATGAATAGTGCTGTGATAAACATACAAGTGCAGGCATACTTTTTATGCAATGATTTCTTTTCCTGGGGTAGATACCCAGAAGTGAGATTGCTGGATTAAATCACAGTTCTATTTTTAGCTCTTTGAGAAATCATCAGACTGTTTACATACAGGTTGTACTAATTTACATTCCAATCAACAGTGTATAAACACTCCCTTTTTGTCACATCCTTGCCAAAATTTGTTTTTTGATTTTTTAATAATAGCCATTCTGTCCAGTGTGAAATGGCATCTCATTGTGGCCCTAAAATCTGCACTTCTCTGGTAATGTTGAACAGTTTTTTCACATTTGTTGGCAGCCCCTTGAGAAGTCCTTTTTTGAGAAATGTCCACTTATAACCTTTGCCTATTTTTAATGCCGTCTTTTGCTTTTTACTTGTTGAGTCTCTTGCGGATTCTGGATATTATTAGTCCTTTGTCAGATCCATAGTTTGCAAATATTGTGGACTGTCTGTTGATTATTTCTTTTGCTGTGCAGAAGCTTTTTAGTTTAATTAAGTCCTATTTGTCTATTTTTGTTTTTGTTGCATTTGCTTTTGAGATCTTAGTCATAAATCTTTGTCTAGGCTGATGTCCAGAGAGTTTCTCCTAGGTTTTCATCGAGGATTTTTATCGTTTCAGGTTTTACATTTAAGACTTTAATCCATTTTGAGTTAATTTTTTTATGTGGTGAAAGATATGGGTCCAGTTTCATTCTCAGGCATATGGCCACTTTTCCCAGCACCATTTATTGAATAGGGTGTTCTTTCCCAAGTGTATTTTTTGTCGACTTTGTGGAAGATCAGTTGGTTGCAGGTATGTGACGTTATTTCTGGATTCTCTATTCTGTTCCATTAGTCTATGTATCTATTTGTCTGTTTTTATACCGGTACCATGCTTTTTTGGTTACTAGAGTTTTGTAGTGTAATTTGAAGTCAGGTAATGTTGATGGCCTCCAGCTTTACTCTTTTTGCTTGGGATTGCTTTAGCTATTCAGGCTCTTTTGTGGTTGCATATAAATTTTAGGACTGTTTATTCTAATTCTGTGAACAATGATGTCGATAATTTAATAGGAATTACACTGAATCTGTAAATTACTTTGGGCAGTTGGTCATTTAAATGATCTTGATTCTTTCTACACATGAGCATGGGATGTTTTTCCATTTGTGTCATCTATTACTTCTTTCATCAGTGTTATGTAGTACCTTTGTAGAGATCTTCTATTTACTTGGTTAAATGTACTCCTAGGTATTTTTTTTGGTAGCTATTGCAAATGGGATTGTGTTCTTGATTTGGTTCTTGACTTGCTACTGGCATAGAAAAATGCTACTGATTTTTGTACGTTGATTTTGTATGCTGAAATTTTCCTGAAGTCATATATTAAATCTAGGAGTCTTCTGGAGCAGTCTTTAGGGTTTTCTAGATATAAGATCATATCATCAGTAAACAGAGGTATTTGACTTCCTTTTCCAATCTGGATGCCTTTTATGTCTTTCTCTTGCCTGCTTGTTCTACCTTCCAGTACTATGTTAAATATGAGTTGTAAAAATGGGCATTTTTAAAAATCTGTGGTTTTATTAATTATCTTAAGTCTTCTGATCACACATAATTTAAAAATTTGTGTATATTCCCATTTTAATCCTTTTAAGTTGGCAAAAGCACTATTTCCAATCACAAATATGCAGCAGTTCTACAGTTTTATGTTTCTGAATGGCTGTTTAAAGACAACCCTAAATTATAGCTTAGTTTGACTTAGATTATAAAGAATTCAAGAGTAAAGTTTAACTTGCTACTATTTTAAAAGCTTGTGACCTTACAGATCATCTATATAAGTGATAAGTGTTATTCCTTATTTGATATTACATATAAACCATACTAAAATGCCTTTCAATAAGCAAAAGGAACCATTTTAAATACAGGGAATTCTAATTCGATTGGCATAGTTAAGGCTAAAAAGAGAGAGGAAACATTGCTACCTGATCTTCAACCCTTGCCTTTAGGAGGCAAATAAATACAAAACACAGGTGAATCTTGCTTGGTTCTGAGACAGTGAAGGAATTGTCCCAGTATTTAAATATATTCACATAACCAGTTACAGAAATCTAAATATAAAACAAATCTCCGGTAAGTTTTAAGAGGTACTCTCCATCTTTGAAAAGTTGAACATTACCCAACAAAATATTCTGTCAGTCGTTCATAAACTGAATTCTGGTGTATGAGATCTATGACATTATGGTACACATAAAAAAGTCATGAGACATTTCTGTTTTATAATAAATAAGGCAGTGGCCAATTATTACTCATTAATAGCTTTTTTGAAATAAGCTATCAAGTCTACCCTTTTTTTTTTTTTTTTAAAGATGGAGTCTGTCACCCAGGCTAGAATACAGTTGTGTGATCTCAACTCACCACAACCTCTGCCTCTTGGGTTCAAGCGATTCTCCTGCCTCAGTCTTCTGGGTAGCTGGGATTACAGGTGTGCATCACCATGCCCGGTTAATTTTTGTATTTTTAGTAGAGACAGGGTTTTACCATGTTGGTCAGGCTGGTCTCGAACTCCTGACCTCGTGATCTGCCCACCTTGGCCTCCCAAAGTGCTGGGATTACAGGCGTGAGCCACTGTGCCCAGCCTCTGCCTTCTGCTTAATGCCAGCAAAGATCACTTTTGTTCCAGGGATATACTTCTTGGGATTCTACAAATACTCCATCAGGGTATCCTCTCCCCAGGTAATGCCTTTGTTCTTATTGGCATCTGTGTAAGAGAATTCAATAGACTGACCCATCTTCTGCCCGAAGAGACCATGGAGATTAGGCTCAGTCTTGTGCCTGCCTCCCTTTTCCACGGTGTGGCACTGGGCACACTTCTGAACAAAAATATTGCCTTTCTCAACATCACCCATATTTAATTCTCTTTTTCGTTGCTAGTGCGACGAAGGTTCCCGCTGAGAAGCTGGACGTCCCACTGTCTCAAAAGTGGGGATCTTTGTCTTGTTCCAGTTGTTAGGAGGAATGCTTTCAATTTTTCCCCATTCAGTATGCTGTTGGCTGTGGATCTGTTATATACAGCTATTATTACTTTGAGGTATATTCTTTTTATATCTCGTTTATTGAGGGTTAACATGAAGGGATGCTAAATTTTATCAAATCCTTTTTCTGCATCTGTTGAGATGATCACACGGTTTCTGCTTTTAATTCTGTTTACATGGTGAATCACATTTACTGATTCACATATGTTGAACCATCCTTGTATCTCCTGAATAAAATTCACTTGATGACAGTGTATTATCTTTTTGTACTGTTGGATTTGATTTGCTAGAATTCTGATGAGAATTTTTGCATTTACATTCTTAAGCAATATTGGCCTGTAGTTTTCATTTGTTGTGTTCTTGACTGCTTTGGTATCACGGCAATACTGGCTTTGCAGAATCGAGGCTTTCCTCTTCCACTTTTGGGAACAGTTTCAGTAGAATTGGTACCAGTTCTTTGTATGTGTGGTAGTATTTGCTTGTGAATCCATCTGGTCCTGGGATTTCTTTTTGGTTGGGAAATCTTTTTTTATTACTGATTCAGTCTCAGTACTTGTTATTGGTCTGTTCAGGATGTCTATTTCTTCCTGGTTCAATCTTAAGAGACTGCATTTTTTCCCCCCAGGAATTTAACCATTTTCTGTAGGCTTTCTAGTTTGCAGTTTAGAAAGTAGTTTCTAATGATCTAGATTTCTATGGTATAGTTGTAATGTCTTCTTTTTCATTTCTGATTGTGCTTATTTGAATCTTTTTTTCTTGGTTAATCTAGTAGTGGTATCTCAATTTGCTTTATCTTTTCTTTTTCTTTTTGAGAGAGTCTTGCTCTGTTGCCCAGGCTGGAGTGCAATGGCGCGATCTCAGCTCACTGCAACCTCCACCTCCCAGGTTCGAGATTGTCTTGTCTGAGCATAGTACCTGGAATTATAGACACACACTGCCATGCCTAGCTAATGTTTCATATTTTAGTAGGGACAGTATTTCACCGTGTTGCTCAGGCCGGTCTTGAACTCTTGAGCTCAGGGAATCCACCCACCTCGGCCTCCCAAAGTGCTAGAATTATAGGCGTGAGCCACCATGCCCAGCCTGCTTTATCTTTTCAAAAAACGAATTTTTGTTTCATTGATCCTCTTTATTTTTTTGTCTCAATTTTGTTTAGTTCTGATCTGATCATTGTTATTTCTTTTCTTCTGCTAGTTTTGGGCTGATTTATTTTTCTAGTTCCTTAAGGTGTGACTTTAATTTGTGATCTGTCTTAAAAATAGTTTTTTAAAAAGTCAATTTTTAGGCTGGGCACAGTGGCTCATGCCTGTAATCCTGGCACTTTGGGAGGCCGAGGTGGGGGGATCACAAGGTCAAGAGATTGAGACCAGCCTGGCCAACATAGTGAAACCCTGTCTCTACTAAAATATAAAAATTAGCTGGGCGTGGTGGTGCGCATCTGTAGTTCCAGATACTTGGGAAGCTGAGGCAGGAGAATTGCTTGAATCTGGGAGATGGAGGTTGCAGTGAGCCGAAGTTCCGCCACTGCACTCCAGCCTGGCGCCAGGTGACAGAGCAAGACTCTGTCTCAAAAGAAAAAAAATTCAATGTTTTCAAAAGGCAGCAATTTTTATGAAATATTACTAGTTTAATCCTGCATTCCATTTTGCTCCCCAAATATTTGTAATTGTGGCAAAACACATAAAATTTACCATCTTAACCATTTTTAAGTGTAAGTTCAGTAGTATTAAATATATTCATATTGTTACATAGCCATGATCACCATCCATCTCTGTAACTCTTTTCATTATTTGTTTTTTTTTTTTTTTTTCCATTATTTGTTTATTTTAGAGATGGGGGTCTTGCTATGTTGCCCAGGCTGGACATGAACTCCTGGGTTCAAGTAATCCTTCCACCTTCCTAGCTGGGACTAAAGGTGCACCACTCACAAACCCTTTCATCTTGTAAAACTGAAACTCCATACTCATTAAACAATAACTATCAATTTTCCCTTTCTCCCAGTCTATGGCAACCACTATTCTATTGTCTATCTCAGTGATTCTGAGTATTCTAAATACCTCATATACTTTTCCAGTAAGCACTGAAATGATCATATGGTTTTGTCCTTCATTTTGTTTATGTGTTGTGTCATATGTATTGACTGCATATATTAAAACATCCTTGCAGCATACCTAGGATGAATCCCACTTGATCATAATAAAATATCTTTTTAATTCAATTCACAAGTTTTTTTTTTTTTTTTGAGACGGAGTTTCGCTCGTTACCCAGGCTGGAGTGCAATGGCACGATCTCGGCTCACCGCAACCTCCGCCTCCTGGGTTCAGGCAATTCTCCTGCCTCAGCCTCCTGAGTAGCTGGGATTACAGGCACGTGCCACCATGCCCAGCTAATTTTTTGTATTTTTAGTAGAGACGGGGTTTCACCATGTTGACCAGGATGGTCTCAATCTCTTGACCTCGTGATCCACCCACCTCCGCCTCCCAAAGTGCTGGGATTACAGGCTTGAGCCACCGCGCCCGGCCAATTCACAAGTATTGTATTGAGGATTTTTACATCTACGTTCATCAGATATATTGGCCTGTAGTTCTTATTTTTGTGGTGTCTTTCTTTGGTTTTGGTATCGGTAATACTGGCAAGTTTGGAAGTATTTTCTCTTCCTCAAGTTTTTGGAACAGTCTGAGTAGAACTGTTATTAGCTGTTCTCTCAGTGTTTAGCAGAATTCACTAGTGAAAATATCAGGTCCTGGTCTACTTTGATGGGAGACTTTTTACTACTGCTTTCATCTTGTAATGTTCTATACAGGTTTTGGATTTCTTCATGGTTCAATCTTGGTATGTTTATGTGTCTTGGAAGTCATCCTTTCTTCTAAGTTTTCCAATTTACTGCATATAGTTGCTCTTAATAGTCTCTAAAAATATTTTGAATTTCTGTGATACCAGATGCAATGACTCCTTTTCATCTCTGATTTTATTTATATGGGTATTTTCTCTTTTACAATTTGGCCAAAGGTTCATTGATTTTATCTTTTTAAAAAAACAACTTGTTCTTTCATTTATCTTTTGTATTATTTTTAGTATCAATTCATTAATTTTTCTCCAATCTTTATCATTTCTTTTCTTCTAATAATTTTGGGTTTGGTTTCCACTTGCTTTTCTAGTTATTATTTATTTAGTTAAAAAATTTATATCATTTTAATGGGTACAAGTGCAATTTTGTTACATGGATTTATTCCAGAGTGATGAAGTCTGGGCTTTCTTATATTCATCACTTGAGTTATATACATTGTACCCAATTAAGTATTTTTCACTATCTATTCTGCCCATCCCCCATCCTTCCAAGTCTCTAATGTCTATTATTTCATACTCTATGTCCATATGTACACATTATTTATCCCCCACTTATAAATTAGAACACGTGGTATCTGTTTCTGAGTTGTTTTGCTTAAGATAATGGCCTCAGTTCCATCCATGATGCTGCAAAAGACATGATTTCATTCTTTTTAAATGGCTGAACAATATTCCATTATGTATATATACACCACATTTTCTTTATTCAATCATCTGTTATTTCTTTTAAGTTTCTGTACTTTTTTGATGTCAGGATTTATTGCTATAATCTTCCCTCCTAGTACTACTTTTGCTGTATCCCATAGGTTTTTGTACGTTGTGCTCCATTTTCATTGGTTTCAAGAAGATTTAAAATTTCCTCTTAATTTTTTCATTTACCCAATGGCCATTCAGAAACATGTTTAAATTCCATTCATTTGTATAGTTTCCAAAGTTCCTCTTGTTACTGATTTCTACTTTTATTCCATTATGGTCAGAAAAGATACTTGATTTACTTTTAATTTTTTGAATTTTGTGAGACTTATTTTGTGGCCTAACGTTAGGTCTATCTTTGAGAATGTTCCATTTATTGAGGAAAAGAATGTGTACTCTACAGCTATTGGATGAAATGTTCTATAGATAGCTATTAGGTAAAAGTTACTTTTAATAAACAATGGATTAACAAACATACAGGTTTATTTTTAATACACACACACACACACACACACACACACACACACACACACATATCTATGTATGTATGTTTCAGAGATAAGGTCTTGCTCTGTTGCCCAGGCTGGAGTGCAATGGCATAAACATGGCTCCCTAAAGTCTTGACCTCCTGGGCTCAAACCATCCTCCTGCCTCAGCCTCGTGAACAGCTGGGACTACAAGCTCATAACACTACATGTGTAAAAATACAAATTTTATTTTTATTTGCAGAGATGAGGTCTTGCTATGTTGCCAGGCTGGTCCTGAACTCCTAGCCTCAGGCTATTCTCATGCCTTGGCCTCCCAAAGTGCTAAGATTATAGGCATGACCCACACTACACCTGGCCAATTTTTTTTTGCTTTAATTTCGAACACAGTAAATATGGATATAAGTAAACAAAAGTTCTTTGGGGTCCTCCAAAAAAGGTGTGGAGTTTTTGACATCAAAAAGTTTGAAAGCTGTTACTGTAGATTAAGATCTCTGGCTCTATTAGTCTGAAGATTCCTGGCAGGATACCTGCTGCTCAGTTCCTCCCTGTCAGCCTTTCTTTGGGTTTCGGTTACATATAAATATTAGAGCTAGAGTAAGAAGCATAAATCTATACTGCTCATAAAGTTAAGAAAAATAAGCCCCATTATATTTTTTCTTAAAGATTTTCAACCAATTTATTAAAGCTTAATGTTAAAGAATCTATATAAATGGAACCGTAGCATACTATACCTGTGGCGTCCTAAGAAAGGAGAAATCAGGTTGTGGCATTCCAATGAGGGAACAAATTCGAGAAAGTTCAGTTACTGGTGTGGATACAGGAGGGATCTGGCTGGGGGCAGGCCAACACATATTGTCCATTGATTGAACATTATGGTACTCATTAGCACTGTGAGGCTTGTTCACATAAGATGCTACCAAAAAAGAGAAAAGAGTCTATCTGTATTAATAAAATACTATCTCAAATTATGCACTTATTGTAGGGTTTTATAGAAGAGCAGGCAGGAAACTGCTAAAAAGTGTAATAATAGAATCAGGATTTCAGGTGCCTCTAGTTTCAATCCTGGACTCTAGCAGTACAACCTCCCATTCAAGTGACTGTCAGCTTACCTTCAGTGACCCTCTGGCCACACACCTTATAAATTTCATTGAGAAGGTTGAGTAATTCAGTTAGCTGCTATAGAGCCAACTGCATTAAAAAGATGAGTCTTCCATGAAGCACATATAAAGAACTTAGTAGTTCCTAAAATTATTGCGACTTCAGTAAAGATTTTTGGGTGAGTATAACTGATTAATAATAAATTATTAAGATAAAGATTTAAAAATATGGTAAGTACCTAACTGTCAAAATTAAAACCTTGAGCAGCTAATGACTACATGGTACTGTTACAGGTAAAATTTGAACAAACAAATGGCTTTCTTGTTTTGCAGAAGAAGAGAGAAGTAAGACAACAAAAGAATGAATAAACAAATGGCTTTCTTGAGCTAAGCATAAGTAATCCTTACTTAAGTTTTGAAGTTTTGGCTTCAATCTCAATTCTTGCAATTCTACTTTACATTCTGAGACACAAGGATGAATATTTTTGTTGCTCTGAAATCATATTTCTTAAAAGTTTTTTTGAAATTGTTTTGTTATTATATGAAAGATAATTTTAAAATTGAGTGTTCACTTTCCTTATGATTGATAAACTCACTAACAGAACAAGAGCATACCTCACTGAAGAATTAATCCAAACTTTTTACTACTATATATTTAAAAAGCAGTTAACTGGCTTGCTCAAAGTCCCAGAGCCAGTTAGTTCTATAACAGGGGCTGGATTCTGAGCTAGTGACTCTAAGACTCTAAGGTCTATGAAGTTTTTTTTTTTTTTTTTTTTTTAACTATACTGAAATAAAGTAAAACTTACTTGTTTTTGACAATGGGACCATCTTTATCTAATTTTGTCTTAAAATTTTATTTGGTTCTATTTTAAGAACATGTCTGTTACTATAACAAATAATCAGTTTCCTAATACATTCTGGAATTTTTAATTAATTATTCCACTATTCACTGGAATAAAAATGGGGCTAGGTTCTGCTTTTATTCCAGGTTTTATTATTATTATTATTATTTTAAGTCAGAGTTTTGCTCTTGTTGCTCAGGCTGGAGTGTGATGGCATGATCTTGGCTCACTGCAATCTCCACCTCTTGGGTTCAAGTGATTCTTCTGATTCAGCCTCCCAAGTAGCTGGGATTACAGGTACCTGCTACCACACCCAGCTACTTTTTTTGTATTTTTAGTAGAGATGGGTTTTCACTATGTCAGCCAGGCTGGTCTCAAACTCCTGACCTCAGGTGATTCACCTGCCTTGGCCTCCGAAAGTGCTGGGATTACAGACGTGAGCCACTGCGCCCAGCTAACTCCAGATTTTGATCTTTGATACATTTAGAACTGCTTATTTCAAAAATGTTTTTTACTTCTTTGAGAAACTTCTGCCCATATCCACTTTTGTATCAGTCATTCTTCCTTGTTGCCTTTAGCAGATCGTTACACAGACAAAATGCTGAAGTATAGTGGACATTCAGGGTAGGAACAAATATTGTAGGTATTTATTGAAATCCAGTTATGTCCCAGATGTTATGTTATAGGCTTTACAGACTTAAGATTATGACCCACTTTCCTATATCTAACTCCATTAATGATTTTTAATTGATTTTGTAGATTTTTCTATTTTTACAATGGTCAAGTTATTTTAACATAATATTAATATCAATTACTGGCACCTACAATGTTTTGGAAGTAGTGCTAATTCCTTTATATTTATACATGTCATATAATTATCACAAGTCATTTGCAATGTATTATTCTCATTTTATACGTAAGAAACAAGATTTCAGAAAAGTTAAATAATGGATGTAAGTTACATGATCTTTTTTTTTTTCCAGCAGCGTTATTAGGCAGATACATGATCATTTTTAAATTACTGAGAAAAAAGCTAGGATATGCTAATTTTTTAAGGTTAGGATGTCTACAAAATGAATATCTGTAATGCTACAATTAAGTAATCACAAGAAGACATTTAGTGACTATAAATCTATTGGTTACATGGTTATATTATAATTGTTGTTGTTTTGAGACAGGGTCTGTCTCTGTTGCTCAGGTTGGAGTGCAGTGGTGTGATCTTTACTCACTGCAACCTCTGCTTCCTGGGCTCAGGCAATCCTCCCACCTCAGCCTCCCCAGTAGCTAGGACTACAGGCAGATGCTGCCATGCCCAGCTAACCTTTGTATTTTTTATAGAGGCAGAAACTGCCTCAGCTTCCCAAAGTTCTGGGATTATAGGCATGAGCCACATCTGGCCAGTTATATCATTATATAACTGAAACAAGTATAAAAATTATAGTTTTGAGAAAAAAAGTAGTTTTAGGCCAGGTGTGGAGACATATGCCTGTAATCCCAGCATTTTGGGAAGCTGAAGTGAGAGGATTGCTTGAGCCTGGCCAACATGGTGTGACATCATCTCTAAAACTTAAAAAAAAAAAAGTAGTTTGTTTATCTTTAAAAGCACACGATAAAAAGAACCAAATGAATTGAATTTTGAAAATGATATTATTGGTAACAGTACTTAGTTTACTTACCTAACTTCTTATTTTGTTTAGGCTGAGAGGGTAATCCATATTCATCTCTTCTATTAGAGGAAACAGGGATTTCATGACCAATCTGTTTCATTTCATTCTTATGGTCCACAGTATTAGAGCCATCAATTTTTAGAATTTCTTTAAGCATCCGTGTTCCCTTCTTTTTGAAAATGATTCACATGGAGATAGTGGGGGTGAAAAGAAGAAAGTCAACATTAGATCTATAGAACTTATTAATCTTTCTTGGTAAGAATTCCATTGTTAAAAATTAAGACACTAACTACATTCAGATAGAAACTGGAAAAAAAAACCCACCCACATTTCTGATATAGAAACAATACTTCTGCTTAACTTTAATCCCAGTTGCCTAGTAGCAATGTTTGAAAAGTGGGGGAACTATGGTCTAAAGAGAAAAAGTATGGCTAAATTGCCCAGGAAAGCCTGGTTTTCCTCACAAGATGACAATAATGATGTAATATACCAGCCTCCATGAGGGAAAAGTGTTTGAACACTTATATGGGATATATTTGCATGGTCAACAGTCGAGAAATTACCATAGTAAGAAAGTTCCTACAAAATACGAACCATAGCAAATGACTGTGGTGACAAATGCTCTTCACTTGGAGGTCCCCCATGATGAGATGACTGTACTTCATTTTCTTTGGAAATATTCAAAGATGCTAAAAAGTTCTCAATTCCAGAGTTAGGCTAAAAGAATAAATATTTTGGGCATGAAGATGAAACTATAATGCAAGAACACACAAAAAGCTGAGTTTTATGTACAAAAATGGTCATTCTATTTTTACTCAATCATCTTCCCAGTTGTTAAAGTTTGGGAAGAGAATCTGAATAAATAGTCTTTTACCTTATCAATAGCATTTGGATAACCAGTCACAACCTTTTGGGTTTCTGAGACTTCTGGACTTTCATTTCTCTTCAATAGCTTAATATTACATTTGGCAGGCCCTTCAAAAGTCTATAAAAAAGTTAAGAATAGGCTTTTTGTGTAAATATATTTGTAGTTACTACATAATAATGTTCTAAATAAATTACCGTAAAACATTTTATGTGCTATTTTGCCTTTTATGTTACAAGAAAAGGGGGCCTATAAGCTTGGATGGGGAAAAATTACATCTTTATCTTCATTAACCTCTAAATGAGATTTAGCATTTCATACAATTATGAATACAGGCAACAAACTACTTATATGGTCTGTGTGTTTATACTCCCCCAAAATTCCTCTGTCAAAAGTCCTAACTTCTAATGGGATCATATTAGGAGGTGGGGCTTTTGGGAGGTAATTAAGTTTAGATGAGGTCTTTCAGGTATTATACCCATGATGGTATTAGTGTCCTTACATGAAGAGGAAGAGAATAGAGTTCTTTCTTTCCATCGTGTTAGACTATGAGACGATGCATCATCTGCAAGCCAGAAAGGGAACCCCCACCAGACAAAGGCACTTTACCAGATTCTAACTGTATTTCAATATAACTGGTTTTCGTTTCAATCTTTTTAGCTTTAAAGACAGTATTCTGCTCGTGCCTTAATGTTGGACTTCCCAGACTTCAGAGATGTGAGAAATAAATGTTTACTGCTCAATGTACCTAGTCTATGGTATTTTTATTATAAAGCTCAAATCAACTAAAAACCACAACAGTGGTGATTCTAATTGTATATCAGTATAACTGGTTTTCTTTAAAATCGTACATATTTTATTTTAGCATTAAGAATACTATTCTGAGAATAATGGCTAAGCCAAAAGTTTATGGGCTTCACCAAAGATGTCTACTGCACAAAAAGTTTATCAATCCCTTTTCTAGAATAAGGGAAATTAAGAGTTTCAAAAGAAGAGGGCCTTAAAAGTCAAGTAATTATACCATTTGGTATCTAAATATTAATGGGTTCCATTTACTGAGAACCTGTTATGTGCCAAATATTCAACTAAGACATCTTTTATAAATTTAATATTACTATGAGATCAATTTAAAAAAAAAGTTATAAAATATGACAGGCATAAAGTAAACATCTCATATACCTGTCAAATTTTTTAGATCAAAAATATGATATAAAGTAAAACATAAATAATCTCAGCTTCCCCCACACCAATCTAATTCCAAAGAATTTAGCCTTTTAAGTTTGCTATTTCGTTCCATATACTTCAATTGTATACATAAATGTATACTTCCATATAATATATATATGTCTATTTGTGTGTGTGTATATATATATGACCATATATATTGAGAGCAACTAAAAGTGATTATTACTACTGTCATTTTTTTTTTTTTGGAGACAGATTCTCACTCTGTTCCTCAGGCTGGAGTGCAGTGGCATGATCTCGGCTCACTGCAACCTTCGCCTTCCAGGTTCAAGTGATTCTCCTGCCTCAGCCTCCCAAGCAGCTGGGACTACAGGCACGCGCCACCACGCCTGGCTGATTTTTTCTGTATTTTTAGTAGAGACGGGGTTTCACCATGTTGGCCACGATAGTCTTGTACTCCTGACCTCAAGTGATCCACCTACCTCTGCCTCCCAAAGTTCTGGGATTAGAGGCATGAGTCACCACGCCCACCCAGGTGATTAACATTTTTATCTCCATTTAAAGAAGAGAAAATTGAGGCTATGAGAGAAAAAGTGAATTGCCTAAGGCTATCCAACTATTAAATGGCAGAATCAGGATTTCAGGTGCTTCTAGGGACTTGAGGTGTACAACCTCCCATTCAAGTGACTGTCAGCTGAACTTCAGTAACCCTCTGGCCATACACCATATACATTTGGTTGGTAAGGTTGAGAAATTCAGTCTGATGCTACAGAGCAACCAATTGCATTAAAAAGTTAGTAACTAGAAATTTGATTTTAAGGAAGCTTACTTGCTTATTGGACATTTTCTGGGACCGACACTCAGCTTTAGGACTCTTACACTCTTCTTTAACTAGAGACAAGAAAACAGAAATTTTCATAAATGGAAGAGCTTGCTGCACAATTAAAACTACCAAATATTTATGATAGAAAGGCACTGTGTTAAAAATTCAGAGAATTCCAAGACACAGTCTCTGAACTTAAGGAATTTATAATATAGATAAGAGGGAGAAGAGACACTTACATAATAATAGAGAAAATAGAAAGGTGGCATCCGAAGTGGGCCTTGAGGGATGGTAGGTTTTTAAAGGGTAGACTAAGAAGTTAAGTATTCCGGGCAAAGGAAATAGTGGAAAAAAAGACATGGAAGCAGAAAGCAAGGAATGTGTTTATGAAACTCTAAATAGACAAGTTCCACTGGAAGTTAAGGAGTAAAATGGAGCTTAAGGGAACTAAGGAAGCAGGTTAGATCATAACCTGCAAGGTACTGAAGACTATGGTATTATTTTAAGCTGGTAGGCAATGTGCAACAAGTCACAGAAAGGTTTTGAGCAGGTAGTAATCTGATGAGAACTGTGCTTTAGAATGATTAAAGTATGACAATAGCCTATTGGCTAGAAAAAAGAATAGTATGAGACCAATTCAGGTAGCTATTTTAACAGTTCTGTTTAAGGGGAAATTAGGGGATGCTAGGAGAAATGAAAAGAATGAATCTGAAAAATTCTAGAATTTAGCAAACGACAGGATGTGAAGTTGAAGATAGGAAGGGATGAATGTGAGAGATTATTTTCATAGGATTTAGCAAATGATAGACTATGAAGATGAAGAATACAAGGAGCAGGAAGTAGATCTGACGAAGCACAAAAAGTATAGTTTGTAATTATTGCATAATATTCGATTATATTGGATATACTGGATTATATGGATCTACTATAACTTGTTTTTACCACTTTCTATCACTAGACTGTTCATTAAGCCACTTTGAAAAAGAAAAAAAAAGGTGTGTAAGGAGAAAAGTGGAAAATGGGAAGGAAGGAAGGAAAGAAGGAAGGAAGAAAATATTAAAAAGGAAAGAGAGGGTTAAGGAAAGAAGCAGGGGAAAGGGAATAGTGAGGAAGGCATGAGAGGGAGGGAATGAGATCAGAGACGGGAAGGAAGGACAAAGGGAAGAAGGAAGGGTGAGAGAAGGAATACAGAGAAAGGAAAAGAGAAGGGGAGGAAAGGAAGGCAATGGAGGTAAGGAAGAGAGGAAGGAAAGAAAATAATCTTACAAAACAAAGGAAAAGAAAATGTGAGCCGAGATGCATCAACACTAAACATTTGTTGAGACATACACAAAAGAAAACTAACTGGAACTTCACATAACTCAAATAGTTTACATACATTTATGTAAATATTAATTTGAAGAAAAATTAAAATGTATTTGAAGTAAATATAAAATAAGCTATATTTATCATTATCAGATTTATAGGGACATTAATCTGCATTTAACTTAAAGAGTAAAAGAAACCAAAATAACACATAGATACTGGTATTAAAAAAATGTATGGCGCGGTGGCTCATGCCTGTAATCTCAGCACTTTGGGAGGCCGAGGCAGGCAGATCATGAGGTCAGGAGATCGAGACCATTCTGGCTAACACGGTGAAACCCCATCTACTAAAAATACAGAAATTAGCCAGGCGTGGTGATGCATGCCTGTAATCCCAGATACTTGGGAGGCTGAGGCAGGAGAATCGCTTGAACCTGGGAGGCGGGGCTTGCAGTGAGCTGAGATCACACCACTGCACTCCAGCCTTGGCGACAGAGCTAGATTTCATGTCAAAAAAAAAAAATGGCTTTGGGAGGCCGAGGTGGGTGGATCACGAGGTCAAGAGATTGAGAGCATCCTGGTCAACATGGTGAAACCCCGTCTCTACTAAAAATACAAAAAATTAGCTGGGCATGGTTGTGCACGCCTGTAATACCAGCTACTCAGGAGGCTGAGGCAGGAGAATTGCCTGAACTCAGGAGGCGGAGGTTGCGGTGAGCCGAGATCGCACCATTGCACTCCAGCCTGGGTAACAAGAGCAAAACTCCGTCTCAAAAAAAAAAAGGTATAGCAGTTACCAAACTGAACCAAAGTTAAAAACCTCAAAAAAATTTCTGAAAATAGCTTTTTAGAAAAATGTTTAAAAGACTTTATGACCTAAAATATATAAATACATAAAATACCATGCACATGTAAAATATAGTAAGTTAGCCTCAGGGCTCTGCACTTGATAGTTCCTCTACTGGAAAGCTCTTCAGCCAGCTTTGCATAGTTCATGCCTTCTTGAACCCTCTATTAGGGTCTGTGCTGGAGTGTCATCTCCTCAGAAAGCCTTTCTTGTCAACCCAATTTAAAAGAGCAACCCTATCTCTCTATCCTTCTTAATCTGTTTTACTTTTCATCACAGCATTTATCATTACTTCAGATTATGGAATTTACTGTTTACTTGAATAAAGTAAATAAAGTAGTTGAATAAATAAATGAATAATGAGTCATATTTTGAACATAAAGAATAATTCTTTGAAATTTGGAAATACTTTGGTCAAGGGAAGAGAAATTATTACTGCAGGATGAAGATTCTCATTCCTGACTGTGCCTGAACATAGTACACACTATTGAAGAAATTTAAAGAGAGAGTATAAATATAAAAATTATGTTAGATAACATTAACAACAAAATATTTGCACCGATTTTAAAGAAAAGCTTGTAATACAGTTTGGAGTATTTAATAGGCAAGTGTCTATAAGCAGAAAAGTAACTGGATCACTCTAAGATTTATCTTAAGTAGTTAGTGAAGGGCCATTAGTAAAAATGTCAGAGTCAGGACCTCCAACAATTCTCTTCTCCATAAAAGAAACAAGAGAATGAGCATAAATGAGCAGAATTCATATTTTCAGAACTACAGAAATTAACCAAAGGCTTACAGCAATCTAGGGAGTGTTTATTCAAGAAAAAAAAAAAAAAAAGTGGGAACTTGAGTACCAGCAAGCTTTGCCCCCATGGACTGATGTGCTTTGGAGGCCTAAATAAACTTGAAAGGCTGTCTAGGCCACAAGGACTACATGTCCTAGGGTTGAGCTGGTCTTGCAGCCTGTGCACTTGCTAGGCATGTGACTTACTGAGACTCTTGCTGGGGCAGCTAAGGGAGTGCTTGTGCCACTACTCCCCCAACCCCAGGCAATACAACTTGAGGCTCCAAAAGAGACCCTGCTCTTCTACTTGAGGAAAGGAAAGGGAAAAGATGACTTTTATATCTTGGATACCAACTCAGTTAGGCTTGTGTCAAAGTCATGAGACCCCATTCCAGGCCCTAGCACTCATGGATGACATCTCTAGACACGCCATGGGCCAGGAGGGAACCTACAGCCCTGAAGGGAAGAACCCAGTCCTGGCAGGATTCATCACCTGTTAACTAAAGAACCCTTGGGATCGACATAACCAGTGGTGATACCAGGTAGTACCCATGTGCCTTAGATGAGACTCTGACACCCAGCACATACCCACCTACGGTGACTATGATGAAAGAGTCCTTCTGCTTGAGAAAAGCAGAGGGAAAAAGTAAAGGAGATTTTGTCTTGCACCTCAGATACCAGCTCTGTCAAGTGGGATAGAGCCCCAAGTGGGCTCTTAGGGTCTCCACTTCCAGGCTGTGGTTCTTAGATGCATTTCTAGACCTGCCTTGGGCCAGAGGGACCCCCATTGCCCTGAAGGGTGAGTCCCAGGCCAGGCAGCATTCGTCATAAGCTGATTGAAGAGCCCTGGGCCTTACGTGAACATCAGCAACAGTCTAGCAGTACTTTCCATGGGCCTGTGGTTGGTGATGGCCAACCACAGAAAGTGGAGGGAGGAGTGAGAAGAGCAGTGTCTCAAGGTTTCAGGGCCAGCTTAGCTGCAGTACAACACAAGGTAGATTTCTAAGGTTTTTGAATCCAGTCCCTATCTCTTGGATGGCATCTCAGGATCCACCCAGGACCTAGGGGAACACATTTCCCTAAAGGGAAGGACAAAAGTCTGGCTGGTTTCACCACCTGATTATAGAGCACTAGCACCTTGAGCAAACACAGGCGGCAGCCAGGTATGGCAGGCCATGGGTGAGACTGAGTGCTGTGCTAACTTCGGGTCTGACATAGTGCAGTCCCAGTGGTGGTGGCCATAGGGGTATTCGTGTCATCCCATCCCCAAGCCCAGGTGGCTCAGCAAAGAGAGAAAGACCCCATTTGCTTGGGAGAAAGTAAAGGAAGAGAACAAGACTCTGCAAGAGCCATAGCATTTCTGGGCTAGGGGTGCCCCATAATGCATATACAGTTTAGAGCACAAAATCCAAGTCCTTACAAATACTTGGAAAGTGTTCCCAAGAAGGACTGCTACAAACAAGCCCAGACTCCAAAGACTATGGTAAGTATCCAACTCCTTAATGGCCAGACGCCAACGAACATCAACAAGCATCAAGACCATCCAGCAAAAAATATGACTTCAACAAACTAAGTAAGGCACCAGGGATCAATCCTGCAGAAACAGAGATATGTGACCTTTCAGACAGAATTCAAAATACCTATTTTGGTCAGAAGCCTTGGCTCATGCCTGTAATCCCAGCACTTTGGGAAGCTGAGGTGGGAGGACTGTTGGAGCCCAAGGGGTTGAGCCTGCAGTGAGACATGATAGCACCCCTACACTTCAGCAACAGAGCAAGACCCTGCCTCAAAAACAAAAACAAAAAATAACAATAAACAGCTATAATCCCAGCTCAGGAGGCTGAGGCAGGAGAATTGCCTGAACCCAGGAGGCGGAGGTTGCGGTGAGCTGAGATCGCACCATTGCACTCCAGCCTGGGTAACAAGAGTGAAACTCCATCTCAAAAAAAAAAGGAAAAGGAAAGAGATATATCCAAATATAGTAATAGCTGGAGACATCAACATTCCACTTTCAGCATTGTACAGCCTTCTAGATGGGAAATAAACAGTATCTGGAACAACCTGAAGACTCCACCAAATAACTATCAGAACTGATACATTCAGTAAAGTTTCAGGTTGCAAAATCAACATACAAAAATCAGTAGCATTTTTATATGTCAACAGCAAACAATCTGAAAAAGATATCAAGAAAGCAATTCCATTTATAATAGCTACAGATAAAATTAATTACCTAGGAACTAACCAAAGAAGTTAAAGATCTCTACAATGAAAACTATAAAACACTGATGCAAGAAATTGAAGAAGACAAAAAAAGAAAGAGATTTCAAGTTTCACAGACTGGAAAAATCAATATTGCTAAAATGTCCATGTTACTCAAAGGGATCTACAGATTCAATGCAATACTGGTCAAAATACCAGTAACATTCTTTACATAAATAGAAAAAAAAATCCTAAAATTTACATGGAAACACACACACAGACACACCCCAGAATAGTCAAAGATATCCTGAGCAAAAAGAACAAAACTGGAAGAATCATATTACCTGACTTCAAGTCATATTATAGACCTATGGTAATGAAAATGGCATGGCACTGGCATAAAAACAAACACACAGAACAGTGGAACACAACAGTGAACCCAGAAATAAATCCACACAACTCATTTTTGACAAATGCACCAAGAACACACATTGGGGAAAGAACAGTCTTTTCAACAAATGGTGCGGGGAAAATTGGATATCCATGTGCAGAAAAATGAAACTAGACCTCCATTTCTTGCCATATACAAAAATCAAAATGGATTAAAGACTTAAGTCTAAGACCTAAAGTATGACACTACTAAAAGAAAACATTGGGCAAATTCTGACACTGGAACTGGGCAAGGAGTTCTTGAGTAGTCTCCCACAAGCACAGGCAACCAAAGCAAGAATAAACAAATGGGATCACATCAAGTTAAAAAACTTCTACACAGCAAAGGAAACAATCAACAACCTGAAGAGACAATGCAAAGAATGGGAAAAAATATTTGCAAACTACCCATCTGACAAGATGGGTAACAACCAGAATATATAAAGAGCCCAAACAACTCTCTAGAAAAAAAATCTAATAATCCCATTAAAAAATGGGCAAAAGCTTCAAATAGACTTTTCTCAAAAGAAGAGGTATAAATGGTAATATGAAAAGGTGCTCAACATCTCTGATTATCAAAGAAATGCAAATCAAAACTACAATGAGATATCATCTCAACCGGATAAAATGGCTTTTATCCAAAAGACAGGTAATAACAAATGCTGGTGAGGATATGGAGAAAAGGGTACCCTTGTACATGTTGGTGGGGATGTAAATTAGTACAAACACTATGGAAAGCAATTTGGAGGTTTCATAAAAAACGAAAACTAGAGCTACCAAATGATTCAGCAATCTCACTGCTGGGTGTATACCCCAAAGAAAGGAAATCAGTATATTGCAGAGATTATCTCCACTCCCATGTTTGTTGCAGCACTGTTTATAATAGCCAAGATTTGGAAACAACCTAAGTGTCCATCAACAGGTGAACAGATTAAAGAAAATGTGGTACATATACACAGTGTAGTACTATTTGGTCATTAAAAAAATGAGATCCCATCATTTGCAACAACATGGATTAAACTGGAGATCATATGTTAAGTGAAATAATCCAGGCACAGAAAGATAAATTTTACCTGTTCTATTTGTGGGAGCTAAAAATTAAAATGATTGAACTCATGAAGACAGAGAGTAGAAAGATGGTTACTAGAGGCTGGGAAGAGTAGTGGAGGGGTGGGGGAAAAGTGGGGATGGGTAGCGAGTACAAAAAATAGATGAATTAAACCTAGTATTTTCTAGCCTAACGGGGTGACTATAATCAAAATAATTTAATTGTATATTTTTAAATAAACAAGAGAATATAATTATATTGTTTCTAACATAAAGAATAAATGCTTGAGGTGATGGATACCCTATTTACCCTAATGTGATCATTATGCATTACATGCCTATGACAAAGTATCTCATGTAACCCATAAATATATACACCTACTGTGTATCCACGAAAATAAAAGATAAAAAAAAAAAAGGCAAGAATGCATGGTCTCACCGATGCTATTCAGCACTGTACTAGTTGTTGTAAACACAACAATTAGGCAAGAAAAGAAATAAAAGGCACTGACATCATATAGGAAAAAGTAAAACTACCTCTATTTGCAGAAGCCACAAAAAATTAGGGCCAAAAAACAGTTCAGGAAGGTGGCAGATCAATATACAAAATCAGTTTTATATCTATAACAGCAATGAACAATCCAAAAACAAAATTAACCCAGTTCCACTGAAAAAAGCATGAAAAAGAGTAAAATATTTCAGAATAAATTTAAGAAAAAGTGTAAGACTTGTATAACTGAAAACTATGAGACATCATGGAAAGAAATTAAAAACCTAAATACGTGGAAAGACATCCTGTGTTCATGATGACTTAATACTGTTAAGACAACAATACTACCCAAAGTAAACTACAGATTCAATGCAATCCCTATAAAAATTCCAGCTGGCATTTTTGCAAAATAGGCAAAATGATCATAAAATTCAAATGGAAATGCAAGAGGCCCAGAATAGAGAAAACAATCCCGAAACAGAAAAACAAAGTTAGAGGGCTCAAACTTCCTGATTCCAAAACTTACAACAAGGTTACGGTAATTAAGACTGTTTTTCACATAAGGACAGGCATATAGACTAGTAGAATGGAACTGAGAGTCCAGACATGAGCCCATACATCTACAGTCAATTACTTTTTAAAAATGAGTTGGTGTCTTAATATGTTTCCCTGGGTGGACTCAAACACCTGGGTTCAAGCAATTCTCCTGCCTCAGACTCCTGGGTAGCTGGGACAACAGATGCAAGCCTGGCTCTGTAGTCAAATAATTTTTGACAAGGGTGTTAAGCCTATTCAATGAAGTGTCAAGAAAACTCAATGGAGAAAGAGAAGTTTTTAACAAACGATCTGTGGATAAATGGATATCCACATGCAGAAGGATGAATATAAACTCCTACATCATACCATGCAAAAACTTTTACTCAAAATGGAAACAGACCTAAATCTAACAGCTAAAACTATAAAATTCTTAGAAGAAACCACACAGTAACTCTTTATGACTTTGGATTAGGGAATGGTTTCTTAGATGTAACATCTAAGGTATAAGCAACCAAAGACAAAGCAGAAAAAACACACAAATTGGACTTCGCCAAGATTTAAAACTTTTGTGTTTTAAGACAGTATAAAGAAAATTAAAAGAAAACCCACATAATGAGAGAAAATACTTGAGGACTGCATATCCAACAAGCATGTAATATCTAGCACATATAAAGAACTCTTACAAATCAAGAAAAAAAATAAAAAAATCCAATTAAACAATGAAACAAGGATTTGATTAGACATTTATCCAAAGATGATATACAGTCAATAATTGAACATGTTGAGCACATGAAAAGATGCTCAACATTATTAGTCATTAATAAACTACAAATGAAAATCATAAAGACATTCCACCTCACACCTAATAGGATGACTATCATTAAAGAGAAGGACAATAACAAATGTTGTGGAAGATGTAGAGAAATTGGATCTTCACACGTTGGTGGGGCAAATGTAAAATGATAATATCCAAACAGTTGAAACCATAAAAAGTTGAATTTAGAATTATCACCATATGATTCAGTATATGTATATACCCAAGAGAACTGAAAACATATGTTCACACAAAAACATTTCTACAGATATTCATAGCAGCATTATTCATTATAGCCCCAATGTGGAAACAACCTCCATGTCTACAAATGAACAGATACACAAAATGTAGTATTCATACAATGGAATATTATTCAGCCATAAGAAGGAATGAAGTACTGATATAGTTGTCCCTCTGTATCTGTGGGAGATTGCTTCTGGGACCTCCTGTGGCTATCAAAACCAACATATGCTCAAGTCCTTCATGGAAAATATTGTGGTATTTGCATATAATCTACACATGTACTCCTTATATATTTATTTCTAGATTATTTATAATGCTCGATACAATGTAAATGCTGTGTAAATAGTTGTCATGCTGTATTGTTTAGGGAATAAGATTAAAAAATGCACACATGTTCAGAACAGACACGATCATCCTCTTTTATTTTTATTTTTGAAAGGGGGTGTCACCCAGGCTAGAGCACAGTGGCCGATCTTGGCTCACTGCAACCTCTGTCTCCTAGGCTCAAGTGATCGTTCTACCTCAGCATCCTGAATAGCAGGGACTACAGGCGCACACCACCATACCCAGCTAATTTTTGTATTTTTGGTAGGGATAGGGTTTTGCCATGTTGCCCAGGCTGGTCTTAAACTCCTGGGCTCAAGTGATCCGCCTGCCTTGGCGTCCCAAAGTGCTGGGATTATAGGCCTGAGCTACCATGCCCAGCCTTTTCTGAATACTTTTGATCTTCAGTTGGTGGAATCCGTGGATGTGGAACCCAGGGGTATGGAGGGCCAATGGAACATGCTACAACATAGACAAATCTTGAAAATATACAAGTAAAAGAAGGCAGTCATAAAAGGTCATATATTTTCTGATTCCATTTATATGAAATGTCCAAATAGGTATGTCCATAGAGGCAGAAAGTAAACTACAGGTTGCCAGGGCCTGAGAGAGTGACTGCTAATACATATGGTGTTTATTTTTCAGGTAACAAAAATGTTCTAAATTTACTTGGTGGTGTTGGTTGCACAGTTTTGTGAAAATACAAAAAAAAAAACCCCACTTATTGTATACTTTAAAAGAATGAATTTACTTTATGGTCTGTGAATTATATCTTAATAAAGCTGCTCATTTTTTATAAAAAAAAGAAGCAGTAGCACACACAAGTATACCTTTCTAATTTAAAACTTACATTTTCTGTGAGGGTCATGTTTTCTTTGCTGATATTTAATACTGTTGTCATTAAAGCCAGATTTATGATGTTGATTTACTTGGCTTATTTCTTGAGGTAGAACAGCACCCTGAAAATTAAAATTCTTATGAATTAGTTAAACAAAATCTTAATATAACTACTTATTTTCTTCAACTTTTAATAAATAATTACATTATTTTTATAAAAATTATATAGTTCCTTAGAAAAAAACTTTATAGAAAAGTATGGAGACTTTTAAAGCCACCTGAACTCTACCACCAGACTCATTAAACATAATAAATATCACTCTAGATATTTTCTCTATGCATTAGTTCGCAAGGTATAAAGAAAACAATCATTTTACAAAATGCTACTTTTTGTTTTTTTTTTTTGAGACAGATTCTAGCTCAATCACCCAGGCTGGAATGCAGTGGTGCAGTCTCAGCTCACTGCAACCTCCACCTCCTGGGTTCATGGCGATTCTCATGCCTAAGCCTCCCGAGTAGCTGGGACTACAGGCAAGTACCATCATGCCTGGTTAGTTTTTGTATTTTTAGTAGAGATGGAGTCACACCATGTTGGTCAGGGTGGTCTCAAACTCCTGGCCTTAAGTGATTCTCCTGTCTCAGCCTCCCAAAGTGCTGGGATTACAGGCGTGAGCCACAGTGCGCAGCCAAAAATGCTTCTTTCAATAAAAGAATTAAATCTAATTTTGCTTGATGTTAACAAATGCAGAAACCAAACAAAAATACTAAACTTGAGGTTAATGTTTCTTCACAACAGAAATATCAGTCTCTAAAGATCCCCCTAGATTTGTTTCAAAATAATTCCATTACTTGGGCAGGTGGAGGTGGGAAATGAATAGGGGTTCTAAAAGAAATAGTACTGGACTAGAGCAAGGTAGGGAATGAGTACTTGTACGTTCATTCATTCTATTTACTTGACTTCATTATGTTTAAACTCTGCCATTAAAAAGTTGTTAGAAATGCATTATTTCTGGCTCTGTTATGAAAACTGAGGATATCAGCCCACTTACATTCCCTTCCATGTTAATTTTTATCCCACGTTTTACTGTGATTAATAAAATCCCAATATCCGCTTTTTATTATATTTATATTGTCAAGGTTTTTAAATGATGGAAGACTTCACTACTAGCCAGCCAGACTGATTATAAAGTTACAGTAATTGAGACAGTTCATAGACAGAATTAGCAAAATGGCATGAGTAAGTTTCATATGAAGATTCTATCAGATCCTTTCATTTTTGGATAGGGAGAGAAAGCCTGAATGCAAAAAGAGACAATCTGCCACAGCTGAAGCAGCAAGAAGAAGCAAAAGTGGAGGCTAATGAGGTCAATACAAATGAATTATTTCACAGTTTTGCTTTTGGTAGGTCCTATTTACTTTCTTCTCAACACAAATAAACACTGGGCACAAAGATACAACATGTCTTAGCTGGTAGCTGGCATGGTTCAAAATACTTGTGATATGCATGGGAGTACAAAGGAAGGCCTAATGAGGTTACGTGTACAGAAACATTCAAGGGTCTTTGGTTTTTTAAAATTCTATTTTAATTTTTTTTTTTTTTGGTAGAGACAGGGATATTATGTCACCCAGGCTAGTCTCAAACTCCTGGGCTGAAGTGTTCCTTCTGCCTTGGCCTCCCAAAGTGCTGGGATTACAGGCATGAGCCACTGTGCCCAGCCCAAGGCGCTTCAGTTTTATTTGTGCTTTGTTTTTGGGTCAGGGTCTTGCTCTGTCACTCAGGCTGGCATGTAGTGCAGTGGTACTTGCTCACTGCAACCTTTGACTCCTGGGTTCAAGTGATCCTCCTGCCTTAGCCTCCCGAGGAGCTGGGGCTATGGGCATGTGGCACCATGGCTGGCTAATTTTTATATTTTTTTGTAGAGACAGGATTTTGCCGTGTTGCCTAGGCTGTTCTCAAACTCCTGGGCTCAAGTGATCCACTGCGCCCAGCCAGCTCTTCAGTTTTTAAGAGTCAAAATGGCATGAGATTTCTACTGTCATGGCACAATGGCTGGTGGGGTTTTGGACTACAGCAGTACATTATGGGTGACTTTGACCCTAAGGAGAGGAATAAGAACATCAGGACAGAACAAATATTGTTTTGAGTGTCCATTATGTGCCAGGTATGGTCAATGAACTATGTACCCATTATTTTAATATCATTATAGTAATGCTACTATCATAATAATGCTGTTATTATTTTGATTTGATTTTATAGTTGAGTATAGATGAGGCTCAAACTGATAAAGCAATTTATCACAGATACATGTAATGGGAGAGTTGACATTTGAGCTTTAACTCCAAAATTCACATTCATAGCAATACTTCAGAGAAAAGGTAAGCCACACATTTAACTAGAAAGCAAATATTAGGGTATAGTTCTTTAGGTGTTCTGTTTGGTATCTCTATAAAGGTATTTGTGTTAGTCATATAGCCATGTTTTGCCTATCAAAGCTTGAATATTTTTTATCACAGTGAGTTCTCTTGAATTTGCTCATCAGGCTAGGCTGCTTATTAATGCATATGCATTATATTTGGGATCTCATAATTCTTAGGACATTTAAGAGATAAATCATGAGGGTGTTCAGCTGAAATAATGAAATAGTAAGACAGGTTGCATGTAGGAGATAATGAGAAAATACAATATCAAGTGGTTCTCAAGGAAAAAGCAGATTTTGACTGAGACCTAGGAAGTTATTGGTAGTGAGAGAAAAAAAGGGTATTATAAGAGGAAGGCACAAAAAGAACACATAACTCCAAATGGGAATCATCTGTGGGAAGGGGAAAGTAAAGAGACCAGTCTGACTGGAACAGACTATTATGTCCAAATAGTTGGATATACATCATATATTTAGGTGGAGTTAGATTATAGAAGGCCTTAGACATTAGTTTGAAGAGTTGAAGCAAGAATCCAACCCTGGAGCTGTATATATTCTAGAGAGGACTACAGCAATACTATTTTGTGGCTGGAAAAGACCTCAGAGGTCATCTAAGTGAAATGCCTTCATTACATACATGAGGACACAGAAGCCTAGGGAAATAAGCCTCTCTGAGGAGAGAGTATTCCAGACAAATTCAAAGGCCCTATTGTAGGGACCATCGCTGGCATACTCAAGGAAGAAAAAGGCCATTACTGCTGTAGCAAAAGGGTGAGTTATAGAAAATGTGACTAGAGAGGTGACACACTGATATTGTGTGTCATTCCAGGCCATTATATAAGGACACTGGCTTTTACTCAGTGAAACAGGGCAAATTAGTGGAGGGTTTTGATCAGGAGGACATGATCTCTGATTTATGTTTTAATAGGATCACTCTGTCTGCTATCTTGAGAATAGACTGTAGAGGAGCCAGGATGGAAAGAGATTAGTAGACTACTATAACCATCAAAGTGAGAGTTGGTATGAATTTGACCAGATAACGGAAGCCTGTGAGGAATGGTCCAATTCTAGACATATTTGGAAGAGATTTATAGATGGTAATGAATTGGATAAGAGGGTAAGAGATATAGGAAGGAGTAAAGGATGTGACTCTTAAGGTCTGAGCGAAAGAATGGAGTGGCTATTAACTGAGATGGGAATGACATCAGGTCAAGTAAGTTTGTCCGAGAAGAGCAAGAGTTCAGTTTTGGACATGTAAGTCTGAGATGTCTATTTAGTAACCAAGTGGAGACACAGAGTTGGACATTTGAGTGGAGATGCAGGGTTGGACATTTGAGTCTAAAGGTCATGCAGGACTTCCAAGCTGGAAAGAGAAATTTGGGAGGCGCCCCGCCGCGCCCTCGCCCACCTGCCAGCCCGCTGCTCTCGGCCCCCGCTCTCCCCCTCTGCTCGCCCCCTCCGCCGATGCCGCCGGCCCCTGAGACTACGCTGCGGCCTCCCGCCCGCTCCCGCTCTCTCCCGCGGCCCTCGCCAGCCTCCCGCCCGCTCCCGCTCTCTCCCGCGGCCCTCGCTCGCCTTGCGCTGGCAGTTTTGGCCCTACACCTCCCCTCCCCCCGCCAGCCGCCAAAGACTTGACCACGTAAGGAGCCCAACTCCCCCCGAACGCCGCCCGCCGCTTGCCAAGGATGCCGGTGTGACTGAATGTGGACTAAATGTGACTCTCGCCATTTGGCTTCTTATGCACCGAAAGCAAGTAGGAAGCATCATTGGGAAGAAAGGGGAGTCGGTTAAGAGGATCCGGGAGGAGAGTGGCGCACGGATCAACATCTTGGAGGGGAATTGTCCGGAGAGAATCATCACTCTGACCGGCCCCACCAATGCCATCTTCAAGGTTTTCGCTATGATCATCGACAAGCTGGAGGAAGATATCAACAGCTCCATGACCAACAGCACCGCAGCCAGCAGGCCCCCGGTCACCCTAAGGCTGGTGGTGCCGGCCACCCAGTGCGGCTCCCTGATTGGGAAAGGCGGGTGTAAAATCAAAGAGATCCGCGAGAGTACCGGGGCGCAGGTCCAGGTGGCGGGGGATATGCTGCCCAACTCCACCGAGCGGGCCATCACCATCGCTGGCGTGCTGCAGCAGTCTGTTACCGAGTGTGTCAAGCAGATCTGCCTGGTCATGCTGGAGACGCTCTCCCAGTCTCCGCAAGGGAGAGTCAGGACCATTCCGTACCAGCCCATGCCAGCCAGCTCCCCAGTCATCTGCGCGGGCGGCCAAGATCGGTGCAGCGACGCTGCGGGCTATCCCAACGCCACCCATGACCTGGAGGGACCACCTCTAGATGCCTACTCAATTCAAGGACAACACACCATTTCTCTGCTCAATCTGGCCAAGCTGAACCAGGTGGCAAGACAACAGTCTCACTTTGCCATGATGCATGGCGGGACCGGATTAGCCGGAATTGACTCCAGCTCTCCAGAGGTGAAAGGCTATTGGGCAAGTTTGGATGCATCTACTCAAACCACCCATGAACTCACCATTCCAAATAACTTAATTGGCTGCATAATCGGGCGCCAAGGCGCCAACATTAATGAGATTCGCAATATGTCCGGGGCCCAGATCAAAATTGCCAACCCAGTGGAAGGCTCCTCTGGTAGGCAGGTTACTATCCCTGGCTCTGCTGCCACTATTAGTCTGGCCTAGTATCTAATCAATGCCAGGCTTTCCTCTGAGAAGGGCATGGGGTGCAGCTAGAACAGTGTAGGTTCCTTCGATAACCCCCTTCTGCTGTTTTCCCATGATCCAACTGTGTAATTCCTGGTCAGTGATTCCAGGTTTTAAATAATTTGTAAGTGTTCAGTTTCTACACAACTTTATCATCTGCTAAGAATTTAAAAATCACATTCTCTGTTCAGCTGTTAATGCTGGGATCCATATTTAGTTTGATAAGCTTTTCCCTGTTTTTAGTTTTGTTTTGGGTTTTTTGGCTCATAAATTTTATTTCTTGTTTGTCGATAAGAAATGTAAGAGTGGAATGTTAATATGTTTAGTTCTGTAATGTCAAGAATTTAAGAATTAAAAAAATGGATTGGTTAAAAAAAAGAAACAGGAAGAAAAACAGCAAAAGGTGGTATTCTAATGACAAGTGAAGGATGGATGACAAGGAGAACTGAGTGATCAACTGTATGAAATGCTGCTGATGAGTCAATTCAGATGGAAACTGAGACTTGATCACATGGTTTAGCACATAAAGGCCACTGGAAACCTTGAAAGGGCAGTTTCAGTAGAGTGACGGAATGAAAGACTGATTAGAGTGGGTTTAAGGCAGAAGGGGAGAGAAGCAGCTGTATAGGCAATTTTTTCAAAGAGTTTTGTTCTGAAAGGAAGCACTACTCTAAGTCCCTTCTTGCTTTTATCTATTTGTTCTTTTTTTTTTTTTTGAGACGGAGTTTCGCTCTTGTTACTCAGGCTGGAGTGCAATGGCGCGATCTCGGCTCACCGCAACCTCCGCCTCCTGAGTTCAGGCAATTCTCCTGCCTCAGCCTCCCGAGTAGCTGGGATTACAGGCGTGCGCCACCATGCCCAGCTAATTTTTTGTATTTTTAGTAGAGACGGGGTTTCACCATGTTGACCAGGATGGTCTCGATTCGTTGACCTCGTGATCCATCCGCCTCGGCCTCCCGAAGTGCTGGGATTACAGGCCTGAGCCTTTAATTAACTCCTGCTCTTCCAATCTTTTACTGAGGACTGTTCCTCCAAATTCAACAACAGTTTTTTTTTCCTTTTTTGTTTTACTGATTGACTAAAGACTTTCACTCTTACCTCTCTGCTAAGTATTAACTAATCTAGATCACCGTTTGAACCTGTCAAGATTTAATACAGTATCTGCAACTTTCTAGGACAGATATTATAGCTGGATATTCCATCATCACCTCAACCTCAAGGTTTCCCATTTTAGACAAGGCAGCATGAGAGAAAAAGACATTTTTTTTTTAAGTAAAAAAGAAAAAAGTCCCAGAATTGGCCTCACCTAAAGCCACTTATCTTACCCTTATTGCTAATACTACCATTCCTCAGGCATATAATCTAAAATGCTTAGAGTAAAAAATTTTTGCTTTCTAACATTTTTTACAATGATATTATAAGTCATTCTATCATTCTACTTCTCATTTTCTGCGACTGGACTTTAGATTGTCATCCTTGGCCTAAATTAACCTTCTAACTATGATTCTTTTTCCTATCTTTTACATGTCTAGTCCTTTATACATACTGCTGCCATCTTTCTTGAAGACTCTTTCATCTGTGTTGGCCCCAAGGCATAACTGGGCAAAGTATCTCTTGGGTATGAACTAATTTTATACCCTGAAGCAGTGTGGTCCTGGACTCAGAATCAGGAAATCAGGTTTTGTGATTCAAGTTGTTTAAAACAGAAGAATTTATGTATAACCTAAAGAAAGCTTACAATAGCATACTGAGGAGACCTATATATCTTGTCACCCTAATTTTTTTCTTTACTCTTTAGACTGTTATAACATATACACTAATTTTTTATGTTTATTTTGCCATTTACATTTATTTTACCATTTATGTTTATATTTCCTTTGTAATTTTCTCCTCTTTATCTCAGATAATGCCACCATAATTGCAGGACATTAGATAGAATAAATGAGGGTCTAAAGGTACAGGCTACTGGTTTATAAACTTGAACATTCCCTTTTTTTTTTTTTCCCTGAGATGGTGTCCTGCTCAGTCACCCAGGCTGGAGTGCAGTGGCACAATCTTGACTCACTGCAACCTCTACTTCCTGGGTTCAAGTGATTCTTCTGCCTCAGCCTCCCCAATAGCTGGGACTACACATGTGCACCATCACACCTGGCTGACTTTTTGTCTCTGTATAGAGACAAGGTTTCACACACTGGCCAGGCTGGTCTTGAACTCCTGACCTCAAGTAATCCTCCAGTCTCAGCCTCCCAAAGTGCTGGGATTACAGGTGTGAGCCACTGTGCCTGGCTGAACATTCCTTTTTGATCTAAGCTCAAAATGTAGGTAACTAACAAAACATGTAGTAGGAATGTATTCCTTTTCTCTTCCTTTCTTTGTCTGAGTCTCTACTCTTTTAGCGGCACTTTTTTCCTCTTCTTAATCTCTCCCAAGGAATGCATATTTGCTCATTCATATTTAAGATAACCAAACTACCAGCATAAAGTGACACATTCAAGTGGAAAAAAATAAGTTGTTAAATGCGATTAGTGTCTTTGTTGAATTTAAAATACAGTTACTATGACTTTGTAATTTTAAAAAACCCTAAAGCTGATTTAAAAGAAACATTATTTATACTCTAAACTCATTGGTCCAGAAGCTTTTATAGGTTTGAAAATAATTACGAAAATTCGTGGAACCAGAAAAGAGCCCAGATAGCCAAGTCAATCTTAAGCAAAAAGAACAATGGGAGACATCACATTACCTACCTTCAAGTTACACTGTAAGTTTATATTACCATGTAACAAAAGTAGCATGGTACTAGTACAAAAGCAGACATACAGACCAATGGAACAGAATAGAGAACTCAGAAATAAAATGGTACACTTACAACCATCTGAGTTTTGACAGCGTCAAAAAAAACAAGCAATGGGGTGAGGACTCCCTATACATGATGGGATAGCTGGCTAGCCATATGCAGAAGAATGAAACTGGACCCCTACCTTTCAGCGTATACAAAAATTAACTCAAGATGGATTAAAGACATAAAATATAAGTCCTAAAACTGTAAGAATCCTAGAAGAAAACCTAAGAAATACCACTCAGAATGTCGGCCTAGAGAAAGAATGTATGACTAAGTCCTCAAAAGCAATTGCAACAGAAACAAAAATTTACCAGTAGGACTTACTTAAACTAAAGAGTTTCTGCTCACTAAAAAACAATCACCAGAGTAAATACACAACCTACAGAATGGGATATTCACAAACTTTGCATCTGACGAAGGTCAAATATCAAAAATCTGTAAGAAACTTAATCCAACAAGCAAAAAACAAATAACGCCACTTAAAAATGGGCGCAAGATGCTCACTTCAGCAGCACATATACTAAAACTGGAATGATACAGAGATTTACAGAATCTTAAGAAAATTTATCTTTTAATTTAAAAAATTGAAAAAAAATGGCAAAAGACATGAATAGATACTTTGCAAAAGAAGACATATAAGTGGCCAACAAACATATGAAAAAAATGTTCAACTTCATTAATCATCAGAGAAATGCAAATCAAAACCACAAGGAGATACCATCTCACACCAGTCAAAATGGCTGTCAGAAAGTAACAGATGCTGGTGAGGCTGCAGAAAAAAGGGAATGCTATATAAACTCTTGGTAAAAATGTAAATTAGTTCAGCCACTGTAGAAAGTAGTTTAGAGATTTCTCAAAGAACTTAAAACAGAACTTACCATTTGACCCAATAATCACATTGTTGTGTATATAACCCAGGGAAAATAAACCATTCTTTCAAAAAGACACATACCCAATTATATTCATTGCATTTGCTATTCACAATAGCAGAGACATGGAATCAACCTAAGTGCACATCAATAAAATTGATAAAATTGATTGACGGATTGATTGATTGATTTAGAGACCGAGTCTTGCTCCGTTCGCCTAGGCTGGAGTGAAGTGGGGTAATTTTGGTTCACTGCAACCTTTGCCTCCCAAGTTCAAGCAATTCTCATGCCTCACCCTCCCAAGTAGCTGGGATTACAAGTGTGTGCTACCATGCCTGGCTAAGTTTTGTATTTTCAATAGAGATGGTGCTTCACCATGTTGGCCAGGCTGATCTTTTAACTCCTGACCTCCAATGATCCATCCACCTCAGCCTCTCAAGGTGTTGGGATTACAGGCGTGAGCCAGGGTGCCTGGCTAGAATTTAAAAAATGTGGTATATATATATATATATAGCACAGAATATACACTATGAATACTACACAGTCATAAAAAAGAACGAAATAATGTCCTTTGCAGCAACATGTGTGGAACTGAAGGCCATCACGCTAAGTGAATGCAAATAGGAACAGAAAACCAAATACTACACAGTTCTCACTTATAAATGGGAGCTACGCATTGGGTATACATGGTTATAAAGATGGGAATAACAGACACTGGGGGTTACTAGATGGGCGGGGGAAGGGCTGAAAAACCACCTTTGGGTGCTATGCTCACAGCCTGGGTTGACAGGATCATTTGAACCCTAAAACTCAGTGTCACACAGTATATTCATGTAACAAACCTGTACATGTATCCCCTGAATCTAAAATAAAGTTGAAATTATAGTTAAAAAAAAGAAAATTCATGATCAAAATTTTCATTTCCTATTTTATGAGATTTCATAGAAAAATAATCATTGCAGTCTTAAAAGAAAAATATAAAAATATATTTTCTTTAAATTAATTGCCCATCAAAAAAAGGAAAACTAACCTTCTCTTGTATAGTTGGCTGAAAGTGTTGCATCTTTCCAGATCCCTGTAAGGACTGCCAAATGTTGCAAAATTCATCATCATCTGTAGTAGGTACCTAGCAAAGTACAAACAATTTCTTAAGGAAATAGGAAGAAATAAAAATACATATTAAAAATCAATTTATTTATTAATGTTCTTCAGGGTAGAAAGGACATTAAACTAATTTTTTTTTTTTTTTGACTCAATGTCTTGCTCATGTTGCCCAGGTAGGGTCATAGGTCACTGTAACCTCGAATTCCTGGCTCAATCCTCAGCCTCCTGTGGGGCTAGGACTACAAGTGTGTACCACCATGCCCAACTGATTTTTTTCTTCTTCTAGGGATGAGTTGCTATGCTTTGCTGTGTGGCTGGTCTTGAACTCCTCCCTCAAGCAGTCCTCTTGCCTTAGCATCCCAGAGTGTTGGGGTTACAGACATGAGCTACCACATCCACCCCTAAACTAACTTTCATTATCTGAAATCTCTTAGTTCCTTTTTTTCCAAAGCTCAGCATAGTAATCACAAAAGTATTCTATGAGAGTGAAACTGTTCTTCTTTATATGCAATTGGTTTTGGTTTTATTTAATGAAAAGTATTTAAAACATAACAAACATTATAAAAGAATTTACTGAATCAGTATCACCACCAACAGATTTTCTTTTGCCTTCTAATGTACTAAAATACATTATCTCACTCAACATCTAAAAATTTTATTTTAAAAATCTTCACTTTCCACAAAATAATAAATTTAAATATCAACTATTACTTAAGATTAAAACGCTGGAAAAATAGGCACCGAATTTTGACAGTGGTTACCTATGAGATTTGAGAGGACTTCTGCTTGTGTTTCCTCTGTTATCATCTACTTATCTGTGTTTTCCAGTTGGTCTATAATGAACAGGTACCATTTAGGTTAAAAAACGTACTTAATAAGCATGAGATTTGGGGCCATGGAATTAAAAAGAATATCTCACACAAGACAACTTAATTTTTGTTCCCAGAAAGAGGAAATAAAGGAAATCACCCATAAATTGTCTGGTAGAAACTTGAAAATTGTTTTTGATAAACATGATATAATCGTTTCCCTTTCGTCTTTCAAATGTATGCTATTTATAGTAGATAGCATGGACATTTGTATTACATAAGAAAAAAATTAAATGTTAACTTGAAAAGTAAACATCTAAAGAGAAAATATGGATATTCTCAAGTTCCCATGTAAACATATTTCTTTTCCTTTAATACAAACTTATTTTACAGCAGAGGTAGAATGCTATTGATAGCTTTCTTTACTAGCCTAGTATCTTAAATCTGGAATTGACCTGAACCAAAATCTTTTAAATAAAAAAGGGAAGCTAAGTTAAATTAGGTTTACATTTACAAAGTCTGCTGTGATTTGTGATTTGTGAAAGGGGTAGAGGATATGTTGGAAGATTGAGAGTCTTACGTGAGTAGGAACAAAAAGTGACTGAGGGGAATGGTTGAGGCCTCCCAAATGCCCGGTAGAAACTGATGAATTTGAGTTATAGTGATGCACAGCTGGCTGTGGTTTCACAATGGCTGTCAATTTCTGATTTCCAGTTTCAGAGCGACTCCCATGAGAAATGTTCACCAAGGCACTTGTTGGCAGTCGATAACCTCTACCAGGTGAGCATCTGAAAGTAAAAAGTTCTATCAGGGTCGGAAGGAAAACAATACTAAATGTGTTAGGAAGAAGAGTCAAATAATTTTTGGTGAACAATCCATCATTAGCATTAGTAAATACTACTTTTCAATTCAGTAGAGGAACCTCAAATCACAGAAATATCTCAATTTATGATGATAAATTTCTAAAAAGTTTCCTAAGAGGACATTTGGTATTTACTAAGTAGAGAAAACCCAACTATGTTCTAGGGGAGTGTGCTGATTTGTTCTTAAGAAGCTTGCGTTTTAATTGCTGAATACAACTGAAAATTTATGAATTAAATATTAATCTTTTTTTTTTAAGAGATGAGATCTTGGTCTGTCACTCAGGCTGGAGTGCAATATCCTAGCTAACTGCAGTGTCAAACTCCCGGACTCAAGCAGTCTTCCCATCTCAGCCTTCTGGGTAACTGAGATCACAGGTGCATGACACCAAGCCTGGTATGCTTTTATATTTGTTTTAAAGACAGGGTCTCACTATGTTGCCAGGCTGGTTTTGAACTCCTGGGCTCAAGTAATTCTGTAATCCCAAAGTGTTGGGGTTACAGATGTGAGCCACCATGCCCAGCCTCAAACTTCTTAAAGAAAACTGTGGAGCCAGGCATGGTAGCTCACATCCGTAATCTCAGCACTTGGGAGATCAAGGCGGGCAGATCACTTGAGGTCACACATTTGAGACCAGCCTGGCAAACATGGTGAAACTCTGTCTCTAATAAAAATACTAAAAAATTAGCTGGGCTTGGTGGCGCACACCTGTAATTCCAGCTATCTGGGAGGCTGAGGCAGGAGAATCGCTTAAACATGGGAGATGGAGGCTGCAGTGAGCTGAGACTTCACCACTGCACTCCAGATTGGGCAACAGAGCAAGACTCTGTCTCAAAAAAAGACAAACAACAACAACAACAAAAAAAAACTGTGGTTTTCGTAGTCTAAGTTATGAAAGCTCAGGAGTATAGAACCATTCTCAGTGTGGCTCTTCCTAAGCAACAGGGTAAATGTTAGATTTGATCTCATTTGTCTATTGGTCAACTGTGGAGTCCAGCCCCTTTTTCCTCATTTTCTCATCTTAAAGTTCCAGGCCTGTATCTGGAAAGGCTTAAGTATTTGTGATTTCCATCTTTCATGGCCTTGATAAAAGTATAAGATATGAAAGAAACCTTCTCTTGTTTTTAACTCTATCACCTAATTTTTTTCTCTTTCAGAGTGTAATTTTCTTATACTGAAAGTGCAAAAATAGGGGTCTATTAGAAACCTTTGTAAGTTCAAGGTTGCTAGGAAGTATCTATTTTCACGAGAACTAAATTTACTAAAGATTCTGCATTACAGAAATGAATATACTGAAGGCAGGTAACCCTTTACCCAGCTCTCTATCGATCAAGAAATTTGCTGTCTTTTACTAGGAGAGCGGGGAAAAAGACACTGAGGAAAAAACAACACAAAAACATATTTAAAGTATATTTTGAAAAGTTAGTGAATCAAAGGTATTGGTAATCAAACATTTTCATGAAAAACAAAATCAGACAGGAGATCTAGATTCTGCCGCTGTATGTGAAGAGTGCAGACAGGAAAGTCTTTGAGTAACAAGCATATTTAAACTGCAAAACAACAATAAAGCATCCTGAAGCTGACTACTTGGTATAACGGCTGAATACTGTGATTTCATGCAAGGAGGTTAAAGATGGGTAATTTTTAACTTTAATTACTAATTTATCAAAATAGAGGAGAAAAAGCAACTAAGCTAAATTCAGTTCAGTTTTCCAGCTGGCTTTTAGAAAGTAGAAAACTAAAAAGGATTTCATTTCATCCTGACAGTAACCTAGTGAAGTATGTATGTATCTTCATTACAGATGAGGAAATTGAGGGTCAGACACTTAACTAACCTAACCCAAGGTAATAAAATGTTTAAGTGAGAGAGTTTACACCACGGTGCCTCTTGTTTCATCATGATCATTGTTCCTAAAACTTTAAACTCTCTATTAGCACTTCCCCCGGCAAACACTCATCTCTTCTATGCTAAATTAAAACAATCTAACCCTCTTCCTTTAAACCTCCTAATTTCCAGTTAACTTTCTCCTTTTCTTTATAGTCAAACTTCACAAGTGTTGCCTCAATTTCCTGCCTTACATCTGCCATTCACTTCTCAAATCACACTAATCTCTCTTGAGTACCTATAACTTCACTAAAATTGGTGACAAAGACATACATGTCACTAATTTCAAAGGACATTTCTATTCCTCAAATTATGTAGCCCTAATATCATTGTTTACATATGCTATTCCCTCTTCCTGTGCACACATCATTATTCCCCCTTTTTTTGCCTGGTTTAGCTATTATTCATTCTTCAAGTTCTATCTTAAGTATCACTTCCTCAATGAGGCCTTTCTGTTACTTGCAGACAGGTCATACTTTTTATAGAAACCTGTATTTCTTCCTAGCGCTTGCCATATTTTAATTAAATAATTAATATTGTAAGCAGTTGCTTGATTACCTTCCTCACTAAAATGAAAGCTCTGTGAGGGTAGAAAGCATGTCTGTCTAAATATTCAGTGCTAAATCCCTAGCAACAAGTATGTCTTACACATACCATGAACTGAAATTGTAAACAAATAAAAAGTAATGTAAAGTCATTGGCCACATGAACATATTCACAAAGGGCAATTATCATTGGAAAATACAAACCTTATTGTTAAGCCTCCAGGAAATTCTTCATCAAATAATACTTCAAATAGTACATCAGCTTCTCTAATAGCTGTTAAAACAGAAAAAGAGACACTAAAAAAATCATATGATGAAAAAGAAGATTGAATTTTTGGAGTGTTTAGAAGTATTTATTTCAAAAATTCTGGATATCACATAAAATATTCAGGATATGAAGAATGGCATATTAATATAAGGAACATTATATAAGCTAAGAAACAGAATACCAGTGCCTTAGAGGATCATTGTGTCCCAATTCCCAACTACTCCTTTTCTTTATAAAAGAAAAGAAATGGTTTCTTTGTAACCATTATCTTCACTTTGGCAGTTATGATTCCTTAGGTTTCTTCATACTTCTACTACATATATATGTATCTCTGAATAATACATAGTATTATTTTGCAAGTTTTGAAACACATACCTATCACAGAGAATATATTATTTTGCTACTTATTTTTATTCTTTCAACATTATATTTGTGAGATTCAACTATGTAAACATGTGTTCATTCAGTTTTCAGGATATACAGTATCCCATGTATGGGTATACAGTAATTTATCCATTCTCCTGCAGACAAACATTTAGGTGATTTCTACCTTTTGCTATTATAAACAACGCTACAATGAACATGCAAACGTGTCTTTTATGCAGGTGAATGTTCCCTAGTGAAACTGCTGGGTCTTAGGACATAACATATGGTACGCTGCATATATTTGAAGTATAAAAGTTAATGAGTTTTAACATACATAATTAACCATGAAGCCATGATAAATAGGATAATCACTTCTAAACTTTCCATGTCATTTTGCAATCCAAATCCTCCTTATCTAGGCAACAACTAAAACTCTGCTATCACCATAGGTTACTTCACATTTGCAGAATTTTATGTAAATGAAATAATGTAATGTGTATTCCTCGCTTGTCTGGCTTCTTTGAGCATAATTATTTTGAGAGTCACCCATGTTGTGTCTATCAGTAGTTGTTTCTTTTTTTATAGCTCAGAAGTATTCTACTGCATAAATATCCAAGAATTTGTTTATCCATTCATCTGTCTATGGGGATTTAGCTTATTTCTAGTTTTTGGTTATTACATATAAAGCTGCTATGAAGATTCATGAACAAGGCTTTATGTGGATTTAAGCCCTCATTTCTCTTGAGTAAAAATACCCACCCATGAATGTGATGGCTGGGACCTATGCTATATGTTTAACTTTTTAAGAACTTACCTTCATCATGATAACCCACCAATGAGGGGGAGAAAAAAAAGAACCCACTAAACTACTTTCTAAAGTGGTTTTTATCTTTTACATTACCACTAGCAATATAGGAGAGTTCTAGCTGCCCTGTCTCATTGCCAACACTTGGTATAATCACTCTTTTTAATTTAAGTCATTCTAGTCTGTATGTGGTAATATCTTATTTGGTTTTAATTTGTTATTTCCCTAACAACACATGATGTTGAACATCTTTCATGTGCTTATTTGCCATCCATATATCTTCTGTGGTAAAATATCTGTCCAGCTATTTTGATCGTTTAAAAACTAGGTTGTTTGATTTATTAAGTTGTAAAAAACTTTTATGTAGTCTAAATAAAAGCATTTTATTGGATTCATGTTTTGCTAATATTTTCCTTTTCATTTCTGTAATGGTGCCTTTTGAAGAGTGGGTTGTTTCTTTCTTAATTTTGATGAAGTCTAAAGTAGCAATTTTATTTTTCTTTCTTTTCTTTTTCCTTTTTTTTTGTTTTTGAGACAGAGTCTTGCTCTGTTGCCTAGGCTGGAGTGCAGTGGTGTGATTTCATTTCACTGCAACCTCCACCTCCTGGGTTCAAGCTGGGATTGTAGGCAGCCACCGCCACATCTGGCTAATTTTTGTATTTTTAGTAGAGACGGGGTTTCATCATGTTGGCCAGGCTGTTCCCAAACTCCTGACTTCAAGTGATCCACCCTCCTTGGCCTCCCAGTGTTGGGATTATAGGCATGAGCCACCATGCCCAGCCTTTTTATTTTTCTTCTTTTCTTTTTCCTTCTCTCCTTCTGTCCCTCCCCTCCCCTTTTTTTTTCTTTTTCCCTCCCTCCCTCCATCCCCTGGCCTATTCTTTTCTTTTTTTTCTTCCCTTACTTCTTTTCTTTTTTGCTTCCCTTCTTCCTTCCCTTCCTTCCTTCTGTCTCTCTCTTTTTTTTGAAAGGGTCTCACTCTGTCACCTAGGAAGGAGTGTAATCATGGATCACTGCATCCTCGATCTCCCGGGCTCAAGTGATTCTCCCACCTCAGCCTCCCAATTAGCTAGGATTATAGGTGCACAACACCATGTCTAGTTAATTAAAGTTTTTTTTTTTTATTTTAAAGACAGAGTTTTTCTTTGTTACCCAGGCTAGTTTCAAACACCTGGGCTCAAGCAATCCTCCTGTCTTGGCCTCCAAAAGTGTTGGTATCATAGGTGTGAGCCATTGTGCCCGGCTGGCAATTTTCTTTCAGACTCTGTGTGTTATTTAAAATATCTTTACCAAATTCTAGGTTATTGAGATTTTCTCCTAAAAGTTCTATAATTTTAGCTCTTAAATTTATAGAGCTAATTTTTATAGAGGATGTAAGGCAAGCAGTTATGGCCTATTTTTTTGCATATGGTGTCTAATTGTTCCAACGCCATTTTTTTTCTTTTACACTAAACAAACCCTCAATGTATCCAGCACGATTTTTACACTAATTTACATGTTTTTTTTCTTATTGCTCACCACTAGACTAATGAGGACAGCACCACTTATTAAAGACATTATCCCTTCATCAAACTATCCCGGCACGTTTGTTGTAAAATCAATTGATCATATAGATATGGGTCTATTTTAGGACTCTATATTCCATTGATCTATATATCTATCTTTATACTAATTCACATTGTTTTTCATTACTCTAGCTTTGTAAAGTTTTGAAATCAGGTGGGGTAAATTCTCCAAATTTGTCCTTTTTCAAATTTTTCTGGTTAGTCTAGAGCCTCTGCTTTATTTTACAACCAGCTTATCAATTTCTAAAAAACTGGCTACTGGGATTTTGATTGAGAGTTATTTGACTCTATAAATCAAAGCAATTGATTTCTTTTCTTTTTTAAGTATTTTACTTTATTTTATTTTATTTATTTATTTTTGAGACGGAGTTTAGCTGTTGTTACCCAGACTGGAGTACAATGGCACAATCTCGGCTCACTGCAACCTCCGCCTTCTGGGTTCAAGCAATTCTCCTGCCTCAGCCTCATGAGTAGCTGGGACTACAGGCGCACACCATGATGCCCAGCTAATTTTTGTATTTTTAGTAGAGACGGGGTTTCACCTTGTTGACCAGATGGTCTCGATCTCTTGACCTTGTGATCCACCCGCCTCGGCCTCCCCAAGTGCTAGGATTATAGGTGTGAGCCACCGCGCCCAGCCAAAGCAACTGATTTCATTGACATCTTAACAACAGTGAGTCTTCTAAAAAATGAGAAAACAAAATTATGGAAGAAAATTCTTTTAGGTGGGCAGTAAGATCCAAAGAGGATCTACAGGTGGAAAATGTACAGAACCACATTCAAATTTAGGTAGGACTCAGGGGAAGGAGTTCAAATACCAGCTCTGCCACTTATCTATGTGAGCACAGGAAGGTTACCTAACCTCTCAGGTGAGAAAATAACACCCACCCCTTGGGTAACAGTGAGGGTTAAATGCAAAATATGTTAGTGCCTGGCACATTGCTGGCACTAATTAAGCAGTTCTCTTTGGCTAGTGGCCTGCCTGTTCTTCCTACTTTTGGGATGGTGAGACCAAGAGGTTGGGTGTCTGTGATATATATAGAGTGCTGCCAGCACACTGACCCCTGCATGCATGATGCTGCTTCATGCTGGCACTGACTTTTTTCTGAATCTATGATATAAAGCTGGTTATTCCAGGAATATCTCTGGGGGCACATTCAGATATTTAGCTGCTGCTTTCTTTTTTCTTCCCCTTCTCCTTTTTTTTTTGGTGGTTAAAAAAACATCAAACAGCTGGGTGTGGTGGCTTACGCCTGTAATCCCAGAACTTTGGGAGGCTGAGGCAGGTGGATAATGAGGTCAGGAGTTTGAGACCAGGCTGGCCAACATGGTAAAACTCCGTCTCTACTAAAAAATATACAAAAATTACCCAGGTGTGGTGGTGTGTGCCTGTAATCCCAGCTACTCGGGAGGCTGAGGCAGGAGAATCACTTGAACCTGAGAGGCGGAGGTTGTAGTGAGGTGAGATCATGCCATTGCACTCAAGCCTGGGCAACAGAGTGAGACTCGGTCTCAAAAAAAAAAAAAACCATAAAGTTCACCATCTTAGCCACTTTTAAGTGTACGGTACAGTAGTGTGAACCATATGCACACTGTTGTACAACAGATTGATGGGTCTGTTTTCCATATGTGATTTAGTTGTATTCATAAAGTCCAAATTAATAACATGCACGTTCAATTTTCAAATCTTTTTTTTTTGAGATGGAGTCTTGCTCTGTCCCTCAGGCTGGATGGAGTGCAATGGTGTGATCTCAGCTCACTGTAACCTCCGCCTCCTGGGTTCAAGTGATTCTCCTGCCTCAGCCTCCTCAGTAGCTGGGACTACAGGTACATACTACCACAGCTGGCTAAGTTTTGTATTTTTTAGTAGAGACTGGATTTCACCATGTTGGTCAGGCTGGTCTCAAATTCCTGACCTCGTGATCTGCCTACCTAGGCCTCCCGAAGTGCTGGGATTACAGGCGTGAGCCACTGAGCCCGGAAATTTTCAAATCTTTTAACTGTAACTAATGTAATATAAGTTTATTTATTTTCAGAGACTAAGTGATTACAATGAAAATAAAGATAAAGCTCTGAACAAGATTAGACAAATGTTTAACTTGGGAGAAACAATGAAAATTCTCTATCAGTTTTATGAAAACATGTATGCTCACCAAGATCTTGTGTAATTTTATAGGGATATAAACTACTAAATTCTCTGCAGCCCCTTCTCAATTTCTCCATCTTTTAATGTCTTTCCAGATGATTATATAATAAAAAAGAAGAGATTTTTTTTTCTCTGAAAAGCATAACCTAAAAAAATTTTAACTAAAACATAAAAAGGTTTAGTTTGTTCCTGATTTACAGTCAGTTTCTACTTGGATATAAAAAACAGACAAGCCTGTGTAGTACTTTACAAATAAATTAATTTGAAGATGTGTCAAGTATTAAGATATTACCTCCTTTTATTCCTATGATGGTGCCTCGAAGTCCAACTGGAACTGAGAAGTTTTCTCTCACATTTACAACACGGTCAAAAAGACGAAATTCTGCATCCCGATCAGGAATGACTCCATGTTGCTGTTCTAAAGGCTAAAGAGAAGAAAGCTATTAATTCTAATTAAACAGAATGTTTTCCTACTAATATTCTGAGAACATTTTTGTTCCTTTCATGCATTCAAAATGAAAGCAACAACTCTGAATTCTTTGATAGGGAACTTACTCTGTATAGCAAATGGGGCTTCACTGTTACTCGCACTTTCTTATTATTCTTTCTTTGCTGAGGAAACAGAAAAATTGTTAAATATTTTTAAAATATAAAATTTTAAAATCACTCAACTACCCACTATTTCCACATGGCGGAATTTTAAAAAGCCAAATGAAGTGACTAATTTTTAAAATATTTAAAGTTCTGCAGTTGCAGCAAGGAGAAAGAAAATAAACACATATAAAATGCCTATAGTTTAAATTATTATTTTAAAACTTTTTAAAGTAAAATTTTTTGTTGAAGTGTAAGACAGCATGGTTACAAAAATGAAAAATTATAAGTATGTAGACCAATGAACTTTTATAGTATATCTATGTGTAACTATGCCTGGTTCAACAAACAACATTGCTAAAAACAACATAAGAAATCCTTTCCATCTCCTTCCAGTTACTACCCTTTCCTAAAGTAATCTTACTTCTTTTTTTTTTTTGAGACGGAGTTTTGCTCTTGTTACCCAGACTGGAGTGCAATGGCACAATCTCGGCTCACTGCAACCTCCGCCTTCTGGGTTCAAGCACTTCTCCTGCCTCAGCCTCCCGAGTAGCTGGGACTACAGGCATGCACCACCATGCCCAGCTAATTTTTGTATTTTTAGTAGAGACGGAGTTTCACCATGTTGACCAGGATGGTCTCGATCTCTTGACCTCGTGATCCACCTGCCTCGGCCTCCCAAAGTGCTGGGATTATAGGCATGAGCCACTGCGCCCGGCCCAAGTAACCTTACTTCTAACACAAAAGGTTATAATTGTCTGTTTTGGACTTTATATAAATGCTATCCTATTCAAATGTCTTTTTTATAACTACAAAAAGAATTATACACAATGGCCAATAAAGATTTACATACTTTTAAAAAGTATCAATTACTGATTTATGATCATACCATGAATTTTGTAGCCACTTGTAAACTATGGTGGCATTCATTTGACAAAACCCTTTGCTTTGAATTTATTGTAACACTTGATATTAGAATCTTTTCATTATCTAAAAAATGCTGGAAGAAGACTTTTCTCCTATCTTTGCTACTTGCTAGTTCTGTGAATCACACAACTACTTTAGGCATCAGTTTCCTTCCATCTGTAAGATGGAAATATTACCTGTTCTAGCTAATAAAACATGAGAATAATTTATATCCTTTATAATTCATAAACTACTATTCATACTAAAAAATTTAAAGTTAATACTTACCCAATTAAAAAAAATTACAGCAGTTTAATTATATGGCAGTCACCTCTCTTTAGAACGCAGCTTATGAGAATAAGTATAAAGGGACACAGACCGAACCTACGCTCCAGAGTCCATAAACTATAGGGTTCATGTATTTATATATTATAAAATGCCCAAGCCTTTAAACAGTATCTATTTTTTTTGTTATGACACATTTCACTTATTCTTTCAATAAATATTTACCAAGTTCCATTTGTGTGCTATATATTGATTAATGTAGGTGCTGGGGATAAAGCAGTGATCTGTTCTCTTATTCTAGTTGAGGGAGATATATAAGACACAAAATAAGGAAGATATATAGCATGTTAGAAGGTAAAAAGCCTAGAGAAAAATGAAGCAGTTAAGGAGGATAGCAGTAGCGGGGGGAGATATTACAATTTTAATTGAGTGAACAGTGAAGGTCTTATTGACAAAGTGTCTATGCTGTCAGCTCATAGCAGACTAGATTCACTAAAAGACTACAACAGTGGCCCGGCGCGGTGGCTCAAGCCTGTAATCCCAGCACTTTGGGAGGCCGAGGCGGGTGGATCACGAGGTCAAGAGATCGAGACCATCCTGGTCAACATGGTGAAACCCCATCTCTACTAAAGATACAAGAAATTAGCTGGGCACGGTGGCGCGTGCCTGTAATCCCAGCTACACGGGAGGCTGAGGCAGGAGAATTGCCTGAATCCAGGAGGCGGAGGTTGCGGTGAGCCGAGATCGCGCCATTGCACTCCAGCCTGGGTAACAAGAGCTAAACTCCGTCTCAAAAAAAAAAAAAAAAAAAAAAAAAAAAGACTACAACAGCAAAAGGAAAGCCTATGAATATTTAAAGGAACTTTAAAAAGCAGGCACAAGAACTGTGCCTGGAGTATTGCATATCAAAAAATAACCCATAAGCTCTAAGACATTCTTAGGCATTATTACACTATGGCATTGATTAGACGACATGGCTATCAAAACTGGTTCATTAGGCAAATGAATAAGCTGGGTAATGTTCATAATAGGCCCCAACCCATACCTAATGTATGAGAAGTTTGGAAACTGGCTACTCAAAATGTGATCACCTAGGAGCTTATTAGAAATGCAGAATCTTGGCACTGTGGCTCATGCCGGTAATCCCAGCACTTCGAAAGGCTGAGACAGGAGTTCAAGACCAGCCTGACTAACATGGAGAAACCCCAGCTCTACTAAAAATACAAAATTAGCCCGGCGTGGTGGTGCATGCCTGTAGTCCCAGTTACTTGGGAGGCTGAGGCAGGATAATTTAAACTTTTCTTATTAATCCTGCATTAATAAGAAAAGTTTAAATTATCTTCAGAATTGTTGTGTTTATGTTTTAGTTTTTTCTCCTTCTTTTATTGTCCTAGTAACATAACACTGAAAGCAAAAAAGTCACTCGTAACTGCACCTCCATGACACATTAAGAGGTTTAAGAAAATTCCTGTCTAATCTACATGCACATATATTTCTAAAATTGTAGTAATCAAAATAATAGACTAAAACTTTGTATATGTTTCTTCCATTTGCAAGGTAAAGGGAAAATGTGTGAAACATTTTAGAAAGCTCTGAATCCAAATGGGTTAAAATTGAGGGGCTTAAGGTTTTAAACATTTTTTAAGTGGAAAACTCACCTCAAAAATGATGGTGAACAAACTGATTTCACTCTACATTGAAAGACAATTAAAAAGAAATACAGACTTTCTATCTTCAGCTGATTATCAATGACCCTTCAAAAATCAAACTCTTGGCTCTGAGCCATATATTTTTTTCCTAAAGAGAAAAAGAGTCATCTAGTGGTGATTTTCTAGACTATAATCACATCTCTTTAGTATGTGATAGGAGTTGCAATTCTCGTGTCGGATAAAATAGATTTTAAAGCAACAAAGATATAGTGGTAAAAGGATCAATGCAACAACAAGAGCTAACGATCCTAACTCCCAGATACATAGAGACTTAGATTCAATGAGACAGAAAATTAATAAGGATATCAAGGACTCGAACTCAGATCCGGAACAAGTAAACTTAATAAATATTTATAGAGCTCTCCACTTCAAATACACAAAATATACATTCTTGTCAATACCACATCACACCTACTCATAGGTTTAAATGAAACATTGATTGGCCATTATTAATACCCATTTATTTTTCAGAATAAAGCAGTATTTCCGTTCACCTTCCCTCTTTCTCTTCCTCTTTCTTCCTCTCCTTTACTCATTTTTTTTTCTTTCCTTCTCTCAAAAAAAGAAAAAAAGAAATCAACTTGTAAACCTCTAGATCCAGGTCGGCAATGTCTCTCTCATTGCTTGATTTCCTTCCTTCCCTTCCCTCCCTCCCTCCCTCCCTCCCCTCTTCCTCCCTTCCTTCCTCCCTTCCTTCATCCCTTCCTTCCTCCCTCCCTTCCTCCTTCCCTCCCTTCCTGCCTTCCTCCCAAATAAAAAAAAAAAGGAATTAATAAAAGCATCCAAGCATTATTAGGCATTAATAATAGCTAGGCATTATTAGAAGTCATTTACTCAGTATTAACTCAGTTAATCTTTTTGAGGACCCTATGAAGCAGGAACTATTTTATTGTAATTTTACCAATGAGGAAACAGAGTTATGGAAGGAAAGGTTAAGTATCTTGCCAGGGTTATTAATATAAAAAAACTGACCCAAAGGATCATAAATCATTCTACTATAAAGACATATACAAAATGTATGTTTATTATGGCACTCTTCATAACAGCAAAGACTTGGAACCAACCCAAATGCCCATCAATGATAGACTGGATAAAGAACATGTGGCACATATATACCATGAAATACTATGTAGCCATAAAAAAGGATGAGTTCATGTCATTTGCAGGGACATGGATAAAACTGGAAACCACCATTCTCAGCAAACTGACATAGGAACCGAAAAACCAAACACCGCATGTTTTCACTCATAAGTGGGTGTTGAACAATGAGAACACATGGACACAGAGAGGGGACCATCACACAGCGGGACCTGGGGGGTGGGGGGCTGGGGGAGAAATAGCAGGGGGTTGGGGGGATTGGGAAGGGATAGCATTAGGAGAAATACCTAATATAGATGATGGGGTGATTGATATAGCATACCACCACCATGGCACGTGTAGACCTATGTAACAAACCTGTGTGATCTGCACGTGTACCCCAGAACTTAGAGTAAAATTAAAAAAAAAAACTGATTCAAACTTAGGGGACAGGGGAGACAGCTCCAGAACCCAGTTCTTAACTTATTCTGCAATTAGTTCGAACAAGAGAATGCTGTATTGGAAAGGCAATAACATTTTAATAAAAAGGGCAAATTTGTGAAAAGTAACATCAAACACTGAAAAAGGCAATATAATAAATTCATTTTCTATAGATAAAATATGCACTCAAAGTTTACTGCCTTAAAAGAAAGTGAGACGTAAAAAATAGGAGAGATCGTGGATTTCAAAAATTTTTAGTAACTCAATGAGTGTATGAGTAAGAAAAGTACATTTTAGGCCGGGCACGGTGGCTCATGCCTGTAATCCCAGGACTTTGGTAGATCAAGGCTAGCGGATCACCTGAGGTCACGAGTTGGAGCCAGCCTGGCCAACATGGTGAAACTTGGTCTCTACTAAAATTACAAAAATTAGCTGGGCGTGGTAACGGGTGCCTGTAATCCCAGCTACTCAGAAGGCTGAGGCAGGAGAATTGCTTGAACCTGAAGGCAGAGGTTGCAGTGAGCTGATATCACGCCATTTCACTATAGCCTAGGTGATAGAGCAAGACTCCATCTCAAAAAAAAAAGAAAGAAAAGTACATTTTATAATTGATTATCAAAAGTCAATTATATATTTTTGTTTTACAAAAAGATGAACTGTCTCTTTAAAGAATGTAGTTAGAGGCTGGGCGTGGTGGCTCACGCCCCTATAATCCCAGCACTTTAGGAGGCCGAGGTGGATGGATCACCTGAGGTCAGGAGTTCAAAACCAGCCTGGCCAACATGGCAAAACTCCATCTCTACTAAAAAAATACAAAAATTAGCTGGGCGTGGTGGTGGGTGCCTGTAATCCTAGCTACTTGGGAGGCTGAGGCAGGAGAATTGCTTGAACTCAGAAGGCGGAGGTTGCAGAGCTGAGATCATGCCACTACACTCCAGCCTGGGCAACAGAGAGAGATACTGTTTCAAAAAAAAAAAAAAGAAAGGACACTTTCTACTGTGATTAGAATCACAAAATATTAATTCTCAATATCAGAAACACTACAAGAGCATAAAATTTAATGCTATGGCTTTTGTATATTGAAAATATAATTTTATAAGCTTATAATATTGCATAACACTAATATGTTAATGGTTAATGGCCAGTTCTTAATATAACTTAATTCTTAATATAAATTATAACATAATTTCTTAATATAATTTTTAATATAAGTTATATTAAGAACTGGCCATTAGTAGTAGTTAATGGCCACATTAGTCATTAACGTCTTAGTGATATACAATATAAATATAATTTGGCATAACACTATTGGCTATTAATGGTTACTGTAAATGGTTAGAACTTTTTTTTTTTTTTTTTAAGACGAGGTTACACCATGTTGGTCAGGCTGGTCCTGAACTCCTGATCTCAGGTGATCTGCCCGTCTTGGTCTCCAAAGTGCTTGGATTACAGGCATGAGCCACCATGCCCAGCCAGAATGTTTTTTAAATTACAGGATTATTTGATACTAAGTAGAATCTCTAAGTATATGTTTTATTTGGTTGAAACACAAATGAATTATTTGTAAAATAATGTATAGTCCATTAATTCTAGATCTCATCAATAATCTTGGTTACTGAAAGTTAGTACCTTGCACTTTTCAACTTCTTCCTCAATTTTCTCAACAATCGCTGCATCCAGAATTTGTAAATCACAAGAAGAACGAGATAAAGTACTGACAGGATGTCCTTTTAGCCAAGTAATAATTTCTTGAACTTTCTCAGCACTAAAGAAAAAAGAAAATTTTTTTAAATTTGATTACAACTTTATCAGGGCAATAAATTATAAAAGACATCAAACTTATATAACTAATAATTAGTCACTGAACTTAATTGGGACTAATTATAAATCTAATACAAATATGGACAAGTTACCTCTTAGTAATTAAAAAACTCACAAAAAGATTAAAAGTATTTGTTGATATAAATAAAGAAAAACTTTTAAGCTCTTAAAGCAAAAATGAAACAATGTAAAAAAAAAAAAGAAGAAGTAAGAAGACACGCCTGTAATCCCAGAACTTTGGGAGTCATAGGCAGGTGCATAGCCTGAGCCTAGGAGTTTAAGATCAACCTGGGCAACATGAGACCCTGTTACTACCCAAAAAAAAAAAAAAAAAAAAAAAAATCACCAAATGTAGAGGCATACGCCTACAGGCCCAGCTACCCAGGAGGCTGAAGTAGGAGGATTGTTCGAGTCCAGGGAACCAAGGCTGAAGTGAGCTATGTTTGAGCCACTGCACTCCAGCCTGGGCAATAGAGTAAGAATCTGCCTCAAAAAAAAAAAAAAAAGTTATAATATGAAATTCTTGACAAACCAGATGCATCTGCCTTTGGAAATACTCAACTGAACTATTAGGTAATAAATACCATAAAAATCTTGCTTACCCATTCTCATTTTCTCCAGGCCAAATGTCATCTTCATAGAACACATCCTCTTGGCTATTTTTGGCAATATAACTAAATAGTTCTGGAGCTCTGGTCAAACAAACAAAAATATTGCCTTAAAATATATATGGTTAACTTCAGATAAACTTCTTATGTAATAATTTCAGATCCTAAAGAGACATATAAAGCATACTGAGGACTATTATAATATAACTGAAAGACTGGTAAGTCAGAGTACTCCTAGGCCCTCAAATCTCCCACTGGCTATGATTCAAGTCATAAACTTATATTAAACTTCAGTTACTGAGTCTACCCGCTTTCATTATAATGACAGCTGATAGACAAAAATGGTATCTAGAGGTTCATTTTCTAATTTTCACAACAAAACTAGAGCACTCCACAATACAGCAAATTAAAATCGATTAGAAGCTTCTTCTGATATTCCTCAACACTCCATTTCTTTCTGAAGTGTGCAGGACTTTTGGATACATACAGCAAACCGGACATATGTGCTTATCTTTTGTCCCTCTTCTATCCATTCAAATGAAAATATATTATAAAAAAGAGCATAGAACTAGAGAGACAGATGAAAAATGAAGCACAGTATCTGGTGGCATATATAACCCATTAAAATTTTAGAAATTGGAAACTGGATAAATGTTATCTGATTTGACAGACAGTAATAAGCTAAACCCTACACTACTAGTGGGAGGAGGCAATAAGAAGCAATTTGATTTAAAACACAGAACACGCTGAAAAAGGTCAGGAATTATAGGTTCCAGGTACATCTGAAAGTGTGGCATGAGGTTTAGTAAGATTTAAAGTTTGTATAACAAGCAGTTAGAGTGTCATGTGGTTGCCTGCCTATCACCCCAACATAGAACCTGTAACTATATTTTGAAGAGGTCAAATAGGAGATACTCTAGCCTCGTGTATGCCAGTCACAGGGAGCTGGGGGTGAGGACAGCACAAGGAAGAGAGGACAGGTGTTATACTGAAAACAGGGAATTAATGTACAGCATAAATACTGTACAATGTGTCACTAGGAAGCAGACTAGGAGGCATAAGGTCTCTAGGAATGGACTCTGCAATGGAAATAAGCCTGCATGAAGTTTAGTAGAAAGTGCTTGTGCGATCAACACCTGTGGAAGGAAAGGGAAAGCAGAATTGGGCACAGGGAGAGGCTGGGCTGCGATTAATTCTCAATGAATTCCTCGGCCAACCCCATAAAGATCTCAAACTGGGATGGCCCTTCAGATTAGCCTTGAATTGGGGCAATCAGAATGTCTAGGTTTTTATACCTCCTTATAGATCAGGCATTGATCTGTGGCTGTTGTAGGAAGGGAAAACAACGTTAGGTGAGGCAGTTTTCCTCATCCAAGCAATTACTGAAGAGGGCTCACAGCTGAGGACTGTCAGAAAGCAGCATTACTGCTGCAGTAGGATAGGTCTTTCAGTCTTGAAACATCATCTGGGAGATGTAGCATAGTATCCACTTTGTAATGAAACCCCCTTTCCCTGGTTAACTTCCAGAATACTGGCAATCAGTTTTATCCACTACATTCATATCTACTGCCAAGGAAAAGGCTGGAGGTAGTGATACTAGGAGGTCCTCTGTAGAAACAGTAAAGTCCCATCTGATAGGCCCTACCTAAGTACACTAAATTTCCAATCAGCTTTTTAGTGCCTCATTCTTAAATATGATTGGATATCAAAAAATCACCAGACAAGAACAACTATAAAAAAACTTTAACATGAAAGAGAGACCAAATCAAACAGGAAGAATAAAAGCTATTGGAGAAAACAGAAAACACAAAAAATAGAAGGAAAAATCCTAGAATCATCTTCAGAGAAATAAATGAAGATATTCCATTTTCTGTAAGAACAAGATGCTATATATAGCCAGAGAATAAGGACATACTTTTAGTAAAAAATGATTAAATCAAATAGAAATTTTAAATGGTAAACAATAAAGCTGAAAAGATTTCCCAGAGTAGAACGGAAGTATAACAGTATAGGAAATGGATGAGGAGAGAGAAAACAAAGAAGATTAATCAAGAAGGTCTAAGATTTGACTAAAAGGATACCCAGAAATAGAAAGCAGAAAAAAATAATGAGGAGAAAATTATCAAAGAAATAATACAAGACAGATTCTCAGAATGGAACGCATCAGTTTCAAGCCTGAAAGGGATGAATAGAAGAAGGGGAAAAAAAGATCCGTACCAAGTCACACATCCTCACATTATTAAAGACCACCAGTAAAGGAAAGGTGCTAAAAAGATTTCAGAAAATAAAAATAGGTCACATACAGAAATTCAGAATCACAATGGCGAAGGATTTATCAATAGCAATATGGAAATGAAAAGAGAATGGAACAGTGCTTTCAAAATTCTGAGGGAAATCTGGGTGCAGTGGCTCATGCCTGTAATCCCAGCACTTCAGGAGGCCGAGGCAGGCAGATCATTTGAGGTCAGGGATTTGATACCAACATGGTGAAACCCCAGCTCTACTGAAAAAAAAAAAAGAATAAAATTTAGCCAGATGTGGTTGCGGTGCCCATAATCCCAGATACTTGGGAGCCATCACTTGAACTGGGGAGGCAGAGGTTGCAGTGAGCTGAGATCATGCAGCACTCCAGCCTGGGCAACAGGGCAAGACTCTGTCTCAAAAACGAAAACAAAAACAAAAACAAAACTCTGAAGGAAAATAATCTTCAATCCAGGATTCTATACCCAGGCAAACTATCAATCAAGTGCAGGAGAAGAATAAAGACATCTCCAGACATACAAGTTTCCTCAGGAAGCTACTGAAGTAAGTACTCCATCAGAATGGAGATATAAATCAGAAAGAGTGAGGTATGAGAGTCAGAAAATGAAGGAATCCTATATGGCTGACTGGTGAAGAGAACTGAATTTCTAGGATGACAGTACCGGGAAACTCCAGAATGAGAGCTGCACAACAGCCCTAGAGAGCAATCAGTTCAAACTGTAGCAGGAAGACAGAAGGTTTAAAAGAAGATTTGAGGAAAATGGAACTGAGCAATGACCTGATCTGTTTGACCACACTGAGTTTTACAGCTATAGCAGAGATTAGGGCTGAATTTATTATGAACACAGACAAATAGCAAATGAAAAAGCAGCAGAGAAAACAAAAATGTGTACAAAAAAGGAAACGTAATCTTAAGACTCCCTAAGGTAGAGCTGTGAACATTTACTTCATTATAATGAAGTAAAGCTTTAATAAAGCCTTAATTAAAAATCTTGATAAAACTTTAGTGAGGGGAAATATGTGTGTGAGGGACTCCAGAGTGGTGGTAGTCATAGAAAGCTGAAGCTCAGAGTAGGAAAGCCACTCATAGCAGAAAATCCATAAATACGTCAAGTTGAAAAATTAAGAAAAAGTAGTTTAAGTATGACCTTTTAAAGAAATAAGGAAGTGGACAGAGAAACAATCTAAATTTCCAGATGGTAATATGGGAATGAATTAGGTCCTGTCCCACTCAGAAGTTACAGAATGTGACTTTATTTGGAAATTGGGTTTTTAGTAGAGGCAGTCAAATAAAATGTGGCCATTAGCATGGGCTCTAATCCAATATGACTGGTGTCCTTATAAAAAGGGGAAATTAGGACACAGAGGCAGGGACACAAAGATGAAAAATGATGTGAGACACCCAGCAAGAACATCATGTGCAATTTCCTAGATAATTTCAGCAACAGAATTCAATAATTCTAGGATAGTAACCTGTGCAGCTACACAGTTCTAAGAATCAGAAAAATCCACTATCCTAAGATTTTTACTCTATTTTAGCTAGTGGCTATGACATTCCATAATGCAAAATTACGTTTACATATAACATATGCCAGATTTCACTAATGGAAAATTTGTCCTCTAAAACTAATGTCAGCAAGGCAAAATAAACAGTATTTTCCTAAGATTTTGGATGCCCGCTAGGATCTTATTAGGTACTTACCTCTCTAAGTACTCTGCCAGAAGTTGTTCTGCTGCAGATGAATACATCCATTCACTTCCAACTTTCTTAGTATATCCAGGTACCTCCTCATTTTTCTTGTTGAATTTGAGATTTAAACCCACATTTGCTTTATGGTCTCCATGAGGGCTGAATTTAAACCATATATGCACGCATGCACACACACACGCACACACACACACGCACACACACACATATACCAGTTTTAAAATGTTGTTCAAGGAATAAAAGGTTTTGCTTTCAATTCTTAGAAAAGCTCAGTTTTGATTATTCCTCTATATTTTAGTTATTATGGTTACTTCCAAAGCAGCAGTAATTGAAAAACTAGAAGAAAAGCTTCAAAACCCAAGTTAACAAAGCATGTAAATAAATTATGTAATTATAAAGGAAAATGAAATAACGAGATGCAAGGAAATATACTATTGAGATTCACACACACCCCCTGATACCTTTTTTCAAGGTTCAATTTGTTAGCTGCTAAAAAATAAGAACTGTCTTTTCCAACCACCTAAAACATGTGCCATTCAGATGAAAGATTACCATCAGAGAAATTTATGCATAATTTTAAGACAATTCAGAGCAATTAATAAGAAAATACTGAAATATTAAGCATTTAATCTTTATCATTTAATTTTTCTGCCACTTTAAGTAAATTTCTCTAACATAAACTTACTTTCTCCTAGATCCTCTTCCAATAAAAATACTTCCTGTAAACCTTGAAACAAGGTATCCACTCACTCCAAGGCGACTGGCCAACACATATCCTGGGTTGTACTTTATAGAATATTTCTTTAAATATAAAAACAAAAAGGTCAATTATGGAAACACAAGTTTACATTAAATGTTATTTCTTTACCTTTAAAATCTGGAGATAATCAAGACATCACTAACCATTGGATTGTGGCAATATAAGGATTCTCACTTAGATCCATTTCCCCTTTTTTTTGAAAGGATCTGTAGGCAGAATTTTTCTGCTCCTCTCTCTTTCTCCTTAAAGGGCAGAATTCCCAAGGATGGATAAAAGGGGGGAGGAAATATACAGTTTGTGAAACTGTCTCAAGAAATAAACTCTACTGTAAGTACTAAATGGCAAACTCCACAGGCAAGTTTTTTGTTTGTTTTTGTTTCTACTAATTTTCATATTCCAAGCAGGGCCTAGCAAAGTACTTGGGACAAAATGAGGCCTCAATAATTATTAGCCTGAATTAAAAAATAGTTTCGTCATCAAAATAGTTGCTACTGAGAAAAATTAAAAGTGTCCTTCATATATGGATATAAATAATATTCTCTTCCTCTAATATTTACTATCATATGAAAATATACAAGTATGTATAGACCTATAATTAATACAGTCAATGAAATGTAACCTTAATTTATATATTTAAGGGAAGAAAACATATTGTCACATTAAAAGAAAAAGTAACAGATCATATAATATTTAACCAGGAAGCAAATGATTCATGAATCCAATACTAACTAGGATAAACTGCCATATAATTCTAACATCATGAACATAACAATAAAACATACTTAAGAAAGTCATCAGATTTAGCAATAATATAATACAAATCAGGTATGCTTTCCAGAATAGATGGAAGAATAAGGTAGTAGGTCTCAATCATAAGTAGCATCACTTTTCTAACAAGCATTTGGAAATGTGTAGGGGCACATTTAATTACAATAATTGGCATGGGCTACTAGCACTTAAAGCTCTTGAGCCAAAGATGCCAACTGTTCTGCCATATACAAAACAGTTGTATTTAATACATAATTGTCCTGCCTAAATTGCCAATAGTACTCCTTTTGAGAAATAATGGGCTTTGCTGTAATTTAAAACTAATTAAAACCATCACAAACATCCTAGAAAATATAAAATAAGTAGCTGAGAATACTGTGGTAGAAAATAAGGCAGCTTGAGTGAATGTAAAAAGAAAGAAACTAAACTGGAGAAGGCATGTCCATCAACACTGCAAACTGTTATACAAGAGGACAGGCTCTTCTAGATCTAGAAAGAGCTGGGGATGAAGGAACACAAGTCCTTTAAGCTTCACTGATTCCCAGAACAAAACTCCAGCTACTTTATCTAATGGGCCACTCTCCTGGTTCCTGACTATGCTGTCTAAATTTGTTCTTCCACAGGCACCAGATGGTAAGATTTTAGGAATGACTGCCTTTCATACATAAAGTTTCCCAATGGGTGTGGTGATACCTAATGGCTTAAATTCATTTCACAGGAAGAAAGCTTTAGATTTTACCATTAGTGGGGGGAAAAAAGCCTAAGTAGCATTAGCTGACTGACTGTGAATTAATTTTAGCTAAGTTAATTATCCAATCAATTAATAAGAACAAATGACAGTAACAGAACCTTCCCTCTATTTTAACAGGAGAAAAGAAAGCCACTGGAAATTTTTGGTGAGAGAGTTCTGAAAAAGATGCTGTGAACTTAAATGCAATTTCCCAATATTCTTTAGGGTTGAGATTGTTCATTCTTAGCTGAGTAGATACATACAACCTTTGCAGAAAGGCCATTTGTCACTTGCAACTAAAAATGCAGGCTCTGAATTTTATTAAAAGTTTAAAACACATAAATCTATTCCCAGAGGGTAGGCTAACAATGTGCCTCTCATAAGCTTGAACACAATAATGCCTAACAATCACTACAAATTAATGGGATTTCAGTGGTTTTCCCCCACAAAGATCTACATAAATTTTTGAGCACAGATTCCACACTTATTTTTAAATAACACTAGATGCAACTGGGAGAGAGAATCTAATCAATATTAACTATAATATTTGAAATAAATTTAAAGGAAGTGGCAAAGATATACGAATATTTTAAAAGTTTAACAATTCTAACTGAAACAATGCAAACTACTCACATGCTGGTTCTGTATTAAAGCATCAAGATTGGGTTCACATGGAATGCTGAAAATGACACGAATCCTACCTTCTGTAATCACATCACCTGAATCCTGAACCTGAGGGGAAAAAAAGAAAATCACTGTATATTTTAGTCTCTTTCAGAGTATTTTATTTTTTTTAACTTATTGGAACACTATTATTTTTTAAATACATTATTGACAAGTTGGAAGTGAAAATTCTCTTGAAATTTCTAAGTGGGTATAATACCGTAAATTTTCATCACTGTATCATTGCTTTAATGGTTGTTATTAATCTTTTCTTTTTGAGACAGGATCTCATTCTGTCTGAAGAGATCGGGTAAATTCATACGGTGGTATGGCCGTAGACAGGCTCTCACTCTGCCATTCAGGCTCAAGTGGTGGGATCAAGGCTCACTGCAACCTTGAACTCCTGGGCTCAAGCGATCTTCCTGCCTTGATCTCCCAAAGTGGTAGGATAATAGTAGGTGTAAGCCATTGCACCTGGCCAATCTTTTTTTGACAACAGGGTCTTGCTCTGTTATCTAGGCTGGAGTGTAGTGGTGCTATCATGGCTTGCTGGCTTGCAGCCTTGGCTTCCTGGGCTCAAATGATCTTCCCACCTCAGCTTCCCAAGTAGCTGGAACTACAAGTGTGCACCACCAAGCCCGATTCATTTTTTGCAGAGAAAGGATTTTGCCATGTTACCCAGGCTGGTCTCAAACTCCTGGCCTCAAGCAATCTCACCCACCTTGGCCTCCCAATGTGCTGGGATTACAGGTGTATGCCACTGTGCTTGGCCCAATCATTCTTTTTTAAATTAACTTTTTATTTGCAAATGATTTCAAAGTATCAAAAAGCTGCAAAACTAAAAACACTACAAAGAACACAATTATGAACACTACAAATGAAAACATTTATCCAGGCTGGGTGTGGTGGCTCACGCCTGTAATCCCAACACTTTGGGAGGCCGAAGCAGGTGGATCAGTTGAGGTCAGGAGTTCAAGATCAGCCTGGCCAACATGGCAAAACCCGGTCTCTACTAAAAATATGAAAATTAGCCAGGAGTGGTGGTTCATGACTATAATCCCAGCTACTTGGGAGGCTGAGGCAGGAGAATCACTTGAATCCAGGAAGCAGAGATTGCAGTGAGCACAGATCTGCCACTGTATTCCAGCCTGCGTAATACGGCCAGACTCTGTCTCAAAAAATAAAAAGAAAAAAAAATTATCCAGATTCACCTGTTGTTAGCATTGTAAAACAAATGGCTTTATCATTTGTGTACTGTGTGTGTATTTTATCTTTCTGAACCCATTTAGTATATATTACATATATCATATCCCTGACCTCTTAATATTTGTTTATATTTCCTAAGATAGATATTTTACTATATAATCACAGTATAAAGTATATAAATTTACATTAACATAATACTTTTATCTAAGCTATCATCCATATTCCAATTTTGTCAGTTGACCTAATAACGTCCTTTATAGAACTCTTTTCTTCCTTTATTACAGGATCCAGACTAGGATCAGATATTACATTTGTTTATCTCTTTAGCATCCTTTAATCTAAAATGTATCCACTGCCTTTCTTTGATTTTCGTAACACTGACCTTTCAATTTTATGTTAAGTTATCACTTTTTTTGTATTTTTTTTTTTTTTAGACAGAGTCTCACTGTGTCATCCAGGCTGGAGTGTAGTGGTGTGATCTCAGTTCACCACAACCTCTGCTTCCCAGGTTCAAGCAATTCTCATTTTCAGCCTCTCAAGTAGCTGGGATTACATGCATGTGTTATCATACTCAGCTAATTTTATAAATTTAGTAGAGATGAGGTTTTGCTGTGTTGGCCAGGCTGGTCTTGAACTCCTGGCCAGAATACTGCATAGATAATGTGTCCTTCACAGGGTATTACATCTGGAGGTACACAATGTTCGTCTCTTTTAATGTGATGCTAACTTTGATTATACCATCAAGATGTTGCTCAATTTTTTCCCTGCATAATTACACTTTTTGTTTCCCTTGCAGCAAACTAATAGTGTGTAGGAAATACTTTCTAAGACTGTGCAAATATCCTGCTCCTGATAAAAAAAAAAATTCCCCCTAGATTTACTTCCCAATGATAATTCTTACATGATTCAATCCTTATCATAATGGTTGCAGAATGGTTTTTCAACTACAGCACACTCTCCAAATTTACTTCTGACATGCTACTATCAACAAGAGCCCTTCCTTTCCCTATTTATCCTTTTACTATCACTATAGAATCATGAATTCCTGTCTCCCCCTTACTGGTTAATAATTCATTACTGAATTTAATTATTTTGTCACTCAAAGTATCCAAGATTTGGCCAGTGGTAATACCTTTAACCTGGTTCCTGTGTTTACATGACAAGCTCCTAGCATTCTTTTGAGCACTTCCTTACTTTCTGGCATAACAAGATGTTCCAGGTTCATCTTGTATGCTCCCTGCCCCAGATCCAGAATCAGCAATTTCTCTGAAAAGTCCTTTTCCTTTTAGTGAGGTATGAAATTAGAGGTTAAGATCTGGGTGGTACATGTGCTGATTGTGCTAAGGTGTCTTTGCTTCTTATCCCTTTGAGCAAATAGAGCTAGAAAATACATGTATGTATAGAACATATGCATACATGTATATACACATACATGTATACATGTGCCTATATACACAGATATACAAACATATACACATATTTTAGAAACCATGAGTTCACACTAATATGTACAAATCTGTCCTTATGGGCTCTTTTTTTCTTTCTCCCATTCCATATTTGCATATACCCTTTTCCATTTAGGAACTGAAGTTCCTCAAATATGAACACATTTACAAATTCAGTCAAGCCTATTACATGTCTAAAAGAGTTTCAAATTTGCTTCATCCATACCACAATAAACAAAATTGCTTAGAAAAAAGAGATCAGCATTTGAACATACCATCTCTTGATTCTAATCTGCTCAAGACTAAAGCTAGATAGTCTTAGGTATACAGTCTTTAGATATATAAGTCAAATACTGTGTTCATAAGTTACATGGAAAAATTTTTTATTTTTTCCTTCATTATCATATTTTACTTCAAACCTAAAGGAAGAGAAGGTAAATAACTGCTTGAAACTAGAGAAGACTGTATCAGTAACAATAATGGAAACTAACTTCTCCAGTGCAGCCATAATAGGGAGTCCCCAGCATAAAGACCATACTTCTCAGAGGAAACAAATCATCCAATGTTTTGATATTGGAGAAACGGGAGTCAAAAGCTCGGATGTCCTACATAAAATAAAATACAAAAGTAAATCATCTTAGTCAAAATTTCTATAGATGGCATATCAAGTTTTTTTCTATGGTATTATGACTATGCTGTTTATAAATGTCAATGTGAAGATTTTTCTACATAATGCTAATAGCTAAAATTTGACTGGTTATATGGCAGGCACTCTTCTACGTGCTTCATACATCTATTGAGTTTATTTCATCAGCAAGACAAACCTCTGTAGCAGAGACCATTATTAGCCTTACTTTACAGATGAGAAAATGGGGCACAGAATGGGGATGAATCTTGTCCAAGGTAATGCAGCTAAGAAGTCAACTCAGGTAGCCAGTGCTCTGAGTCACTCAGTCACTATACTGTACTATAACACCACAAATTATAGGATCACTACATACTTTAAAATTTTTTGTCCTCTTATCATATCTAAGATTGCAAACACAAAAGCAAATGCCTTTTATATTTATTAGATTATTTGAGGCAAATATTTTTGAAGAATAAAAGCAAAATTCAAGGGTATAAGTTAATGCTGAGATTTTTTCTTTTAGAGATGAAGTCCTTAAAAAATTATAAAAGGCAAGTTTCCTAACTACAAATAGTGAGTGTTTGAGCATGTAATACCTCTTACAAAGAATAAGGTATTTTGTAAGCTATATTAAATAATCTCTATTATACATTGCTGAATCAGTTTATATTAATATGTCATCTTTTGGCTATACAATGTATGATAGTGTACATTAAGATAGAATTGAAACTTGAAATAGACTCACCTTGACAATAGTTTGATAAACAAAAGGAACAACTTGTTTTGACCACTGTTTCTCTAGACGAACTTCACCATTTTGATTTATTTGATATTTACGACCTGTGAGTAACTGACCATATACAACTGCAGATGTCTCATTTATTATTATTCCTTTTCTTCTCAGGTAACTAAAAGAAAGGAAAATGAAATATATATATGAATGAGTATGCAGATATTCTAGGATGATAATCATCATCTAAACTATCAACTCATAATCAAATGTGTAAGTAAACTTTATTTTTTAATTTTTTTTTTAGATGGAGTCTCGCTCTGTTGCTCAGGCTGGAGTGCAATAGTGCAATCTCAGCTCACTGCAACCTCCACCTAATGGATTTAAGCAATTCTACTGCCTCAGCCTCCCAAGTAGCAGGGACTACAGGTGCATGCCACCATGCCCAGCTAATTTTTGTATTTTTAGTAGAGACGGGGTTTTACCATGTTGGCCAGGATGGTCTCAATCTCTTGACCGTGTGATCCACCTGCCTTGGCCTCCCAAAGTGCTGGGATTACAGGCATGAGCCACCGCACCCAGCCTAAATATGCTAGCAGTTTTAGGTACTTAACTTGAGACTTTTTATATTATTTATTTAACTCTGTGGATACTTCTCCAACTGTCTATGTGATTAAATAACTCACAGAGCTATAAGAAACACCTGCCAGGTGTCTCTCCACACCTGGCAGGGCTGCGGGCTGCCCCAGCTGGGGGGTCGTGGGCAGCTGCTTCTCAGTGCCAGCCCCGTGGGGCACAGAGCCATATACCTCGCTGTCCAGCGCCCCCCAGCCTCGCCCACCCACCCCATCGTCTCCACTTCAGGAAAAGCCGCACTTTACACCCCCACCTGCCTCCTCCCCTCCATCCCTGCTCCCCGATCCTGAGCGGTTGGGGTGGGGGCCCCTCAGCAACCCCGGATGTGGGTTTAAGGAGACAGGTGGCTTACAACCTCTTTGCTGCCCTCCCCCGATACCAAGGAAGGGGCCCCCAGAGGAGCTGGCCGCCCTCGCCGCCACGCGGGCCCGACTCCAGCCCGTTTGCTCAGCCCTGCAGGCTTTTTTTCTGTAGGAGCATCCCAGCACGCTGGCTCGGAGTCCCATCCTCCCCGCCCCTCGTCTGTCTGTTTACACATTGGAGTGGGGTCCTCCGTGGGCAGGCGCTGTCCGCCTTTTGTGCCCGAGTACCTTTCCGAGTGGACTCGACCATCCCCCACCCCCACCAAAGACTACCCTGTGAAGTGATAACTACCTTGAACCCCCCTTGCTGTTTTATTTATTAAACTTGATTTGAAGCCCCTCCCCCAAAAATTATCGCTACTAGGATGGCGATAATTAAAAAACAGTGAAAAAAATAAGTTTTGGTGATGATGTGGAGAAACTGGAACATTTGTACATTGCTGGTGGGACTGTAAAATGGTGCAGCTGCTGTGGAAAGCAGTTTGGAAGTTCCTCAAAAAGCTAAACATACAACTAACACATGACCCAACAATCCTACTTCTAAGTATTCTAACCCCCGCCAAATTGGAAACAGGTCCTCAAACAAACACTGATATACAAATGTTCATAGCAGCACTATTCAAAGAGTCAAAAAGTAGAAACAATTCAAATGTTCACAAATGAATGAATGGATAAACGCAAGGTGGTATATCCATACAATGGAATATCATTCATCCATAAAAAGGAATAAGCACTGACATATGCTACAATGTGTATGAACTTCAAAAGCATGCTAAATGAAGGAAGTCTGACATGAAAGGCCATATATCATATGATTCCATTTACATGAAACATCTAGAATAGGTAAATACATGAAGACAGCAAATATAATAATAGAGGTGGCCAGGAGTATGTGATGGCCTTTCCAATCTAAAGTAATTCAGATAGGCTCCTGTTCTTTTAAATAAAAGTTTACTGGAACATAGTTGTCCATTCACATCCTGTCTATGGCTGCTTTTGTGCTACATGGTAAAGTTGAGTAGTTATAACAGGCATTGTAAAGTCTACAAAGCCTAAAATATTTATTATCTGGCCTTTACAGAAGAAGTTTGCTGACCCTTGATCTAAATATGTAATCATTCTTCATTAAGGAATATTTTCTTATCTCCTTTCCATTTTCTCTTTCTAGAACTCTTTATGTGAAGTACTGTGAATAGTTTTTTTTTTTCCAATTAAAGGAGTCTTATTTTAAATTAAAATAATACCTATTCATTCAAACAAACAATTACTGAGTGCCTATGCACTAACGAATAAATTAGAATAAAGAGGTGACAAAAACAGGTATGCTCTCTATCCTTATGGAGCATAGTATCTTAAAAAAGAGTTATAAATCATACAAGTAAGTTTATTATTATGGTTTTATTTATGTGCTACAAAAGACAATTTAGAATGATATAAACTATGATGGGGTATCTAATTTATACTGTTGGGAGGTAAAAATATGTTCTACCTCTGGAAAGCTATGTTTATCTCCTTTGGTGATGGATGGTTTCTCATGGTCTTTGAATGTTTTCCCTGTTTATTCATCTTTGAATAAGGATATTATGGCCTGGTATTAGCCCCAAAATTAGAGAGAAGGAATATCCTTGAATTCTCCAAAAGCTTATTCACAGATAGAAAGGCTGATGAATATATGTTTAACAAAACATTGCATGCACCACTGCCAACCTCTCGAATTCTGCTTTTGTTTTGGGAATTCTAGTGTAGAGACAGCAAAAGAAAGATGCTGTTGGGATGGGATCATGAAACACAAACCAGAGGGTGATCCTGAAAACCAGCATTCCAAGGTGGTTTAGTGTGTCAGTTTGGCTGCATTCTAAGCCCTGGGGAATAGGAGCTTGGGTGGAAGAGAATAAAGGAAATGGGGAATGGGAGAAGAGAAACAAAAGAGGGTTTTTCTTTCAATTTTCCTAACTTATATGTGGCCAAAAAATTCAATGGCCTTACATGGTTAGTGAAAATAGCTCTCAAAATCAGGTAATATATTAAGTGCTATTCCTAGTATTATATGATTATGTCATGTTCTATAGTTCATTAACTATTTCAGTGACAAACTGGGCAAGGCTATAACTACTGCTATCCAGATATTATTTTAAATTAGAACTCATTACTTTCTTTCGAATTCAGGATAAAGGTGTAATTAGTATTCAGAGTAACTACCATGTTAAGGGGAAAATAAGTCAGAGAATGAGTACATTAAAATGGATTTTAGTTCTGTGATATTAAATACTTTTAATGACACTCACTGTTCTGAAATTCCTTGTATTTCTTTTGCCCAGTTAGATTGTTCTTTATCTCCAAGATGGATCACTTTAGATGGTGGGGCAGTTCTTCCTGAGTAAAGCTTCTGTGTTCCTGGAGGTTCTTCCAAGTAAAACCTTAAAAGTTAAAATAAAAATTATATAACCAAAATGTTCTGGTTTAATATAGAGTTCTAGCAGTGTGACTCTTCCAAGTGAAATATTTTTTCACACAGCATAATAGCAAAAAATCCTACAACTGTAATGTAAATTACAGAACTATAATAATTATAGTTCCTTTTATAAACTATAATATAAATTATAGAACAAGGGCTTGTTAAAAATTTCATTCAAATTTTAAAAGCATGGGAAGTGCAGAGGAGGAGGAAGAAGAAAAGTTGGTTAATACAAAGTTAGAAGTAATAAGTTCTAGTGTTCTATAGCAACAGTAGGTTGACTATAGTTAACAATTTATTGTAATTTTGAAAATAACTAGAACAGACTCAAAATGTTTCCAACACAAGGAAATAAGTGTTTGAGGTAATGGATATCCTAATTACTCTAATTTGGAAATTACGTGTTATATATACATGGATCAAAATATCACATGTATTCTATAAATATGTACAATTATTATGTATCAAAAAAATTTAAGGTTGGATGTGGTGGCTCATGCCTGTAAGTGCAGCACTTTGGGAGGCCAAGGTAGTAGGACTGCTTAAGGTTAGAAATTCAAGACCACCCTGGCAACATATTGAGACCCTGTCACTACAAAGAAAAAAAAATATACCAGGCATGGTAACACATATCTGTAGTCTCTACTACTTGGGAGTCTGAGATGGGAGGATCACTTGAGCCAAGGAATTTGAGGCTGCAGAGAACTATGACTGCCAATGCACTCTAGCCTGGGTGACACAGCAAGACCTGGTTTCTCCCAGTCAGTCAGTCAAAACAATTTAAAAGCAAATAGAAAGTTTTTTTTTTTTTTTTTAAGAGAAGGGGTCTCATTCTGTCACCCAAGCTGGAATACAGTGGAGTGATCATAGCTCATTGCAGCCTCAAACTTCTGGGCTCAAGCAATCCTCTTGCCTCAGCCTCTTGAGTAGCTAGGACTACAGGTGCACACAACTATGCCTGGCTAATGTTTTTATTTTTTGCAGAGACAGAGTCTCACTGCCATGCCCAGGCTAGTCTTGAACTCCTGGTCTGAAGAGATCCTCCCACCTTGGCCATGCAAAGTGCTGAGATTATGGGTGTGAGCCACCACACCTGGCCCCTAATAAAGTATTTTAGCCAAAAAAGTTTAACCTGAATCAAATCAAGCTACTAGCCCTAACTTCCAGCTTACAGGAAATATAAATATGTGGGATAGAGGAATAAGTTAACTGACACTAAGAGGAAACAACAGGATAAATCCAGAATTCTACAAAATAACTGGCTGTCCTCAACTCTACAAATAAAAGAAAATATATTCTAAGATATAAAATCAATATAAAAAGTCAATTGTTATTTTTATGTACTAGCTGGGGAAACAAATTTATAACATTCATATTTACTCCAAGAAAAATTACACACTTACCTATAAGTCTAACAAAATATGTACCTGATCAGTATGATGAAGAAAAAACACTGATGAAAGAAATCAAAGATCTAAATAAATGAAGAGATATATTGTGTTCACGGATCAGAATATTCAACATAGTTACATCTCCCTGGATTGAGCTATAGGTTTAACACAATTCCTATCAAAATCGCTCCAAGATTTTTTGGAGATATAGGAAATTCTAAAATTTATATGAAAAGGCAAAGGATCTAAAATAGCTAAAACAATTCTGAAGAAAAAAACAAAAAAAGAAAACGTAAAGTTGAAGGAATCACACTACCTGATATTAAGACTTATAGCACAGTAATCAAGCCAATGTGTTACTGGCATAAAAATAGACATATAGATCAATGGAAGAGAATGAAGAACTCAGAAACAGACCCACACAAACATGGCCAACTAACTTTTGACAAAGGTGCAAAACAATCCAATGAAGGAAGCACAGTCTTTTCAACAAATGATGTTGGAGCAACTGAATATTCAAAGATAAATATATGAAACTAGATCTAAACCCTATGCCTTATACAAAAATTAATTCAAAATGGATTACTGATTTCATGTAAAATGAGGTAAACCTATAAAACTTTTCAAAGAAAATCTTTAGAACCTGGGGCTAGATTAAGAGCGCTCAGGCTGGGCGCGGCGGCTCACGCCTGTAATCCCAGCACTTTGGGAGACCAAGGTGGGTGGATCACCAGAGGTCAGGAGTTCAAGACCAGCCTGGCCATCATGGTGAAACCCTATCTTAAAAAAAAAAAAAAAAAAAAGAGCTCTCAGACATGACACCAAAAGCATAAAACAATTAATAAATCAGATTTCATCAAAAAGGTAGAAAAATTAAATTCTGATGATTAAAAAACAATCCTCAAGATTTCATACACAAAAGCAGATACCAATAAAGGAAAAAACAATACATTGACTTCTCATCAACAACATTACATAAAATATCACAATGGAGAGATGTATGCAGAGCTCTATGAGAAAAGAAAAAGAAACTAGGCCTCCAAAATTCTAAACCTGTATGTGAATTAAAAAAAAAAGTGTAATAAAAGTGTAATAACTCAAAATCAAAAAACAAAGTATCTACCCATCTTTTCTGAAAAAAATTTATTCAGAAAATTCTAGCCATATGAAAAATAAAATATAAGAAATCGAGAAAACAAAGTTTATATAAAATAATGGTAAAAATGACAAAAAATAATCTAAATATTTACTGATATAAATGGTTGTGAATTTCAATAAAATGTTAAGATTTTTTTCTTAGAACAGAATGAAACCCAGGTGGGGCAGGGTAAAGGGAAGGTTACATATGCTGTTAATTCTTGTCAGAAAAGAGAAATGTATTTGCTAATTAACATAATGATAACCACTTCTAGAAAATAATTAGGATATAGAACTTCCAAGCAGTTAAAAGGGAAGAAAATAACATATGCAACTAAAATATCTCAAGAGAGGTAAAATAAACTGTCAATAATGTTTGAACTTCAAGTGGTGCCATTAGATGACTTTCATATTTGGTATAGAGTGTAAATGTTCTCAACATAATTTTGGCAGTTAAAAAATGAATCAATAAAAGCCATCCAAGTAACAAAGCAAATATATGTTAGAAAAATTATAAATCACATCTTACTTACTTAGTTTCTCCATCTGATACAGCCACAACTCTAGCTTCCTCAAGGTGAGGCCAATTAACAAAGACAGATTTTCCAAGCACTGATGAAGCTACATTTTCTATGATCTTAAAGTAAAAGCAGAAAAGTTCATTGACAATTTCAAGTCCAAAGAAAACTTTACCCAGGCAAAACTTTTCAGTCTCCATTTGTTTTTTAAATTCTAAAATGAACAAGTTGTGGCCGGGTGTGGTGGCTCACACCTGTAATCGAGAACTTGAAGTCCAGAGTTCAAGACCAGCTTGGCAAATATGATGAAACCCCATCTTTACTAAAAATACAAAAATTAGCCAGGCATGGTGGCACATGCTGTAGTCCCAGCTAATTGGAGGTAGAGGCAGCAGAAGTGCTTGAACCCAGGAGGTGGAGGTTGCAGTGAGGTGAGACTGTGCCACTGCACTCCAGGCTGGGTAACAGAGCAAGGTTCCATCTCAAAAATAAATAAATAAAAAAATGCACAACTGGATTAGTTACTTTACAAAATTCAATCTTCTATCCAGGTGTAAAATTCTGTCATTCTAATTAGGCTCAAGATTATCTTGCTTATTTTTTTATGGTAACTGAGAGAAGTAAAAAGAACAGCAGAAATATCTAGGAAAGAACATTGTTTCATATCAAATAGTCAATTATTTAAAAGAGAATCTAAGAAATACAATCTCATTGTAGTTTATGGCTGGTGTGATGAAAAAAGAATATTAGACAGGAGACACGGGTCCAAATTTGGGTTCTACCACTTTTTCAGCTATAGAATTTTTGGCATATCATTTAATCCCACCGAGTCTCAGTTTTCTTTTATGAGGAAAAAGAAGAACATCTACCTTACAATGTTGAGGATAAAAGAAAATCATATACATGAAAGCTTTCATAAACCATAAAATGATCTATAAATATTCTGTAGGAAATAATATCTTAAGTAAAAAATTCTAGTTTTAGGAAACTGTATTATCCAATTCAATTTAACCATGTTGGCCGAACAACAACAACTTTGTGGTAGAAACTGAAGTTTAAATACAAAATTTCATTCATCTTTTTTGTTTATTATCCTTAATCATTACTAACAATTTATTTTAACAATTAGAGATAAACTATTTTTAGACTTTTTTGGGGTAACTTTTATTTTGATATTTAGACATTTCTTACTTTGAACATATAAAACAATAGAATACCTATTCTGATAAATAAAACAATTTTAACATTAAAACTAGGCTTCCTCAGTTATCTTTTCCCTTCTATATATCTATTTCTAAATTCATTTTCCCACTCTTTCCTTTAGTTTCTGAAGAAATAGTTGTCTTCCTTTCCCAAATTAATCCTTTTATTTAAGCCCTAGGTAAAATCCCTTATTAAACTCCCATGGGGTCCTGTCATGATAAACATCCTTTCCCTCTATGCTGCCTTTAAAACTTCCTTTCTCCATGGATTTTGCTTTATCAGCTGCATCTTCTCTTATCTATAGTTATGTTTCTAGCATCCCTTTCAATGATAAACTTCTTGGCCAGGCATGGTGGCTTACACCTGTAATCCCAGCACTTTGGGAGGCCCAGGTAGGTGGATCACCTGAGGTTGGGGGTTTGAGACCAGCCTGGCCAACATGGTGAAACCCTGACTCTACTGAAAACACAAAAATTAGCCGGGCATGGTGGCAGGTGCCTGTAATCCCAACCTCAGGAGGCTGAGGCAGGAGAATTACTTGAACCTGGGAGGTGGAGGCTGCAGTGAGCTGAGATTTTGCCACTACACTCCAGCCTGGGCAACAGAGTGAGACTCTGTCTCAATAAATAAATAGGCTGGGTGGTGGCTTATGCCTGTAATCCCAGCACTTTGGTTGGGAGGCCGAGGCGGGTGGATCACGAGGTCAAGAGATCAAGACCATCCTGGTCAACATGGTGAAACCCCGTCTCTACTAAAAATAAAAAATTAGCTGGGCATGGTGGCACATGCCTGTAATCCCAGTTACTCAGGAGTCTGAGGCAGGAGAATTGCCTGAACCCAGGAGGCGGAGGTCGCGGTGAGCAGAGATCGCGCCATTGCACTTCAGCCTGGGTAACAAGAGTGAAACTCCATCTCACAAATAAATGAATGAATGAATGAATGAATGAATGATGAACTCCTTGACCAAGTGCTTAATATTTACTACCTTTACTTCCCATCTACCCAATCCTAGCCTCGTCCTCAGGAACTGAAATTCTGCTTCCACCAATCTACTGAAATGGAATTTTCAAAGATCAACATTGATGTTCTAATAGATAAATTCACAGATCTTATTTGATTTTTCATTCTTCAGATTTATGCAGATTACATCCTTTGATCCATTTTTCTGTGGTACTATTTAATTTTGGAATCCTTCTTTCTTATCTCTCTGTTTCTATTGGCTTCCTCTTCACCATTTATAACTGTGGGCATTTCTTTATGCCGAGACCATGAACACTCAATGTACCTTGTCACCGGGGAAATGAACCTCAAGTCATCAATTCTTTGTTGACAACTTGAATATTCCTATCTCTCTCTAAGCTCTAGCAAAAATGTCTACTTGCTCAATTCTCTCAAGGATGGTACATAATTACTACTGTTCTAAACGCACAAAAGGTAAGTTAATTTATTACGTACAATGAATGACTTAGGGCATTAGGGCTTATCCATCTTATGAAAAACTAGTTAAGAAAGGCTGGCAAGGCAGTTACAGTTAAACATCCTATGTCACCTTAAAATTCCATCATTATTTACCATTTCAATCCCCTAAACCATCAACTTCTCTGTTTTAACTTTCCTACTCCAGTAACTATAATTTTTTTTAATCAGCCTGAATATCTCAGTCATATTTACTGTTAGTTTCTCTTTTCACACACTGTATTTGCACAAATAATGAATACTATCAGTTTAATGTCATCTTGCTCATCTAGATCTATTGCTACTTCCATAGTTTGTCTCTATCACCTGATGCTACAACCATTAAACTTGAAAGTGTTCCCATTTTCTTCCATTTCTCTCTTGTGTAATTTGGTTTATTATACTACCACCAATTAATCTTTATGAAAATACCAATTCCAAGATAATGGTCATGAGGAAAAAAAGTCCTTAGCCTGGCACTCAAGGTTCTCCATAATCTGGCCTCAATCTGTTTTTTCAACCTTACCTTCCACTATTTCCCAACACAAACCCTCTGCTTCAGTAAGGCTTATTTATTCCTTGTCCTCAAATAAATCACATTTATTCTACAGAAAAGAATAAGTGTTAAGAAATAGTTCAGACACACAAAAAGGTTAAAAGCAGTAATATATCACATTTTTGACTGAAATGACTGGCTCATATTTCTTCGGACTAGAATGCCTTTCCCCTCCTTTTTTGTCCTAACCTGAAAAGTTTTTTTCAGCACTCAGCTCAAGCCTATTCTCATTTACAAGTCTATACTTAACTTTTGGTTTACATAGCTCATCTCCTTTTAAAAATTCCTAGAAAATGTGTATATTCATTATGTCACAATGATACAGGTTCTTGAACTATTATCTAATTAGTATGAATGTTTCTTTGCTTTATCCTTATTTAGGCTCTGAATTTCCAGAGTTATAACATGTAATACCTCTTTGGTAAACAGCCCAGCAGCTACAGTTTAATACATAATAAGCATCTAATAAATGAATGATAAATAAAACACTTACAAGTTCATCTGATTCTGTGTCCACTAAGATTTCCAACATCATGTTTTCTCCACGACTGCTTTGCTGGAATACTTGAACACCACTTTTCTTCAAAAAAAACTTTAAAAGAATTCAGAGAATTTAATTTTAATTATTTCTCCATAATCACTTCATACTTAATAAAGTGAAAAAATTCTGAACTAAATAGCCACTGACTTTGTGTTTGATGTGTTTCAGAGTAGGAAATCCGCAAAAATATAATGCCTTCTGGTCAACTCTGGTTATTTTGTTTTTGCTTATGTCTACACGCCAAGCATCTAATGATATTATTTTATACCTAGAAAATAAATCAAGGCATTGAATTTAAAATTAAAACATTACAAACAATTAGTTTTTTAACTTTTCCTTGAATTGTAAGAGCATCCTTACTTTTAAAGAAGAGAATGCATTCTGGCAAACATGGTGAAACCCCATCTCCGCTAAAACTACAAAAATTAGCAGGGCATGGTGGCATGCACCTGTAGGCCCAGCTACTCAGGAGGCTGAGGGAGGAGAATCGCTTGAACCTGGGAGGCAGAGGTTGCAGTGATTTGAGATTGCACCACTGCATTTCAGCCTAACTGACAGAGCAAGACTCCGTCTCAAAAAAAAAAGAAGAAGAGAATGACAATTAGTTCTAGACAAAGAAAACACAAGCAGATAACCAGTTTCTCTGCTGTTACTGGTCTAGACATAATCATGCCTGTAGATTACTAAGTAGAGATTTTCCCTACTAATCTAAAACAAAATTATATATACAATTTTTAAGAGAAAATGTGAAGGATAACACAGATCTCTATATCGTCCATGTTCCAAAACCCAGAATAGAAAATAAACATTTTATGATGTTTATCTTTCTCTTTGCTTTTTTTTGGGCGGGGGACGGAGTTTCGCTCTTGTTACCCAGGCTGGAGTACAATAGCGCGATCTCGGCTCACCGCAACCTCCGCCTCCTGGGTTCAGGCAATTCTCCTGCCTCAGCCTCATGCGCCACCGTGCCCAGCTAATTTTTTGTATTTTTTGTAGAGACGGGGTTTCACCATGTTGACCAGGATGGTCTCGATCTCTTGACCTCGTGATCCACCCACCTTGGCCTCCCAAAGTGCTGGGATTATAGGCGTGAGCCACTGTGCCCGGCCTCTCTTTGCTTTAACAAAAGGAAAACTTATAAGTGAGAGAGGTTCACTTTATTTGCAAATCAATTGCTACCTGGTTAGAGTATTTGCCAGGAAGACGAGAGAAGAGAAAAAACAAGGAAGACATTTTAATGAAGAGAAAAAATGGAGCTATCTTATTTCTTATTTTCTTCTTTCTAGTTGGGTGGCTGGGGAGTGTTTTTATCAATGTCACAGCATATCAAATGATGCTGGGAGCAGAGACATTGACAATGGAAACAAAAATTCACATATCCATTCGAGGGAGACAAAGTCCAGGGATATACACTAGAGAAAAAATTCAAATACTTTTAATAGAAGAAGGAAAGAGAGATGCAGAATCTGACCCAAGCAGAGAATTGTAGACACAACAATTATAACTTACTCAGCAAGTTAGACGCAGCTCATTGCTTATCAATTGTCTAAACTATTTGCTAATTCTCCAAATATTTAAAGCTCCCTCTCCCCGACTCCCCACAACCTTATGTTAGGAGGGCTCTTTTGTTGTTGAAAAATTACCAAACAACATTACCTTGTACAACATCGTTCTATGGCAGGGAACTTTTCTGGCCATGGAGAAGGATAGATAAACTCTGTGTCTCTATCATACCAGCACATTAAGCACTCACTATGTTGGTTCCTTTTCCTCTCTTCCTTTTTGAGGGAGTGGTTACATGTCTCCATGGCTTCCAACAATCGCTTCTGAATACAAAGATTGAAGAGAAGGATTAAAAGTACAAAAACTCTGTAATCTCAGCACACAGAATAAGTCTTTTTTTCCTCCATATACAGAATAACTATTTGTGCTCTTGAAAAACAAAATCTTAACTAATGAAACTCTTCCATTTTATTGCATGAAAAAGTCATAGGCTATTTATTGTTTCAAAGGGCCCTAGAATACAGCTGCTACTGCAAAGTCCTCTGAAGCCATTACCCAAACAGTAGCTCCTAAAGTGCAAATAAGCAAGGCAGCAGAAAATCAAATTTTAAGTGTAAATCTATTACAATTATTGTATCATAAATCACAGAGCATTAATCTGTTACTTTAAATTCTGTAGTATAGAAATACCCATCATTTCAAATTAACTTATGCATTTAAAGTAATTTCACTCAGGATATCAATGGTTTAAAATAACCTTTTTTAAAAAAGAAAAAGATACCAGAGTTAATATGGAAGAAGGAATGTATGAACAGTGAAAAGTAACCAGGGACTTGTCTTACCGGATCCTGTCACTTTTGATAAAGTTACTGTAATCAAAACACTAGTATTGACACTGAGACTCACAGACCAGAAGAATAGAATAAAGTTCAATAATAGACCCAAATGTATGTTCTTTAAGTATTTAAATAATGATGATGTCCCAAGTAGCTATCTAGCTGGAAAAAAAAAGCACATACACTTCTAACTTCCTACCATATATAAAAACATGTATCACAATAACAAAATGATAAATGTATCAGAAGAAAATCTAGGTGGGTATTGATTATTTAGAGTAATAAAATTTTGTTTTTCAAGAGCACAAACAGTAATTCTGTATATTGAGAAAAAAAGACTTATTCTATAACACTTCCTTTTATTTAAGGAAGACAGAAAAAATCCTGACAGCTTTGAGTGGAAAGACATTTTTTAAGTAAAAGATAATATATATGACAGAAGATGCCATATACAAATGAAGAGACAGATGTGATACTGAGGAAAATCATTTCTAATAAACAAAGTAGCTAGAAATCAAAAGAAAAAGAAAAATGGGAGAGAGAATATAAACAGGCAAATTACAAAAGAGAAAATGCAAAGGGTAAACATATGTACAAGTCTTTTCAATAAGACATACAGCCCATAAATAAATCCATAATTTATACTGATTTTTGAGAAGGTTGCCAAGAACACACAATAGGGCAAGGATTGTCTCTTCAATAAACGGTGTTGAAGCAACTGAATATCCACATGCAGAAGAATAAACTTGAACTTTTATCTTACCATAAACAAAATCAACTCAAAATGGATTAAAAACCTAAACATAAAGACCTTAAACTATAAAACTACTAGAATAAAACACAGGAAAAAGGCTTCTTGACAATAATCTTAGCAACAATGTTTTGGATATGACTGGTGACATGGCTGAATTAATGAAGTCATATTTGGGAGAAAGTATATGGCATAAAGGCATAAACATTTTTGTTTTTGTTTTGAGACAGGGATTTACTCTGATGCCCAGGCTGGAGTGCAGTGAGGCAATTATGGCTCACTGCAGCCTCGACTTCCTGGGTTCAAGTGATCCTCTCACTTCAGCCTTCCAGGTAGCTGGGAATACAGGCATAAACCACAATATCCAGTTAATTTTTTTTTTTAGAGATTGGGTCTTGCAATGTTGCCCAGGGTGGGCTTGTACTCCTGGGCTCAGGCAATCCTCCCAAAGTGCTGAGATTACAGGCATGCTAAGATTACAGGCATGAACCATAAACATTATTTTTGATGAGAATTTCAGCTGGAAGATGAGCAGAACAGTTGTCAAGATGTAACAAAATCTCGCAGTCATCATCCAGTCAGCCTCTCTGCAGTGAGCACAAGCTGCTGGTACAAAATGTTTGTGAAACCAATCTGAAAAAAATGCCCCTAGTGATCCATGCCTTTTTATTAGCATAATATTGGACTGGTAATAAATTCACTCCTTGAAAACAGTGAGAACACAAGCTTTTGCCTATCACAGTAAGTTTACTTATGCATGCCTGCTGCATAAGTATATCCCAGCACATTTATTTGGTCCTTGGCATCCTTAATTCTTGGAAAGGCTGTTTTATCAGCTGCATTCAGTGTCTTTCTGGGGCAATAATGCCCAAACAGCAATGTTTCATCACTATTACAGACTTGTTCTGGCATCATTAGCAAAGACCTTAGCTAATGTGTCGATCAATTTTCTCTTGCTTCATGATCAGCAGGTGCTTTATCATGCCAAACATTTAAAAATTCAATGCTGTGTCTTTTTAAATTTATTTATTTATTTCTGAGACCGAGTATCACTCGGTCATCCAGACTGGAGTGCAGTGGCACAATCTCAGCTCACTGCAACTTCTGCCTCCTGGGTTCAAACAATTCTCATGCCTCAGCCTCCTGAGTAGCTGGGATCACAGGTATGCACCATTACACCCACCTAATTTTTGTATTTTTAGTAAAGTCAGGCTGGTCTGACTTTACTTTAGTTGGCCAAGCTTGTCTCGAACTCCTGACCTCAAGTGATCTGCCCACCTTGGCCTCCCAAAGTGCTAGGATTACAGGTATGAGCCACCTTGCCTGGCCTATTGTTTTTATTTTTATTATTATTTTTTAATATGGAATGCTTCATGAATTTGCATGTCATGCTTGCCCAGGGGTCATGCTAAACTTCTCCGTATCATTCCAGTTTTTCTTTTTCAGTATATGTACTGCTGAACTGAGCAGTGCATCTTTTAAATTTTTGCAACCAGTCTGTTGAATGTTCACAGTTCTCTTCAATTTCCAGTTCACTGTGATAGATCTGTTTGTTTCATTATCAGCCTGCTATTAAATGGCATGTATTCACTGCAATGCTGACAGATATGGTACTTCAATACATGATTGATATCTTCATTTGTAGCTTTATGCAGTATTCTCTTTTTCATCAACTTCTGCTCATCACTTTCAGCACAGAATATCAACAGCTTACCCTTCTGTTTTCTCAGGTCATATATGGACATTCTAAGATCATATTCTTCTGAAAGACAGTTCACACTTATACTGCTGCCTAGTTTCTCCAACAATTTGACTTTCTATGCTACAGGTAAATATAAATGCCTCCTATTTTTCTTGACACAGACAACCATAGGGGTAGCTGCAGTCCTTTTTGACATTTTCAACACTATCTTCACACCAGAACAAAGAATAAGCAAAGTAATACAGTGAGTAATTCGCACAGGCCTGCGTCCCATTTGGGGCATTGTGGGGAACCTGCACATTGGTACATCTGGCCTACACATGTGCCATTTTATTACCCTTTGTGGATGTGCTTGGGTGGGGAATCTGGGTGTATGCAGAAAAGGTATATTGCAGTTGAAGAGGGCTGGGAGGTTCTTCTGTCCCTTGGGATGCAAATAAGTTGTGTGTTGTGCACCTGCATTTTGACTGCAAAACCCATTCCATGATGCCAGGTGTAGATTTTCTGTTTGTGGCATCAAGTCGATGCTAAAAGTGTCTAATTTTGGAGCATTTGAAATTTCTGATTTTCAGATTAGGGATGCTTAATTTACACCACAATTTACTTATCTATTGTCCTGGTATTGGATGGTTTCCAGTTTAATTATGAACAGTCTTGTACAAAACATTTTTTAAACCTATTTTCCCTTCCTCTTGGTAAATATCTAAGAATGGAATTGCTGGGTCCTAGGGTAGGTGTATAATTTACTTTATGAGAAACTGCCAGATACATATGAAAAATGCTTCATTTATTTTATACTCCCAGTATCAGTGTATAAAAATTCTAATCGCTCCAGTCTTGCTAATATTGGGTATGCCTTTTAAGTTTTTTCCATTCCACTGGGATTATAGTATAGTGGTATCTTATCATGTTTTTAATTTACATTTACCTGTTGGCTAATGATGTTGGGCACTTTTCCATGGCTTATTATTTGTATATCTTGCTTTTTGAAATGGCCCTTCAAAAATATTTTCCCCATTTAAAAAACTGGGTTCTGTGTCTTTAGCTTGAATTGTAGGAGTTGGTTATATACTCTGGATACCAGTCCCATGCACATGAATGTTCTGCAAAATACTTTTTCTCCTAGTCTGTGGCTTATTTATTCTTTTTTTAATAGCATCTTTTGATAAGTGGAAATTTTTTAAATTTTGCTGAAATCTATAGTCTCAATTCTTTTCTTTTTACGATTAGTGATTTCAGAGTCTTGATCAAAATTTTCTTCTAAGTTTGCTTCAAGAAGTTTTATAGTTTTAGCTTTTATTAATACATTTATATCTATAACATATTTTGAATTAAGTTTTGTATTTGGTGTGAGGTATGGGTCAAGATTCACTTTTTTTCACAGATATAGCCAGTTGTTCCAGCACCAGCTTTTGAAAAGCACTTTCTTTACTCACTGAATGCCTTGGTGCCTTAACTGAAGATGAATTAACTCCATAAATATATATTTAGGCAGACTCTTTCTCCTCCAATTTATCTATTTGCTTATTGCTATACCAATAATACACCGTCTTGATTAATGTGGCTTCATGGTAAGTCTGGAAAGCAGGTAATGTAAATCCTCCAACATTGTTCTTTATATGGATTGTTTTGGCTATCTTCCTTGTAATCTTATAAAAACTTTAGAACTGTATTTTCAATTACATAAAAACTTGCTAGGGATTTTCACTGGGATTGAGTGTAAAGATCAAACTAAGAAGAATGTACACCTTAACAATGTTGTCTTCAAATCCATGAACATGATATAATCCCTTTAAGCAGAATCTTTAAGCCTCTTAAACATTTTGAATTTTCAATTGGTTTGTTGCTAGTATATGGAAAAAGAATTAGTTTTTGTACAGATCTTATACTTTGTAAGCTTGCTAAAGTTACTTATTACATTTTCTCTTTTGAAGATTCCTTAGAATTTTTACACAGCTAATAATGCCACCTGCAAATAAAAAACAATTTTATTTATTTTGTTCATCTTAACACACTGGACTTCTAGTAAAAAGTTAGAAAGAAGTTCTTAGAATGGATATCTTGTCCTATTCTTGACTTTACAGAAAAATGGTCCTTCTTTTACTATTAAGAATGTTGTTTGCAGTAAGACTTTTTAAATGCCTTTATCACAAGGTTGAGGAAGTTTCCTGTTATCCCTGTTTGTTGAACATTTTTATTAAAATTGGATGTTGATGAAAAAAATATTCTTAGTCAGAGAGTGGAAGGTGAAAAAAAAAACCTGGATGTTGAATATTGATAATGTGGCTAATCACATTGCAAACTAACTTTCTACATCTAAAATAAATCCCATTTGGTCATGACTGTTATCCTTCTTACATGCTGCCAGATTTGATCTCATGTCATTTTCTTAGGAGTTTTTGCATCTACTTTTAGGGGATGCAAAAATTTTCATTTCTTTTAATGCCACAACTAATTTGGGTATCTGGAATAAGCTAGTCTAATAAAATGTTGGGAGGAATTTCCCCTCTTCTATTTTCTAAAAGTTTAAGACTGGCATTATTTCTTAAATGTTTGCTAGAATTCACAAGTGAAGACATCTGGGCTAGAAGATATAAGACTATTCAGATTTTTGTATTCTGTGAGTTTTGCTAAGTTGTGATGAAATATGTTCACTTCATCTAGGCTATTGAATTTGTTGACATAAAGTTTGATCACATTCCTTAACTACCCTTGCACTATAAGTAGGATTTATAAAGTATCTCCTCTTTCATTCCTAATATTGGTAATTTATGTCTGCCTTCCTCCCCTTTTATTAAACTTTCTTGATCAGTCTAGGTAGGATTTACTGACTTTATTAATCTTTTCAAAGAACCAACTTTTGATGTCATTAATTTTTCTTCATTGTTTGTTCATTTTCTGTAGACTTCTGCTCCTTTTATTGTATTTCCTTTATTCTGCTTAATTTGGGTTTAATTGGCTCTTCTTTTTCTGTCTCCTTAAGGCAGAAGCTTAGGGGATTTATTTTAAATCTTTTTCTTGTTTAGCATAATCTAGAACCTTAAATATCCTTTTAAGCCCTGCTTTAGTCATATCATACTGATCATACTGATTATTTTTTTTTCTTTCCTGAGGAAAAAAAAAGCATTCCTCCCATTCTGGCCTCTCAGCATTCCTCCCAAACCTGTAAGTGTTGGGATTACAGGTGTGTGCCACCACACTCAGCCCCGATTATGATATACTGTATTTTAATTACCATTCAGATAAAAATATTTTCTAATTTCTCTTTTAATTTCTTCTTTCATCACAGGTTATTTAGAAGTGTGCTATTTACTCTCAAAACATATGAGGAGTTCCCAGATCTTTGTTACTATTTATAATTTAATTCTATGAGTAGGTTTATAGCATTATTCAAATCTTCTTTATTCTTACTGATTTTTTGACCTCTTGCGCAAAGGGTTGAAATTTCCAGCTATAATTCTGATAATTTTTGCTTTATGTATTTTAGGCTGTTTTATTAGGTGCAATATAATTCGGATTTTTATGTCTCCTTGAACTAAACTGATTCTTAACTGTATAAAATATCTCTTTATCTCTGGGAATGATATTCCTTGTTCTGAAGACTACTTTGTCTAATAATACTAAAGCCACTTTAGCCTTATTATAATTAGCATACCTACAAGCTTTTATGCACATAATGAAGAGGGTAGCTAAAAATTTCATGAACGAAACATAAATGGTGATTAAAACTCATTACTCATTAACTTATGTGAAATAATCTCTGATTAAGAATGTATATGTATATAATGATTACTTCATATACTGACCTCATCAATAAAAGGGATTAACACCACAGCTTCCCATTCCTGTTGTTTCCCATTTAGGTCAGTTTTAAAATCAGGTGGGTAATATTCTATAATTGGTGAGTCTTCACTGGTCATCAAATGCTGTGAAAATACAAAATAGTATAATAGAAATATGAGAACTATTATCAATATAGCTTTTTGTTAATGTATTTATATTTCCTCATGTTAGTTTAAAATTTCTAAACAAAGCAAATTTTTTATATCTAAGTCACAATATACTTGCTATTTTTTGATTTTCAACTACAAGAATTCTAATTTCACCGCCACTCGATTATATATTTTACTGAGTTATGCAGCAAAATCATCCTCTCAATATTCATTTTAAATTTTTTATTGTTTTTTCACTCTACAAGACATACAACTAAATTGTTTTTCTATCCAGACTTCATTTCAGTTCATCTAAAAGGCTTCTAGTAGTCCTCTATTTTTAGCCTGAAATTAACAATTTACTTTCATATTCTGATGAATTGAATCTGTTAAGTAAGATATCAGCTGTCACCCAAGATAGTTTAAAAAGAAAAATATCCTAAAACCCAAGAACTACTACAACACTAATATCAAAGAAAAATAGTCAACAACACGTTTTTATGACTTTGTAACAGAGGTAGGCAAATAAAGCATAAGGAAATAACGCAGTATATTCTTAGAGTAATACTCAAAATATTTAAAATATCCAGTATGGCATGGGCACTGTGCAATAAAACACACTATAAAACACTTGCATGGTCATGCTGGTCCAGAGTGGTTGAGTATTAAAGCATACTGTATCTGAAGGCAGGGAAAAAAGAATCAAAGAAACTTATGAAGAAAGGGAAGCCAGAATCAAGGAGAAGCTAAGGTGCAAAAAGATGCAGAAGGGAGTCTGACACTGCTAAAGAAGTAAAGGGTGTGTGTATGTGTCTACTCCAATTCCTGACCAAACCATGGAATTAAAAGAATAGATTGTTACCCTCAAAAAAAAAAAGATACAAAGTATAGCTTCAGAATCACCTTAGTAAGCTTAGTGCAATTTTGGTAACCTTATCACCCCTGAAATATTTTCCTCCTATTACATGAAATATGTTTACCAAAGAAAGCTTTTTATTTCACAATTTGATAAATGTTTAAAAATAAATATATACTGAGGTAGTACTGCTGTTGGGATAAATGACTTATTAGTCATTTATCATCCCTATTCCAAAAGGTAGAGAGCAAAGGGAAGAGGAATGAATCCGTAAATTCTGGACAAAGTAGATAGCTTCAGATATTGTCTGTTTTAGTCTACTTTCTTCAGTGTGGGGACAAATTGAAAACGTGTTTAAAGGTGCTGAAAATGAAACCAGGCTCTGAATGGTTTATGGAATTTATTTGCATCTTTAAAACAAAGCTAACTTTAAATCAAGGAATTACTTTTCAAGGGACTTGTTAAAGAAATGTTATAGTTTTAAACTGAAAATAAATATTTAGCTACCAAATAAATTTGAGTATTACTGTTTCTAGGTCTGGAGGAAGAGCTCCTAGATATCAAAAAGGACATAAAAACACTCAATTCTAAAACCCACCTGGTAGCATGTAGGAAGTAAATTTTTGCTAGCCGCTGGAAGTACAGCAAGAAGCTGTTCAAAAGGCTTAAAAGGTTTTCCTAGTTCAAAATGGATTCTGAGTGTACTGATGTTGCGTATATCAGATAGAAAAGGTGCATAATGGTAAGGATAGTACCTATAAAACAAAACAGAGTTTTAAACAACTGGCATCTTTATGAAATAGGTTAATACTAAGCATATACTTTTCCCCAAATTTTATTTTTCACAACATATAAAAATAATTTTTAAAAATTAGTACCACCCATAATTGTACCATTTGAATATAAGAAACTAGCACTGATAGAAAATATAGGTCATCCAATGGCAACAAATGTTATATTTCCTGAATTTTTAAAGTGTGGTTTCACATTTCTGAAATTGGAATGAATCAGGTAATCGAAAAACACATATAATGTAATGTTTCTTTTAATTTTCAAAATGTTGATTGTGAATCTTCCAATCAAGAAACTGAACCAGAAATGAGGTAGTCAGAAGACTTTCAGTTTGGTCACTTGAGCATGGATCATTTAAACAAGAGGCTGGGAACAGTTGAACGTTCTGGTAAAAGCTTAACAAGGAGAGGAAGAAAACTGAGTTTGAGCTTATCTAGCTATTACCAGTCAGATCTAAGAACGTTTATCTTTGAATTAGTATGCTTATTTTTTATCTGTGATAACGATGAAGCCATGTATCAATCCGATATACTATGTTTTTGTTTTTAATTCCTTCTCATCTTACTTACAGGCATAAATATTTTATAATGCTTTGAACAAGAGTTTTCAAAAATTTCAGTATGCTCCTAATGTTTGACTCAGGATACCAAAAAAACTGAAATGTTTTTGTATTCCATAATTATGGCATACATTTCCAAAAAATGAGGAAGTTTAGGAGGCCAAATTCCATGTGGAATTGAAAATGTACAGACGTTGGAATAAGATAAGCTTTGACTTGACTCTTGCTGGGGTGTATAATCTTTAGAAAGATTACCTAATCTTTCTTAACCTTTCACAGCCTCAATTTCTTCATCTGTAAAAGGGAGAAAACAATGTTTACTTTTAAATAGTTGTGAAGATTATATGACAGCATGCTTTTTATGTGCTTGGCCTTAATGTAAGTTACAACAGGAATAATTTCCATTCACTCTATTTTAAAAATGGCAAATCACGAATTTTCTTCATGAGATTGCTCCTCAGAGAGGCCCTGAGAATCAGGTGATTATAAAACTTTTTTCAAAGATAATTAATGTCACATTATTTTGCATTGGTTTGTATTGCTGGGTGGCACTCTGAAACAGAGCCCAGCAGAGGTGCTCTGAACAAAACCAAACAGAGTTGTGTTATCATCTAAAAGTCTCTAGTATTCACTGTATCATTTTTTGGCTTTTTATTTTCCTACTTTGGTGGATGATTTGAAAATACAGATGGGATTTGCTAGAACACGAATCTGAGAGAAATAAAAGTATTACCATTTCCAGTCAAGCAAATAATCAGGAGGCTAAGGCACGATAATCTCTTGAACCCAGGAAGGGGAGGCTTCAGCAATGAGTCAAGACTGTACCAGTGCACCCTAGCATAGGTGACAGAGTGAGACAGAGAGACAGAGCGAGAAAAGAAAAGAAAAGAAAAGAAAAGAAAAGAAAAGAAAAGAAAAAAGAAAGAAAGAAAGAAAGAAAAAGGGAGGTTGCAACAGTGAGTCAAGACTGTTCCAGTGCACCCTAGCGTGGGTGACAGAATGAGACAGATGAGAGAGAGAGAGGAAAGAGAAAAGAAAACAAAAAGAGAAAAGAAAGAAAAAAAGAAGGAAAGAAAGAAAGAAAATAACTCCTTTCTTTTTTCTTCTTCACCTTCACCTTTCCAGCCCAACATACGAATAAGCCCATTCTTCTTTCTTTCTTTTTTTTTTTTTTTTGAGAGAGACAGAGTCTTGCTCTGTTCTGCAGGCTGCAGTGCAGTGGCACGATCTTGGCTCAGCTCAATGCAGCCTCCACCTCCCAGGTTCAAGTGATTCTCTTGCCTCAGCCTCCCAAGTAGCTGGGGCTACAGAGGCATACCACCATGCTCAGCTAATTTTTGTATTTTTAGTAAAGATGGGGTTTCACCATGTTGGCCAGGCTGATCTCAAACTCCTAACCTCAAGTGATTTGCCCACTTTGGCTTCCCAAAGTGCTGGGATTAGAGGCGTAAGCAACTGCACCTGGCCACTTCAATAATTATTTTTGATAGAATTTTTTAGCAAACACAAAAAATGTAAAGAGAATATAATGAACACCCTCACATAACCATCACTCAAACCCAATAATTATCAAGACTTTGTCACACTTGATTAACCTTGATAGAGAACATTAAATCATTACATTAACCAAGACCTCTTATTATGAGCAATCTCCAGCTAGGGCTGGAGAAGAGATTACCTATATTTCAATTAAACTTGGTTCTACGGTACTTTAAAAAACTCACCATAAGGAGAGGTAGGCACAGTGGCTCACACCTGTAATCCTAGCACTTTGGGAGGCTGAGGCAGGTGATCACCTGAGGCCAGAAGTTCAAGACCAGCCTGGCCAACATGGTGAAACCCCATCTCTACTAAAAATACAAAAATTAGCCAGCCATAAGGGTACAAGCCTGTAATCCCAGCTACTCAGGAGGCTGAGGCAGGAGAATTGCTTGAACCCAGGAGGTGGTGATTGCAGTGAGCCAAGATCATGCCACTGTACTGCAGCCTGGGCAACAGAGTGAGACTCCTCAAAAAAAAAAAATTATAAGGAGAAATAAAAGAAGTGCTCCCTAAATAAGACTCTAGTAGAATGAATCATTATGAAAAGACAAAACTATTTTTGTTTTTATTCTCTCACCAGCTCCAGGACTGAACTCCATGATAGTAATAGTGCAAAATCCACTGTATTGCCTGAACATAACATGTAGCTTGATCAGCCAGAAAGTCACTGAAAACAGAATATTTTCATTACAACATATTTTTTTGAAGACAGGCCAGTGTCTTTAAGCATGATATTTGCTGATACAACATTTAACCTCAGATAGTTTAATCAATGAATTAGCTATTTATAGCTAAAAATTATAATCCTAAAAACCCCAAAATATTTTCAAAAATTCCATCCTGTCACATTATAGTTTTCCTAAACCAACTATATAAATAGATAAACTTGTTATTCATATTTATTCAATTAATGTACTACTTCTTTGGTCCAAAGTTTGAAGATTTACCCAATGAAGCTTTCCATAGTAACACCACCACTCTCTTTTTTTTTTTTTTTTAAGACAGAGTTTCGCTCTTGTTACCCAGGCTGGAGTGCAATGGCGCGATCTCAGCTCACCGCAACCTCTGCTTCCTGGGTTCAGGCAATTCTCCTGCCTCAGCCTCCTGAGTAGCTGGGATTACAGGCACGCGCCACCATGCCCAGCTAATTTTTTGTATTTTTAGTAGAGACGGGGTTTCACCATGTTGACCAGGATGGTCTCGATCTCTTGACCTCGTGATCCACCCGCCTCAGCCTCCCAAAGTGCTGGGATTACAGGCGTGAGCCACCGCGCCCGGCCCACCACCACTCTCTTAAACAGCGGGGGTGAGATGAGAGAAAGGGATGGGAATCTTCTTTATATAGGATGATATCTGAGAGAAGCAAAGGAGCAAATCAGGAAGTTCTTAAAATTTGGTTCCGGTGGCTAGAACACTTTGAAAAGTGCTATATGTGAACAATACTCCCTCATATCCTTTCTTTCTCAAAAACCAAATGACATCTTCTAAGTTTGGGTAAAATAAGTCTTCAAATCACCAAAACACAAAACAGAGCCCTGGGCTAAAGGCCAAAGTATTTATGTAGAAATTCCATAACTACATATTTCTGAGAGGTACTTTTTTAACATGGAAAATATTGCTTTTTTATTATAAAAGAATTATTTCCTCATGGGTAAAAACCTGGGTAATGAAGAAAAGCATTTTTGTCACCTTATAGCCATCACTTTTACATTTTGTAGTGTTTCTTTCAGTCTTTCTTCTATATCTTGGTATTTTTAAGTGTTAATGAGAGCATACTGTATACATGATTTTATGTCCTGCCTTTACAATTTGTACTTAATAATATACTATAAGCATCTTTTGAAATTGTTATGAACTTTCTGCAAGTACCAGTTACAGTTCTGCAGACTCTGGAGATGGAAGAGGTGACAGAGATAGTGACTGCAATGATGTGGCCAATTACGACATGCCTTCTTACTGGACATTTAGATCATTTATAATTTTTTACTATTGTAAACAACTTTGTAACAAACTTCCTTATAAATAAGGATCATTTTCTCTTTAGCAATTTTTTCACAGGAATATAATACAAGTCAGAATTAATACCATCTTTTCCAAAACCAGACTAGTTGAAACATCTACAATAATTCATGAAACCAAAAAATCCTTTTTCTCCCACTCCTTTATCAAAATTATGCTGTTTTCTGAAGAACTGCAAAATCTGAATTTTTCTATTTTAAAATAAAAGCATTGGCAAAAACGTACTCAGATACTACATCAACCCCCATCTTCGTCATGTAATATGTTCTCTTATATTGTCTAAACTCAGTTTCAAATAGGTCATCATCTTCAGTCTCATCTTCTAAATTATCTGGGAAAAAAGCCAGAAAGATAGTGACTGACAATTATGAATATCCAGTTTTTCTACCTAATGATTTGATAAATGCATATCCAAGTTGATGCTTATAAGCTATCACAAAAATCTGTTCCACCCAAAATTAATACTAATAAAGGAAAGTTACAACATTATCCTGGCGAAGTAGTAACATATCAAAACACATACTTTGTACTTACCCTTAGAAGTTACCATTTCACCTTCATTTTTGTCTAAAGCAGCCCAACACAGAGAATTTTCCTGGCCCTATAATTGTAAAATTGTAAATCAACATAAATGAATGGTAAGATACACATTTCAAAGTGAGATGTCATTTCTTTTTCATGCACCCATTTGCTTTTCTTCCCATGGTTCTTCCACGGTTATAACATCCTTCATATCCTGCCCATCTGCTTTTCCACCCTTGTGTGATCTCAATCCTTTCTGTCCTCTATTCTCTGACTTCCTGTCTACTGCCAATGACTCTCGTTAGTTCTTCCTACTCCTTTATTTCCTTTCCTTTCCTTCATCCAACCTATGACCTCTACCAACTTCCTATGTCTGGGATATTCCTGCACAGTGTCTCTAATGTTAGCTGCATACTATCCTGACAACTATCAGGGGAACCAGGGATTACTGATAGGTAAGTTTTGTGTGTACAGGTTCCCAAAAAGTTGCAGAGCCTGTTCTCCTAGAAACAAACAAACAACAACAAAACAGTAGAATGCAGATTGACTGCTGCCAAGTTCCAGGGAGGAAGAGCTAAATATCAAGAAGGACTACACTAGAGAAAATAAGGATAGTTGCCCCTCCTGGAGCAAAAGTCATTAAATTTGAACCTAAATAGAACCAGTACAGCAAGGAGAGTAAGAAACTCAACAGAAGCCGGGGGGTGGGGAGGTGGGGAGAGTAGCATGGGGAGAAATGCCAGATATAGGTGAAGGGGAGAAAGGCAGCAAATCACACTGCCATGTGTGTACCTATGCAACTATCTTGCATGTTCTTCACATGTACCCCAAAACCTAAAATGCAATTAAAAAAAAAGAAAAAAGAAACTCTACAGAATCCACTAATTATGAAGCGGCTGAGGAATTTTTCACAAGAGGTTTACCTTTCAAGTTAACACAAGATATTCTTTGGAGATTATTAGAGATGATTTGCAGGGCACTAACACTTTCTAGTTGACTCTATTATTCATTAATTAGGCATGTAACATTTACTAGATATTGTGCTATTAGGTTAATGCAAAAGTAACTGTGGTTTTTGCCATTACTATTAAATTATTGTATTTTATATGTAAATCATTTCTAGAGAAAAAATCACTGATCTAGTTAATGTCTCATATCATTTAAGGCTATAAATATCCACATTTTAAAAACTAGTCCATTGTTTTAAAATGATTTTTTTTTAAATTAAAAAACATTGCCAGGGGAAAGCGTGAATGCAGTCCTCCGCTAACACAAATCATGCAGTTGAGTTTCCCACACTTGATGAAATCGTAGGACATCAGCACATCCATAGTACAACGGAAAAGCCTCACTCAGGGAAAACCACCTCATGATCATGGTTATCTCCCCTTTCAGGTTTTAAATAATTGTGTATGTGGTTTTATTTTTTTGAGACAGAGTCTCACTCTGTCACCCAAGATGGAGTGCAGTGGCCCAATCTTGGCTCACTGCAACTTCTGTCTCCTGTGTTCAAGCGATTCTTGTGCCTCAGCCTCCAAAGCAGCTGGGATTACAGGTGTGTGCCACTACACCCAGCTAATTTTTATATTTTTAGTAGAGATGGGAGTTTCGATGTTGAGAAGTAGTAGTAGAGATGTTGGCCAGGCTGGTCTCAAACTCCTGACCTCAGATAATCCACCCACGTTCGCCTCCCAAGGTGCTGGGATTACAGGTGTGAGCCACTGCACCCGGCCTTAAATAATTGTTTTTAAAAGATAATTCATTTTCTGGGCTTTTATGTTTAGAAATGTTTTCCACATTTATTAACATAAAACAGAATGTTCCTCTTCAACAGTAAAAATAAGAAACTGATTACTGAAAATCTGGTTTAAATGACAGAAGCTAACAACAAAAAAAAAGAAACCAAACCAATTTCTGAAATGCCTATAGAGAGGAAGAAAGAGAAATAAAATGAGGCAATCCCAAATCATAAGAAGGAAGATGAGAAACAAAGAATATCACTTTTGCCTTTATGATTAAAACAATGAAAGGATACCTAAAAAAATAGACACCTTTAATTTTTTATTTTCCTTGTAGTTCCTGGCTTCTTCTGCTGCCACACCTGCTGCTTCGTTGAGGTACTTGTTACCAACTTTGCTTTCAAACCATTTTAGGTCCACAAAAACTTCACTGAAGTGCTCCCGATCAAACTGTACAGAAATATTTAAATTTATTCAAAAATAATTTAAGTATATCTAGAAGAATACAAATCAAACTTATAACAGTGACTACTACTGGGGCATAGGAAATTCTTTTATATATATGGGGGACCTCATGCATTACTCTGAAAATACAAATAGAAAACAAATAAAAATAAAATTAATTTAGTGAAAGTATTCATACTGAATCAGCAACTGGAATAGAATTATAAAACCCTTTTCTTCTGGTATTACATAATTCATGACTGACCTTTTATAGCTACTCTGGGACAGGAAAACAAAAATTTCTAGTTACTTACATCTGATAGCTTCACAAGGTATTTCTCAAATCTAGGTAAGTTGAGATGCCCACTTTCATTAATATAACCTAAGAGAAACAAAAATTAAAATCTGTACTAACAGCTGACATTTTTTCTAAACAATTCTACAAAATTCTTTTTTACAAAATGTTGAACTGAACTTCATGTTCTACTGTAGTAATAAAAAAAAAAAACAGTGTTGGACTATATACGAACTGGCCCTAGTTTCTATGAATTTTATGCTACTTTAATATGCAACATGCAAGTACCAAAGCCAAGTATAAGAAATTCAAGTTTCACATAATAATACTCCAACCACATTTGGTAACAATTAATTATATTAAATATCTATAATCTATATAGATCATTCCATTTGATATGTTAATTTAAGGACTGATGGCCTGCTACCCTGTGGCCTGTTTTATTCAGCATCACTATGTTTGTCAATTTTCTATTTTCATTGAAAAATAATTCATATTAAACATTCTGATGCATATCCATTAAAAAAATTGAATTTCTATGCTTAAATATGAAAGGAGTTAAACCAATAAAGTATGGTGGCTTTCTTAAGGAAGTAAAGGCAAAGATTAGGCTGTGTATGGTGGCTCATGCCTGTAATCCCAGCACTTTGGGAAGCTGAGGTATGGGAATCACTTGAGGCCAGAAGTTTGAAACCAGCCTGGTCAATAAGGTAAACCCCATCTCCACTAAAAATACAGAACTTAGCCCGGTGTGGAGGCACACGCCTTAATCCCAGGTACTCAGGAGGCTGAGGGACATGAGTAGCTTGAACTCAGGAGGCAGAGGTTGCACTGTCGCCGAGGCACTCCAGCCTGGGCGACAGTGAGACCTTGTCTTAAAAAAAATAAATAAATAAAAAATAAAGGCAAAGATTAGTTAGGTTATCAGTAAGTAAGATTCATTAACTCTGTGTACTTTCTTTCCTTGTTTATCACTGAAAGTAACAACCTCGGAGGTTAGCACCTTAGACTAAAATAAATCCTCAATGTTCTTCTACTTAAGCTGTGCATGCAATAATCTACTAAACTAAGTCACATTTTTAGGGTAAGGTGGTAGTAAATTAAAGTATCCTCGAGTGATTATTAAATATTTCTTACCCCCAAGTTCTGGCAGGATGGTAATATATGTTCCATAAAGAAGAGGCAGTGCATCATGATTAATATGTAAATGAGGTAGATGAGGGATAAAATCATTACCAACAAGAAACCCCATCAAAATCCAATCATCTATTATCCTTTCAATATCATATTTAAATGTGATCTTTTCCTACAGTAAAATGGAGAACAAAGTCAAATCCAGTGAAAATTTCTGCAATAGAAATCCCTGATTCATGGCTTTATTAATACTTACTTTTAATACCGAAAACTCATAGTCAATATACTCTCTCATTAAAGATAAGTGTAGGAGGTGAAATGTGGTTTCTTCTGGAGCACATACCCTGTAATTAATCAGATGATCAAGATCTAGTGAAATGTATTTTTAAGGTCTCAGCTTAAAAATGTAACAAAGCTTAAGCCAAAATTATCATTAGAAGATAGTCAGATAAATGCCTTGCAATTAAGGCATACAATTTATATGAAAGTTTCAGGGTAACAAAGACAAAAATACAATTGCAATTATAATATAACATATGTTAAAGTTCAAAACAATTGGTTTATATCATGTGTTCTGTGGAAGAATTCTCAGAATTAAGAAGTCCTAAATAATATATAGTAGATGTAAGAAGTCCTAAATAACATATAGTAGATGCAAGAAACCAGTGAGATCTGGCCCATTTAAGGGTGGTCTTTTCAATAGTGTGAAGAATATTGAATATCCACATGCAAAAGAATGAAGTTGAACCCTTATATTACACCACACACTAAAATTAACTCAAAATGAATCAAAGATCTAACCATAAAAGTTAAAACTTTAAAACTCTTTTAAAAAAACAGATGAATTGGACTATAACAAAATTAAAAACTTTTATACATCAAAGGACACTATCACAAAAAGGCATCATGAAAAGGAAACCTATGGAATAAGAGAAAGTATTTACAAATCACGTATCTGTTAAAGAATTACTATCCATGCGTAGTTTCTGTTCTTTCTTCCAACATACAGGCTATATGATTTACCTTTGTGCTTTTTTGCCACCAAATCGAACTTCTTCTCTTAAGAGAGAAAAATGTGCCTCGTGACTTGTTAATCCAAGCATAATCTGTTGAAAAATGATTAAGAAATGTTTCTGTTCTCCCATTTTTTATAATGTTGAGTTCACAAAAGCAATTAAAAAACATTTTTATACAGGGAAAAATAAGAAAGAATTAGGTTAAACAGACAAATATCAAAATAGGATCTATTGGTAGGTTATGAATGAGATAAAGTGTACTTTTCTAAGAAAAATTTATTCACCGTAGCTCACATGCCTTTCATAATCATTATCCTATCTCCTATCTCCACTTCTCTTCCTATTCCCTCAAATCCCAAAAATTTTCTCTTGGTTTTCACATAATTCTACTTGCTGTGGGGGAATGGGTTAGAAATTAGAGGAAGCAGGTTTTCTGTGACCAAAGAATGCAGGACTCTTTTGGATACCAGGATAGCCCCAGTATATGAAAACTCAGAAAAAAATGGAAAAGGGCACTTTCAGTTAATTTTCTCAAACAGTATTCCTTTTTTTTGAGATGGAGTCTTCCTCTGTCACCTAGGCTGGAATGTAGTGGTGCAATCTTGGCTCACTGCCACCTCCTTCTCCCAGGTTCAAGTAATTCTCCTGCCTCAGCCTTCTGAGTAGCTGGGATTACAGGTGCCCCATAACATGCCTGGCTAATTTTTGTATTTTTTAGTAGAGATGGGGTTTCGCCATGTTGGCCAAGCTAGTCTTGAACTCCTGACCTTAAATCATCTGGCCACCTCAACCTCTCAAAGAGCTGGGATTACAGGCGTGAGCCACTGTGCCTGGCCTCTTATGTAGTATTTTAATACTCAAAGTAAGTCAACAGTCTATTGAGACCTATCAATCAAACGCCATGTACCTGCATACTGTTTATTTCAATCTTGATTCAAACAATAAAAAAAAAATGAAATGTTTGTGAGGCAATCAGGAAAATGATAATACTAACTGGTTATTTCTATATTAAGAAAAAGTTGTTAATTTCTGTTTTAGGTGAGATGATGGCATTGTAGTTATGTATCTTTTCTAAAAAAACACTAATCTTTTAGAGAAACATTATGAAATATATATACATTAAATGATACAATGTTTGGGATTTGCTTTAATAATCTGGGGGAGGAAGCAGGTAGGAGAGAGAGGAGACAGATGATTACAGGTAGAAATTTAGAATTATTTAAGTTAAATGAAGGGCATAGGATGTTCATTATATTACCTTTTCTATTTTTGTTTATGCTTGAAAATTTCCATAATAAAAAGTTAAGGCCAAAATAGTCTAGTAAAGGTATTTGGAGCATGGTGTTTTCAGATCAGGAGGTATTAAAAGTCTTATATTAAGTCTGAGTGTAAAAAGGTAGCCTCACTTCTCCGACCTCGACAGAGTATTCACAGCACTAGGATTAGTCACATCTATAGACTAATTATAGAGACCTGTTGGTCATCAACTATGGCTAAAAAGCTCATTTTCCAGTGATTTTTAGAACTTTGGTAATGATAGAAGCAGCAATCATTACGTCGCCAATATTTGTTGCCACAGCCAGTAAGTTTCTTGCATAAAATGAAATCTCTTAGATATTTACCTACCAATGCATAAGGTTTTAATAATAAATATTATACCTACCAAGTCAGCATCTAAACCATAAAGACAGTGTCTGGTGTTTGGATCGTGATCTGGCTTTGCCTTCTCGGATCTGATAAATTCCATAATTTTATGCTCTCCTTCTCCGGGAGTCTAAATAAAATGTTTTTAAAAATATAGTAATATTGTATGCTTAAGAATATTAAATAATATTTTTAAACTCTTTAACTAAAAAAAGATAATAACCTCATGGCCTGAGAAGTAGATGGTAACTCCTTGCCATGACTTGTCCATGGAAATTTTCATATTTACAAAATACTTCAGATGTTCATGTAACCTGGCCATAAATTCAGTTCCTAAAAATAGTAAGTTTTAAAAAGGTTAATCTGAGAAAGACATAAAAACAGTAAGTTCTCAGTGACAACATATGACTGAATCTGAGTACACAGCAAATAGCTAGGTAGATATAGGATCTCCAAAGGTCAAAAGCCCTCTGGCTTATTCTGAAAAACAAGTAATGTTGGACCTTTCCTTCATAAATATCACAACTATTTCTAATGTCTCTAGTCCCCCTATATAAAATCAGTGTCACATAAGGAAAGTCAAGAAATTTTACTAGTATCTCAGGGCTCTGCTTCAGGAATTTTCATGTAAGAACAGAGTTTGAACTCTCTAATGAACCTCCACCTTCTATTTCTTCTGTTGATTCTTAAGTTTTTTTTTTTAAGGTTTATAGCTTAAATCAGATTGTCAATAATAATAAATAACCATTATTACTATTACAATTACTATTCTGAAAACTTATTATTAATTTGGAACCTCAGTCTATAATGATTACATTTTGGGAAAGGCCACGATGGTCAATAGTCAAAAGTGATACAGCCTAAAACCACAATCAGGATAAAACTGGTTGTTAAACTGAGCAATGTGTAACCAATGCGCTTAAAGAAAGGGCAAATTACTGCTGTTAGTAAAGAACTGATGAGAAAGTTATATTTTAAGATTTTCATTCAAAGAAAAGGATTATAATGATGCTAGACAAAGGTTGTAAAAGTATAGACTATACTGCTGCATACAAAATTAAACACAATACTGATACATTCATTTTCCTTAAAGTCATAAAAACCTTAACTACTTTTGAGAAGCAGAGCAGTAAGTGCTCTGGACTAGGAGAATGAGTTTCTTACTCTCAATACCACAAGCTAGCTACATCAACTTGAGGTTGATAGGAAGCCTCATCAACCTCACTGAGTCTGTTTTAATATAAATACACAGCAGGAGTAGGACAGAAAGATATATAAGCATACGTTTCTTTTAGTTCCGCAATTCTGTATACCTGAGAGGTTCCTGTCCATATCTGCTCTAATTTATCTACATCTGAAAATCCCTACAGTCTTTGTAGGAGTATTTATGACCAAGGTGACCAAACCAACTCATAAGCAGACCTGAGTGGGAAAACAGAGGAACCGGAACCTTAAGGCCAAAATAAACAGAGCACAGAAAAGAAAAATACATGTAAAACCAAGTTTTCAATTTATATTTCAATTCTGTCATAATTTTTCTCTCAGTGAATTTACCTGGTGTGATACAGTTGGAATCAAATCTGGCCTCTGTAGGAAGAGTTTCTCCCTTCTCTATTGCCTTTTTAATTTTGTCTTCTGCCTCCTTTGCTGACCTTAAAGGTTAAGGGAAAAAATTATCTTAAGTTTTCTGAAAAAAAGTGAAGATCTTTACATAAACTGCTATGTAGGTGCCTTTACAACTAAAATAGTAATTCATCAGTTGTAAGGTTCAAAACATACAAGTTTTGAAATTATTATGACTGATAAAAATGAGCCTCAGAATTGTCTGTTTTGTTGGATTGAATTTTTTAGGCCCAGTGCAGTGGTTCCTGCCTATAATCCCAATACTTTGGGAGGCTGTGGTGGCAAGAACAATTGAGTCCAGGAGTTTAAGACCAGCTTGGGCAACAGAGCAAGATCCCATCTCTATAAAAAAGAAAAAAAATATTAGCCAGGTGCAGGAGCATGTGCCTATTGTGTCAGCTACTTGGGAGGCGGAGGCAGGAGGATCCCTTGAGCCCAGAAGCTCGAGAGTGCAGTGAGTGATGATTGTACCATTGCACTCCAGGCTGTGTGACAGAGTGAGACCCTGTCACATTTAAAAAAAAAATAAAAGAATTAAATTTTCAGATTAAGATTATAGAAGTAACACATTTTAACAGAATGTTAAAAAGGCAAAGTAACTGTCACAAATATATAGTAAATTCATTCTAGAAATAAGATCAAAGTATAGCTTTAAATGTTCATTATATATGCTACATCTAATGATAATGACATTTAATGATCTTAATCATCATTTAATCTATACATTTAAGATCATTAAAATTATCCCTAAGATTATATAAAAATACAATTATAAAATTGAAATACCTATCTTTGTGTTTCCTAAAAACATTTAAAATGAAAGCCTAATGATATTAACGAAATCAACTGCCAAATCATCACATTTCTGAGGCAACAGAATTTACTAAAAAAAAAAAAACCCTGAGTTTTACAGTCAGGCAAACCTGGATTTGAATATGGGAGTCCTACTAGGTGTCTGACTTCTACTGTAACCCCTTTGCAGCAAACCAGCATGCCACATGGCATACAAATTAGGAAACTCTGCTTTGAGTATAGTTTCTACAGCCTTGCTACCAATTTCAACTACTGCGCCCTATAGAATTCTATTTCTAGGCCGGGCGCGGTGGCTCACGCCTATAATCCCAGCACTTTGGGAGGCCGAGGCGGGTGGATCATGAGGTCAAGAGATCGAGACCATCCTGGTCAACAAGGTAAAACCCCGTCTCTACTAAAAATACAAAGATTAGCTGGGCATGGTGGCACGCGCCTGTAGTCCCAGCTACTCGGAAGGCTGAGGCAGAATTGCTTGAACCCAGGAGGCGGAGGCTGCGGTGAGCCGAGACTGCGCCATTGTACTCCAGCCTGAGTAACAAGAGCGAAACTCCGTCTCAAAAAAAAAAAAAGAATTCTATTTCTGTGATGAACAAATTCTTCTTCATGTTTAACCTCTCTTTCACCATCCTCTTTAATATAAGAAAAACTCTGAGGATACCAGCTCATTTGTAAACTCTGCAATGTCTTCTTTCCTCTTTTCTTCCTTTCCTTTTTTGGCTGACCAAACAATTATTCAACATTGTTATGTCACAAGGTCTTAGGACATAACAAAAGAGAAATTATTCTTGGCCAGGCATGGTGGCTCACACTTTTTATGTCATAACAATAATAATTGTTATGTCACAATTATTCCCGGCCAGCATGGGAGGCTGAGGTGGGTGACTCATCCGAGTTTAGGAATTTGAGATCAGCCTGACCAACATGGCAAAACCCTGTCTCTATTAAAAATACAAAAAAAAATTAGCTGGGTGTGGTGGTGAGTGCCTGTAGTCCCAGCTACTCAGGAGGCTGAGACAGGAGAATCACTTGAACCCAGGAGGCGGAGGCTGCAGTAAGCCAAGATCATACCACTGCACTCCAGCCTGGGTGAGACAGTGAGACTCTGTCTCAAAAAAAAAAAAAAAAATTCCTGTTCTCAGAGATTACACTCCAGTGGGGTGGTAGAAAATTAAACAGCCATAATGTTTAATCTGGATGCAATAAAGAAAATGTTTGGGACAGGAACAAGGTAAGATTATTAAGGTAATCAAGATAATGGTAGTCCAGGCTAAGACAGTAGCATTAAAGATGAAAAGTAGATAGATGTGACAAATTTGAGACTGGATAAAGAGGATTGGATATGAGGAATGAGGAATAGGGAGAAGTCCAAATAACTCTTGGACTTTTGGATTAGGTAGCTAGTGGCAGGTGTTGTCATTCATTGAAATAAGAAATACAGAAGGCGGACTGTTTTAAGGGGAAGATGAGTTCAGTTCTAAATATGTTAAGCCTGAAGTATAATCTGGGTTTTCCAAAGGGAGACATTCAGAAGGCGTTTGGATATATAAGAGCTCAGGAGAAAGAAATCCACCAGAAAGATAAATTTGGAGTCACCAACAGAGATATAGTAATCAAAGGATGAAATAACTCAGAGCTTAGGATAGAAAGTTAAGAAACATTAATATTTAAGAAAAGCAGAGGAAGAAAAGAAGACAAGGAGACTAAGAAAGTACGGTCAAAGAGAGAATGTGGTTACATGATGGTCATGGAAAGGAAGAAGTTCAAGAATGATCAACATTGTGGGTTTTTTTTTTTTGAGACAGAGTTTCGCTTTTGTTACTCAGGCTGGTGTGCAATGGCGCGATCTCTGCTCACTGCAACCTCCGCCTCCTGGGTTTAGGCAATTCTCCTGCCTCAGCCTCCTGAGTAGCTGGGATTACAGGCACGCGCCACCATGCTCAGCTAATTTTTTTTTGTATTTTTAGTAGAGACGGGGTTTCACCATGTTGACCAGGAAGTTCTCGATCTCTTGACCTCATGATCCACCTGCCTCGGTCTCCCGAAGTGCTGGGATTACAGGCATGAGCCACTGTTCCCGGCAGAAGATTGTTGAATGATGTGGATAAATGAAATAAGTTAAAGAAAGAATTATTCTTTGGATTTAGCCATAATTTTGTTAGGAAATTTTAGAGGCATGGCGGGGATAAAAAGAAGAAATATTTAGAAACAAAACGGGGAATTACGAATGGAGAAGGTCATCACTGTAGAGAACGGCAGAAAGCTAACTAGGGGATTTCTAGGAAAAATATAGTGCTCATTACCAGCACAGTATTTAATAAATGCTTGTGGTGGTTATAATGCATCGGCCCTCAACTACCATTTCATTCTCATAGTTTACTTTCTGATACCACAGAGGTTAGAAAGCTCTCAGGATTCCCTGCAGCTAAGTGTCTGAATATGGCTTAGAATTTGTCAATTAGATGCCTTCATAAAAGGTTTGGAAGGTGGAGGTGTGGTGATGCCTGCATCACAGTTGAGGCACTGGAGCTCTAGTGTCTGAATATTTTAGCAATGGTAAAGAAGATCCCAATATTCTGTAGCTTTGGAGGTGCTAATAAGCAAGGAACAGAGAATCCGTTTTTTTCAGTACAGATACAGCAGGTGCACAATAGCTCTGGAACTAGCAGATGCAGCAGTAGCTTCCTAATTGCTGAATTGTAACTAGTAATGTATTCTTAGAGCCCCTAGTGACAGCTTAATTACTGGATCACAGAAAAAGGAATAAGTTCCTGGAACCACCCATTTTGGTAGGGGGCTCTAAATTCTTCACCATATTACTTGAATGTGGTAATAGTTCTGCCACTGGTGAGTCAGTTCTGTGGTGCTGTTTGGGAAGTCATCCCTTATGGCTAACCTAGATTCCTGTCTCTACTAAAAAATATGCCAGGTGCAGTGGCTCACGCCTGTAATCCCAGCACTTTGGGAGGCCGAGGTGGGTGGATCACGAAGTCAGGAGATCAAGACCATCCTGGTTAACATGGTGAAACCCCAGCATGGTGGCATGTGCCTGTAGTCCCAGCTACTTGGGAAGCTGAGGCAGGAGAATCGCTTGAACCTGGGAGGCAGAGGTTAGAGTGAGCCGAGATCACGCCATTGCACTCCAACCTGGGTGACAGAGCGAGGCTCTGTCTCAAAAAAAAAAAAAAAAAAAATTGGCCAGGCATGGTGGCTCACACCTGTATCCCAGCACTTTGGGAGGCTGAGGTGGGTGGATTACATGAGGTCAGGTGTTCGAGACCAGCCTGGCCAGTGTGGTGAAACCCCATCCCTACTAAAAATACAAAAATTAGCCAGGCGTGGTGGTTGGTGCCTGTAATCCCAGCTACTCGGGAGGCTGAGGAAGGAGAATCACTTGAACCTGGGAGGCAGATGTTGCAGTTAGCCAAGATTGCCCCATTGCACTCCAGTGTAGGCGACAAGAGTGAAGCTCCATCTCAGAAAAAACAAAATTACACACACACACACACACACACACACACACACACACACACACAATATATTATAAAAAAGTATATCATTTTGTGTCTGGTGGCACTTGCCTGTAATCTCAGCTACTTGGAAGGCTGAGGCATGATAATCACTTGAACTAGGGGGGCAGAGGTTACAATGAGCTAAGATCACGCCACTGCACTCCAGCCTGGGTGACAGATTCTGTCTCAACAAACAAACAAAGAACCCTTAACATACGTTTTGAGAAAGGACATCTCACTGAGTTCCTCCTAACTCATTACTTGACTGGGAAAATATGTCATTGAGATATTTCCATTTCTGGGGGAATTTTACGCAGAAAATAAACATGAACAGAAGATTGTGTTAAATCAATTATCTTTAAAATAATATATTTTTACTAAGCTAAATCTATTCCAAAATAAAGCATAAATGTTTTACCTAAAACGCCTCCCACGCTGCTGGTTCATTTTTGCTCGAGGAGCCACACCATCAACAGCCATAAAGAACACTTTCCTGGGTTTAATAATGCGAAACAATACCTCCAGGTAGTGAAAAATATCAGTAAAGATTTTATCATCTGAAATTCTAAAGTGAACATCATCATCATTAGGGTGGGAGCACTGATGTATAATTCCATTCATATCCAGATACAAGTTGTCAAATTCAGGAATCTGAAAAACAAAGAAAATGCTTCAGATTATTTATTTTAATCAACTATAGATATCTTAAGCAGCAGGGAAAAGTGATTATTCAATTATAAAAAGCAGGACTAGTGTATTCTGATTATACAAAAACTGAGTAAACAATCACAGATTAATTAAAAAAGTAAAGAACTGGTAATATGGTAACATATTTGGTTATATATAATGCACCAATGACGATCAAATTCACTGTGAGCAAATAATCTACTTATTCAAAATAATGTAAAACCCCAAATAAAGTGCTTGGTTCATTTGGTACTCAAAATATTATTTTTGTTCCTTTCTACCATTTGACATTAACTCCTCAAAACCTCAATTTCCTATATAAATGGGTAACAAAAAGCCTACTTACATCAAAAGGCTGTTTGTACAGCCTTTTGGTTATTGAAAGGTTTCACACATGATGTAAAGCCTAATTGCATACTTAGTTTCATTGAAACAATCAATGATCGGTTATATTAATTTTTTAAATGTTAGGTTATGCCAAGAAACTTATGAAACTGAAACCTGAAAAATGGATTTCTTGTTTGTGATATGTGGGTTAATAATATGTAAACTCTGACTAACAGGCATCTACTTTTATAAGATCTTAATGGCTCTCTCATTTACTTTTCCTCTATTTAAACATTTGTGTTGGAACTCTTGGTCCCATCAGGAACAAAATTTTTTTACTAAAAAGAAAAAAAGTAAACGTTTGTGAGTAAGGGGAACATTACAGAAACAAACATACACTAAGATGGAAGTGAAATGGATACAACTAAAGAGTTATATTTTCTAGTGTAATAAAAGTTTTTGAATAGAGTGTACCTTACACATTCATTAAATTACTTTGAATTTTCAAACATAAAAACATAAGGAGCTCTCCTTATATAAACATAATAGAAATCACTTCTGAAACAGTAACTCAAGTTTTGTAACATATACAGGTAACAATATATTTTCCTGCTACTGAGAAAATAGCATGATTTTGAGTTTTGGGAGTGAAAAGTTTTGGTCTCTGAATCAATGAACACCATCAAAACATATTTTTAGAAAACATCTATTTATACAGTATTGTATGTACAAGCAACACATAAAAATTTTAGAACTTTCGCCAGCCTTGGGGACAGAGCAAGACTGTCTCAAAAAAAAAAAAAAAAGCAAAATTTTAAAGGAATCACAGAAAATGCAAAGCAATTCAGAAAAGAATAAACACAAAAGTCTTATGCACATGAAAAGATGTTCACTGTCCAAAATTCCTAATTGAAATGACACATCGGCAGGGTGTGGTGGCTCACGCATGTAATTCCAGGACTTTATGAGTCCGAGGTGGGCAGACACCAAGGTCAGGAGACCAAGACCATCCTGGCCAACATGGTGAAACCCCATCTCCACCAAAAACAATACAAAAATTAGCGGGCTGTTTTGGGAGAGGCAAAGAAAAAAAAAATTAGTGGGCCGTGGTGGCACGTGCCTGTAATCTCAGCTACTCGGGAGGCTGAGGCAGGAGAATTGCTTGAACCCAAGAGGCAGAGGGAGGATACAGTGAGCCGAGATCGTGCCACTGCACTCCAGCCTGGCAACAGAGCCAGACTCCATCTCAAAAAAAAAAAAAAAAAAAAAAGAAATGACACATCATTTTCCCCACATAAGTAAAAATTAAAGAGACTGATGTTATCCAGTACTAACAAGGTTTTGGGGAAACACATATTTTGCATGTTATTAAAAGCAATGGGTAGTGTTTATTAGCAATTATTAGGTACTAAACATTGGGCTAAACATGCATATTCATTCTCTGACTTAATTATAACAACCTTAAAAGATAAATATTTAGCATTCTCATTTTAGAGAAAAGTCACAGAGCTAGAAAAACAGAAACGGGGTTTATACCCAATAGTTTGGGACTGGAATATAAATTAGCATAACTGATCAAAAAGTATGTATTAGAAATTTGAAATGTATATCTTTAACCCAGGATTTCTACTATTGAAAATTTATTCTAAAAAGTAATCAGATATGATGAACTTGTAAAGATAAAAGGATAAAAATCTTCATGGCAGTATTGTACAAAAAAGATAAAAATAGAAAACTGATGATGGTACATCCACACAATGGAATACAACGCAGAAATTACAAATGTGAAATAGATTCATATTTGACATGGAATAATATGCATAATACATACGATCAGTGACAAAGGCAGGGTATAAACAGCAGGTATAGTCTCCTATTTATAGAAAATATTTACTTACATATACATCTGCATAGAAAAGTTAGGAAGTATAAAAAACAAGATGTTACTAGTGGTAAACCCTGGATGATGAAAGCTTTTTACTTTCCTCTAGACTATATGATAGTTTTTATATCTTTCTGCATTATCTGAATTTTTTAAAATAATGAGCCTATATCACCTCTATAATCTAAAAAATACTCCACTGCAATTTTCCTTTTAGAAAAAGAATATTTGAAAAATTCTTAGGTTTCAAATTAGTAAGAAAGACAGAGAATAATTAATCGTTGGCTAATGTGTTGAATAAAGTGAGAACATGCAGTAGAATTTTGCTCCCATACTGGCAGATCAGTGCCCTCAAAAAAAAAAAAAAAAAAAAAAAAAAAAAAAAAGAATTTTGCTCCCATACAAAGAGATTACTGAAAATATAGTTTCTCTTCTCAGAGTTATTATATTTGCAAGTTAGAAATTTCAAGGTTATTTTATACTCTCCTCCTTCTCCAATCCCATATCTAATTAGTCACTGAGGTATTTTTCTTTTTAATTTAGCATCCAAAATGTTTCTAGAATCTTACCATCTTATCCATTCCCACTGTCTTAGGCAATCTCATCCTTTTCTCTATCCCCAGACCTCCTGCACTGGTTCATGCCCTGTTTCCCAACAGAACTACTTGCTTCCAGTTTCTCTCTCAACACAGTTTAGCTATTTTTCTAAAACATAATCTGATCACATTGCATCCTTACTTAAACTGATAGGATATTACAAATCCCTAATAGCATAAAAGGTCCTCCATGATTTGGCTGCTATTTTTCCTGCCAATCCTATATTCTTTCCTCTTTCTACATATCTTTACAAGCTACTACAAGAAAACATTGAGGAAAACTTCTAGAACACTGGTGTGGGCAAAAATTTCTTAAGTAATATCCCACAAGCACAGGCAACTAAAGCAAAAATGGAGAAACTGTATTGTATCAAGTTAAAAAGCTTCTGCAAGGAAAAGGAAACAATCAGTAAAGTGAAGAGACACGGAATTCAAGAAACATATTTGCAAACTACTCAACTGATAAGGAATTAATAATCAGAATAGACAACAAGCTCAAACAGCTCTATATGACGAAATCTAATAATCCAATCAAAAAAATGGGCAAAAGGGTTGAAAAGACATTTCTCAAAAAAAGACTTACAAATGGCAAACAGGCATATGAAAAGGTGCTCAACATCACTGATTATCAGAGAAATGCAAATCAAAACTACAATGAGATATCATCTTACCCCAGTTAAAATGGCTTATATTCAAAAGATAGGCAATAACAAATGCTAGCAAAGATGTGGAGAAAAGCGAACCCTCGTATACTGTTGGTGGGAATATAAGTTAGTACAACCACTATGAAGAACAGTTTGGAGGTTCCTCAAAAAACTAAAAATAGAGCTATCATATGATCCCAGGAACCCCACTGCTGTGTTAATATATTCCAAAGAGAGGAAATCAGCATATCGCAAAGATATCTGCACTCCCTTGTTTGTTGCTATACTGTTCACAACAGCCAAGATTTGCAAGCAACCTAAGTGTCCATCAACAGATGAATGGACAAAGTAAATGTGGTACATATACACAATGGAGAATGTGTATTCAGCCTTAAGAAAGAATGAAATCCTGTCATCTGCAACCACATGGGTGGAAAGGGAGATCATTATGTTAAATAAAATAAGCCTAGCACAGAAAGACAAACATTGCATGTTTTCATTTATGGAATCTAAAGATCAACAATAGAACTCACAGACACAGAGAATAGAAAGATGGTTCCTAGAGGCTGGGAAGGGTATTGGGGGAGTCAGGGGAGAGGTGAGAAAGGTTAATGGGTATAAAAGAAAAACTGAAAGAATGAGTAAGACCTAGGCTGGGTGCAATGACTCATGCCTGTAATCCCAACACTTTGGGAGGCCAAGGCGGGCAGATCACTTGAGCCCAGTAGTTCAAGACCAGCGTGGGCAACATGGCGAAACCCTGTCTGTTTTAAAAAAATATTTAAATTAAAACAAACAGAAAACAAAAAAACACAAACCAGGCATGATGGCTCATGCATGTAATCCCAGCATTTTGGGAGGCTGAGGTGGGCGGATCAATTGAGGCCACTGGGTGTTGGAGAAGAACCTGGCCAACATGGCAAAACCCCATGTCTACTAAAAATACAAAAAGTAGCTGGGTGTGGTGGTGCACGCCTGATCCCAATTACTTGGGTGGCTGAGGCACAAGAATCGCTTGAGCCCAGGAGGCAGGGGTTGCAGTGAGCCGAGATCATGACACTGTACTCCAGCCTGGGTAATGGAGCATGACCTTGCCTCCAAAATAAAAAATAAAGAATGAATAAGACCTACTATGTGATAGCACAACAGGGTGACTAAAGTAAATAGTTTAAGTGTACCTTAAATATAAACTACGTTTTTGGAATCTACACATTAACATTGCCCTGGGGTCAGTACATGCCAAATATTATTAATGTTCTATCAATTTGTTTCCCAACCCCCTCTCTCTGTCACACAGCCAGGCCTCCAAATAAAGGCCCTAAGCCTCACTCCCCAGTCCACCCAAGTTTTTTTGTTTTGGCAATAGGGGACTGGTGCTGTTTTTGAGATAACAGAAAATAAGTACAAAAGGCATTTTCAGTATGGACCCTCAGCCACGTCGGAAAGACTAGGCGTTGGGGCCGGGTGGGCCGTGCTCTAGATCAGGGAAAGTAAACAAGGTGACTGCATGCGGAGGGGGCTGTTATTGTTTGTATGTGAGTCTGCAGCTCTGGGTGGGATCGGGGAACCTACGAGGACACCCACTCCAGCTTCGCAACCTTCTGTAAGGAAAAAGGCAACTTGTAACTTCCCTGGAAGAAACGGGAGAACGGTAAAAGCGTTTTTTCCCAGGACTTCATTTCAGAGTCGCGGAAGGACCAGCCGCAGCAGGAGAGCTGTCAGAGCGCTGTGAACCCGGGGCTCTGTTCACACACCGGAAACCTGCGTCCTTGGCCCCTTTCGGCTCATCCGGGCGTCCTCAAACCTTCCGTCCCCTTCCCTATGCCACACATCGGCCAGGCGACGAGGGGAAAGGAGTCAGGAGAGCCCCAGCCCTGGGTGGAGAGAGGGCCGCAGAGCCCCGGGTCTTCGGCCTTCTGAGCCTGTGCCCCTCGCTCACCCACCTGATGCTCTTTCACCACTTCGCTGAGACAGGGATACCGCTCTGAGATCCATCGGTAAAACTTGGGGACTCCCATTTCGACCGTCAACACTAATCCTAGTTAGGGCCAAACCGAAACCAAACGCCCCGCCAGGGCCTCCGCTGCCGCCTCCGGCCGTCGCTCCGCGGATGACAACACACCGCCCGGCCGACCATAGAGAGCGCCCGCCGGGCCTAGAGCGGCAGGATCCGAGGCCGTCCCAGGGGCGGGGTTTAGCCGGCCAGGCCTCGCGCGGCGGGGACCGAGGTGCGAGCTGGTGGCAGTCAGAGGCTCTGCGGAGGTTTGCAGGTGTGCTTCAACTTAGGTGTGAAAATGCCCTAGGATAGAGCTGTGCTTTCTAAGTGAATTTGGAAGTGGCATGAAAACCGCACGATGGTGTGGGAAGGGTATCGAACACTGATTTTTGTTCTTGTCTCCAAGGGTTGCTAATCTCACTATTTTTCACACAGATTTGTAAAGATCTGGTGATTTATTTGGCTTTGTTTTTGCTAGGAATTATTTTCTCTGAGGAATTTAGACAAAAGTTTCTTTTAAAAACGTTTTCCAAATTGTTTTTAAAAATTTCCAAATTACATGCCCTCCCTCCCCACCCCAACCCCACCAACAACAGACCTTGGATACAAAATAATTTGATGTTTAGTTTTTACATTCATGCCTCTGGGTTTTTCATATTTTTCCCCATCACACTTTCAACTGGGGAGAGTCTTATCAACTTAAGTGAAATTATCAATTTTAAATGTAAGAGTTTTCCACTTATTTGAATGTAAGAACCTAATTCCTTTGTACTTAAATCTTCTGGATAGGAGGGCGCGGTGTCTCAAGCCTGTAATCCCAGTACTTTGGGAGGCCGAGGCGGGTGGATCACGACGTCAAGAAATCGAGACCATCCTGGTCAACATGGTGAAACCCCGTCTCTACTAAAAATACAAAAAATTAGCTGGGCATGGTGGCGTGTGCCTGTAATCCCAGCTACTCAGGAGGCTGAGGCAGGAGAATTGTCTGAACCAAGGAGGCGGAGGTTGCGGTGAGCCGAGATCGCGCCATTGCACTCCAGCCTGGGTAACAAGAGCGAAACTCCGTCTCAAAAAAAAAAAAATATTCTGGATGAAAACTTGCAGAAAACCTTAAATATTTAAACCTTTTTAGATTTTAAGATCTCAGGAAATGTTAAGTATCGCTGTCTTCCATGACCACTGGATTCTGCATTCTGGGACTGCAGTATGGCAAGCATCATACAAATTAGAGAATGTTTATTTCGTTTTCATATTCACACTTTTTGGCTTATATTTTTTTCCCTATCACACTTTCAAACATAGTTTTATTAAGTGAACTTAATGATATGCTGTTTATATTTATATCTCTCTCTTACTAGACTGTCACTTCCTGGCGTACAGGAGAGGGCAGCTCTATGCACAAGTCTGGCACAATGCCTTGCCCACAATATTTATTCTATATAATTTTGTTCTTCGAGTGAATCCTTACAATAGCTAGGACTTTTAATTTTTTTTTTTTTTAAGACGGGGTTTCACCATGTTGGTCAGGCTGGTCTTGAACTCCCGACCTCAGGTGATCCGCCTGCCTTGGCCTCCAAAGTGCTTGGATTACAGGTGTGAGCCACCACGCCCAGCCTAGCTAGGACTTTTAAAAGGAAATCAGTAGAAATTGTAAAATGCAATTAGGCTCGCTTGTTTCTTGCAAATACAGTTTTTGACCATGAGAACACATGTTCCACTTTTCCAGCTATAATACACAGTATATATTAAGAAAGCAGTTTATTTCTTCACAATCGAACGTATATTTTACATATAATTAATGATCGGAGAGAAGTAACAATTGCTCTGAGAACATAAATTTATGTTGTACTTTAGAACTGAACAGATACAACCATAGATTAATACCAAATGCATTACTTTTAGATTAACATTTTTTTATATAATTTCATTTCACATATATGGGGTCCAACCAAGATACATCTGGCATAGTAAGTTTTCATCAGTAGCTTCTTGTATAAGGTAATGCACATGTCCTTCAATAGATAATGGCAGTCCTGTCACTCTATTTCGAGTCTTGATTACACCTTGTAGTCGCTGCTCAATGTCAAGAACATGGGTCTTGGCCTAAAAAGAAGAAACATAAAACCAAAAACAGATGTTGAATAATTTGGAATTACTACCTTTCTTTATATTTTGACATTTAATAAACGTTAACACCATTTTACTGACCAATACTCCTTTTGTAAGAGCAAATACGGAAAAAAGAAATTAAACAAATACAGTTAACTTGTGATACTGATTTTGAGGCTTCCAGATTGATTCAGCATCAACTGCTTGGACATGTTTCTGGACTACATGAAATACTAAGGAATTATTTACACATTGCAATTCTCAAAAAATAATTAAAAAAAATTTTTTTTTTTTTTTTTTTTTTTAAAGATGGGGTTTCACCATGTTGGTCAGGCTGGTCTTGAACTCCCAGCCTCAGGTAATCCACCCGCCTTGGCCTCCAAAGTGCTTGGATTACAGGCGTGAGCTACCACGCCCAGCCTCTAGAAAAATAATTTTTAAAATCTGCTATGGAAGTGTTTAGGACTTAAACATTTGAATGGACTTAAACATTCTAATAACAGCAACAATGCTCTACTGCCTAATATTTACATTATGTTAGTACATGCATATGGGAGTTCTAAATGAGCTACTTGTAATTGTATACATTTCTTTCTTGAGCATATCTGAATGCAAAAGAATTACGTTATTAGAAAAATAATTCTTGGAGGTGGTGCTGGTTGGGTCGGTGAGCTGGGCTGCAGCCTGTGAATGCAAAGAAGAGGGCCACAGGGCAGGGGCTGTTGCTATGCTGTCTGCCATCAATTTTTCTGCCAAGAGCCTGGACTCCAAATATGATGAATCTGATGTTCCAGAAGAATTTTGGGTGTTAAGAGAACCCCTAAAACAGCCAGTCTTCCCTTTTACAGTTGCAGACCAGCTCCTGCTTATTTCTTTGGTGGAGCACTTGAGCCATGTGCATGAACCAAACCCAGTTCATTCAAGACACATGTTTAAGTTACTTTGCCAGACCTTTATCAAAATGGGGCTGCTGTCTTCTTTCACTTGTGATGAGTTTAGCTCATTAAGACTATATCACCACAGAGCTATTACTCACTTAATGAGGTCCACTAAAGAGAGAGTTCGTTAGGATCCTTGTGAGGATGTTTCTTATATCCAGAAAATAAGTAGCCTTTGAAGCACAAACTTCATGTTACTTAAATTAATTTGAAGACCCTGCCATCTTAGGAAGATGTGGATATGGAAGAGTATATAGGTCAGGAATAAATAACATGGTCAGGATTATGCAATTTAAAAAGTCCTGATTAAGGGTGCAACTAAAACAGACTGGATGGAGAAACTATGGGAATGAAGGTGTTGGAGGGTCTTCAGGACCCTAATATCATGGTTATCATACTGCATAGACAGAACATGTTCATGTGGTCCAACCACAAGCAGACAGGGCTTCTATTCGGTTGCCATTTTTGGAAATGTTCTCTGACCAGGCAGATGACATACCAATATGGTGTTAAAAATGATGAAAGTAGCAGCTCATCCATTATCTTTGCTGAGCTCACCTCAGAAAAAGAAAAGCACTTTGGAGAATCTAACACTCAAAATCAGAAAAACAAGCTGGTGAACTACCCTGCCAATTTAGTCCGAAGACACCAGTGAATTTGAATCATCCCTGCAGCTCCAGGAAAATGGCTTGGTTGGTTTGTTTATCAGGTCAATTGTGGAACAGCTGCTGCTGCTCAGGTGTAATTCCCTCCTAGAGGAGAATTTCACATCCACTGAGGAATCTTCTGAAGAAAACCTGAACTTGTTGGGGCAGATAAAGGTGCAGTACTACCTGATTGTGCACGTTCAGCTGCAGTTGTGCAAGCTCTTGCTGTGGGACTGGACAGCTGAGAGAAACAAGCAGGGCCAAGAGTGTGTGGATAAGCCTGCCTGTCCTTATGACCAGTGTTGCAACAAAAATTTTTCAAGAATTAGTGGCCGGCTGCAGTGGCTCACGCCTGTAATCCCAGCACTTTGGGAGGCCGAGGCGGGTGGATCACGAGGTCAAGAGATCGAGACCATCCTGGTCAATATGGTGCAACCCTGTCTCTACTAAAAATACAAAAAATCAGCTGGGCATGGTGGCGCATGCCTGTAATCCCAGCTACTCAGGAGGCTAAGGCAGGAGAATTGCCTGAACCCAGGAGGCGGAGGTTGCGGTGAGCCGAGATCGTGCCATTGCACTGCAGCCTGGGTAACAAGAGCAAAACTCCATCTCAAAAAAAAAAAAAAATTAGTGGAAGGTGTGTTTTACATATGTAACATGGGAACTGTAAACAGATACTAGAAGCCTAGAAATATTTTTCTTCATGGCTCTCATCAGCAAGTAAAAATAAGAGACTTTGGTCTGGCCTGCCCAAACATCTTAAAAAGGAACACAGACTGGACCCACAGATATGGAAAGAGAGCACCAACACATATCCAGAGCGGACACTTGTCTGTAAGCTTCATCCAAACAGTTGGAAGCATCTGAGTATGATGCCAAGGGTCTCACTCCATTGCCCAGGGTGGAGTGCAGTGGTGTCATCATAGCTCATAGCAGCCTCCAACTTCTGGGCTCAAGTGATCCTCCCACCTCAGCCTCCCAAGTAGCTGGGACTACAGGAGTGTGCCACTGAGCTTGGCTAATTAAAAACAAACAAACGATTTGTAGAGACCAGGGCTTGCTCTGTCCAGTTAGATATGTATAGGTTGACTGTGATCCTACTGGAGCTCTTTCAGCTGTTTAGAATAGAAATGGAGCAAGCAGAAGTTTTAACAGGTTCAAGAACTGGTCAAATACTGGAATCCTTCAGTAAAAGGTATCCAGTATAAGCCAATTGTATCTAGAACTTAACGAAAAGGAACATGTCCCAGAAACCATCTGCTATTTAACTGCTACAGAGTGAACTTTCCAAGTATTTCCAAAATTCTGGAAATATTAATATCACCCTACAGATAAAGATAATAGAGCAAGAAAAAGAAATTGAAGAACTAAAAAAGCAGTTAAACCTCCTTTTTCAAGACAAAAGGGTTAAGGTTGACATGAAGGATGGGGGCGTATGTGTCTAATCTTCCTCAGGCTGTATC